GTCTGAGATACCCCCGCACACTTTCTAATTCTCCTTGAGCTACACTTTATTCCTGCGTAATCTGAGACATTGAACAGGCACTTTTCTTCATGAGACAAAATAAATGAAAAATGGTAACTTCTTTTGGATGTTGTTTCTATGATTTTTCCAACCCCACTCTCACTTTCAATGATAAGTTCCAGATGTTAATTGCCATTTTCTCCAATTTTTCCTTTTTATTATTATTTTAAATTTATATGAGTAGATTTTGTGCTTTTCGTCTTGCAAGTGTAGTAGCATAGGACTATCTCCTTTCACCTTCCTCACTCCCTCCGTATCTCTCTTTTGTTGTTTTTCCCAATTTATTACAGTTGCATTATCATTCACTTTCATAGTAATAAGATTGGGCCCAGCACAGTAGCCTAGTGGTTAAAGTCCTCATCTTGAACATGCCAAGATCCCACATGGGCGCCGGTTCTAATGCTGGCAGCTCCAGTTCCCATCCAGCATCCTGCTTGAGGCCTAGGAAAGCAGTTGAGAACGGCCCAAAGCCTTGGAACCCTGCACCCATGTGTGGGAGATCTGGAAGAGGTTCCTGGTTCCTGGCTTTGGATCAGCGCAGCACCGGCCGTTGCGCTCACTTGGGGAGTGAATCATCGTTTGGAAGATCTTCCTCTCTATCTCTCCTCCTCTCTGTATATCTGACTTTGCAATAAAAATAATCTTAAAAAAAATTGCAGAAGGAGCATGGGAATAGGTTGAACTCAGGACATTCCCCAAACTCCACCCTGTTTGAACACTCGGTTAAGCCCCACCCCAATCCTGTTCCTGCAGTTCATACAAAGGTTTGGTTTTAAACCTTGTTGAGTGCTGCTTTTTCTTGAATGTGCCTACAGTGTTTCCCGACTTTATGCTATCACTTTGCAAGAAAATAAAACCCGTTTTTAATCACCCTGTGGTACTTCTATGCTTTTTAATTTTGAAGCCATTATACACTAGGAAACGCTTGACAATGAGCACATTTTAATGACCAGAAATGATAGTTAAATAAAAACCAGCGGCATTCTCTCCCCAATTTCAGGAATTATTGAACATCGAAAGCGTTATTTGAAATGTAGCTGTGAATGTTTGGAGAGAAGGAAACACTGACGGCTTTTCAAACCTTTCGTTTGGTATATAAAATCTGATTTAAAGAGATGTATTCTGAGAGATAAAACTATACCTAAGTAAACAGACGCTTTTTCTCAATAGTGCCCAGGATTTCTGAAACTATCCATGATTCCCTGATTTAGCAGAGGGAAGACAGTCCCACCTCTCGCTCTGTGGAGTAGCTCCAGCAGTCTGCAGCTTTCACAGCACAGTAACCCTCCGGTCTCTGCCTCAGCCCTCCGATAAACACTCTGGAGCATGTGTGTGCACTTACACAATTTGCCACGTTTCCATGGATACATGAATTTCAGTGCTGAAGCACATTTACTATCGCTTTTCTTGTCACCAAGAGTCCTGTAAACACTTGAGCTTGAAGACTTTGTGCAGAAATTTAGCATTTTGTAGAGGACAAGTCAGAATTGCCTTTTTCCTGGTGCAATATATGATTTTTCTCTCAGGGCAAAGTTACTAAAATATTTTATATCTGTGACTTCTTTTGGGAGATATGCTCATGAAAGACAATAAAGGCTTAGTTATACTGTTTCCCTTTTTTAAATGACACATATTAATATCATGTAAATGTTACGTTAATAAATAAGGAGACTTTCTTGACATTTAAAATGGAAATGGAAAAAAAAACAGAGATGGGCATAAACAGGGAGAACAGGAATAAGAATATTAGATTTGCATTCAGACTTTTTTCTTCCTAAATATAGTGAAATTTTAATGTCATTTTCAAGAATATCCTTGTGTTACATCTACTGGCCATAGCCTAAATTTATTCTCTGATACACTTTTTCTTTCTGTGCATTTTTTCTGTGCCTCTGACCTTGGCTCTATCAAAATTCTTTTCTCCATCCAGCCCCTGAAATTGCCCCAGAGTATTGGCTCAGCCTAATTCATTTTGTTTTCAACAAATTGTAATTGTCCATACTTATGGGATTTAGTAGAATGCTTCCATACTTGTATACATTCTGTAATGATCAAATCTGGGTATTTAGCATTTTTAATCATCTTTCTGATTAATTCTTTTTTTGCTAGTGAAAACACTCAAAACCGTTTCTTCTGGCTACTTTGAAATATTCAATGCAATGTTGCCAACTTCTTTTTCATCTTTTAATCGAAAGGTAAGACTCTGCTTTTGTAGTTTGTTATGGGAGAGAGTCTGGGGAAAGGAAAAAAATCTGTCTAGTGACAGCTTGCGCTGAACACCAAGGTCCCCTTCTCCAGTCTCACAGCACAACCAGAACCTGGAGTTGCACAGGTTTCCTGCAAGGATTCAGCAACACACAGGCATCACAGGGTTTCGCTTATTATGAAATAGCCACAACAGTAATGTCTAGAGCCCTCTCCAATACCAGGCATCAGTGGGTTCTGGTCTCCAGATATTAAGAAGGCTAATAATGGCTTTAGATACCTAATAGGGTTGGTGGTGGATTGTGGACTTCATTTATTCACTCATTTAACAATGGACATGACGAAACCATGTCCATCATGATCGTTTTAATGTGCTTCAGGTCTCACAGCCCTGAAAGGGGGTCACCATGGTGCCACATTCAACATGATGGCCAAAAAGTGGACACCAGTTATTTGTGTGTTAACTGACATCTGCTCCAAATTGCATCCTTTTGAGATCCTGGGATTGCAGTTCCAGATTCAGATAAACATGGCCCACTGAAGGCTAAGGAAAATTTCTCCTTCTTTCTCAAGGGGAATTCTAGTTCTGCACTGATCACCCCTGGAGTCCCACCAAAATATCCACTCCTGTCCTCAATATGCAGAAAAGAGGGGCAAAGTCAAGGCCGCCCCAACAACAAAACGTGTTTCTCCAATAAAATCCATTCCAGCATTCAGTTGAATTTACGCTGAACTGAACACATTTTATCTCTTTACCTGGCAGGAATCCAGTAGTAAAAATACAAGATGTATTCAATTTTAATTATATTACAAAGCATTTAATCATAAATAAACCCCTCCCCCAAAGGAACCGATCATTTATCATCCTGCTCTCTCTGACCGACTCCTCAGTTCACATGTAGGAATCTATTATGTAGGGATGATTAAGTGTCCAATTAGAGAAAACAGATTAACCTGGAAAACACAATAACTTCAGCTAGTAAGCGGGATGGCTTTCTAAATGCTCACAATGAGTCTTTTGTAGATGTTTATGAACCGCGTTCTCCAGTGATGACTCTATTGCAATAGCCAAGGGACATACAGCCAAAGCCAGTTCAGAGCATTCTCTCTGGGACAAGAGCACCAAAGGCATGTTCTGGGGTCAGCATTGTGGTGCAGCAGGTAGAACTGCCTGGTGTCATGCCAATATTCCACAGAGGCCATGCTGCTCAAGTTCCAGTCCAGCTCCCTGATAATGCTCCTGGGAAAGCAGCAGAAGATGGTTCTGTAGAAGATGATTGGGCCCCTGCCAACCATGTGGAAGACCCATAGGAAGGTCCTAGCTGCTTTCAGCCACTTAGGAAATGAACTGAAGAATGCCAGATTCTGTCTGTGCAAATCAGCATTTCAAATAAAGAAATAACTTAAAGGCATGGCCTATTCAGATCATGACTCTGTAGATTCATTATTTAATGTAACACAAACATGAACTCTCACACACAATTACAGCCTCTTCAATATGAAAGCTCTCGCCTTATTTTTAGTTTCCAAGTGCTTCCAGTGGCTATGTGGTTTGCATTCAGACCCAGTGCTTCTGAACATGCAGCTTCATCCTTAACCTGCACAACTAAACCGGATTCCTTTATCAAACAGCTGGACAGCTTGCAAGTTTTTCTTTTTCTTACATTTCACTGGGGTTAAGAAATAAAGAGAAAAAAAGAAAAATGTAAAAATCAATGGGCTTTTTTCACTTTTAAACCAGCAGGAACACATTCCTTTCACTTGGATTGCATTTCCATCAGAGTCCAAATCAAAGGGTGACTGCTTTGAAAGAAATCTCTAGTTAATGTTCCCCAAAGTTCACAGACAGGTGCCAGGCCTCTCTTCCTCGGCTGAAAAGTATTCCCTGCCTCTCTTGTTTTGCAGTGAGACAGATACTGTTCATGCTGGGCTTATTTTTAAACTCCCCTGGCCAGGGCCTGACTTTGTCACATGCACCCAAGTCACACCAAGCAAGGGACTGCTTGGCTGCTCTGTCTGAAACCAAAACCGTTCCCATGCGCAGGCCAGGCTAGGCCAGGCTAGGCCAGGCAGGTCATGGGCAGTCAAAGGTGCCTCTTCCGTAATCACCCCACCCTATCTTGAGGCAGGTAAATTCTCCACCTGCAGTCCCCAGTTCCAGAAGCCCCAAGACTGGCAGGGCAATCATTTGATGGGTTCTTCTGTCTCCTTTATCCCCACTCTTAGATGGACTTTTTGCCGGGGGTAGGAGAGAAGGTGACAGAGAGGGGTTCAAATTCAACGAGTCTTATGTGTGTACCTCAATGTCCCAGTAGGCTCACAAGTGTGACCACTCTGCTTAGGACACCAGATCTCTTCGGCCCCAGAGGCATTGGCCTGAGCGCTTGCAGAAGATGAGGCAGTGGATGTGCCTGAGGTGCGGCTCTCAGCTTTTCTGAGCCCAGCAATACCGTTCATCATAACCACAGCACTTGCTTTCTTGGAAGCTCGCTGCCAGCACGCCCCAGTGCCTGGCAGCGGGGTGAACGTGGAGACCCACACTATGCTGTCTTTGACCGTTGGGTCAGTGGGCAGTTTCTTCTGTTTGCGCGCGCGGAGGGCTCGCTCAGTGCTGCGCTCTTAAGAGGCGTGCGGACACTTCAGGGGAACGTCTGGGGCGGCCAGCTGGCCAGGAGCCTGGGGCTTGCGCTGCTGCAGCGGCGGCGGCAAGGGCGTCCCAGCTGCAATCCGGGCGCACTGGTGCCAGGACACTCTGTGTTGCTGGCGTTGGTGCTGCAGGCCAATCCTGAGCTGGGATCTGCCTCTCCGGGCTGCGGATGGAGGAACCCCAGGGCCCCTAGCAGCAGAAAGCTCCCCAGCTGCGAGGCCGGGGAGCCCCCAAAGACACGCGGGGCTGAAGAGTGAGGTGTGTGGGGCTTATGGAGGGAGGTCAGACTTCAGGGTTGGTACCCTGTACCCAAGGGGGGGGGGTAGGAAAGCACTCCTGCTTGATAAACGAGGGGGCTAAGGCCCTAGGGGAGGAGACAGCCTTCCTCAAGTCACAGAGTTGGAAAGAGGCAGAACAGCTGCTCCCACTGAAGGAACTATGAATAATAACGTGAGCAATTATTATTAGACCAGCCTTTGGAAGTGGGATGGTGATAGTGTTGTGGCATTTAGGACTTTAATATGACTCCTGGGCTGGAAAAACACAACCACTCATATCCTCAATAGGCTCAAGTTACCCATTTCCCATCCATTATTAACTGTTTGCTCAGTCACTTGTGCCAAGCTCTCTGCTAGAAACTCAATTCCTGGAGAGAAACCTGAAGCAGCCATCCCATCTGGGAGGGTGGGGGCGGTGGGATGTACTGTTGGGGCCGAATGTGCAGGGGGGAGATGCTGGGTGACCTAGGGGAGGAGGTGGCATCTGACCCAGATCTAAGAGTGGGTTGTTTTGAGACAGTTGGAAATGGGCACTTCTGGTTAAAGATCCAGTGCTAGAGAGAAAAAAGAAAACTACAGGTGAGTGTGGAAAACGACTAGTTTGCTTTCCCTGGCATATAGGGGTGACTGAAGAGTCCAAGTCTACAGTGGAGGCAAGGTGGGGAGGATGTCAAGCACAGTAAACAGCGTTGTGGCTGAGGAGGGCAGACACGACGGAAAAGGAGACCCTCTAATGTAGAGTGAGATCATGGCCCCGGGACCTGTGCAGCGCCAAGGGTCTGAGAACTACTGAATGTCCAGGGTATTCTGGAGACATTGTCCTGCAGCAGGATTCTGGGTGAAAGCTGCAGCTGGACTGGCAGAGTCCAGAGTGGAAGATCTGGACCAGGGGTAGCCTGTCACGAACTGGAACCATGTTTCCAGGGGCAAAGAAACGTGCTCCTGGTTTCTTGGGGCACTGGTGGCTGCTTGGACCTGAACAGCAGTTAATCAAACTGTCCCTCACTGTTTATTTCCTCTGATGTGCCTCCAGGGACAATTGCAAAGCTTTAAATACAGCATCTAAATCAGGAACTTTCTCATACGCAGATCCTTATCCCATCCTTTGCTATAACCTGTGCTTATGATTCTGTGCAGATGAGCTGTTAAAACCATTTTTTTTACATGCAGGATACACAGGTTGTGGAGAAGACTAAGTGTAGTTTAATTGACCATGTCATCTTTGGTGGATGTCATTCAAGGAAATCAAATCACACAGGCAGACAGAGTGCAATCAGCTGCCCAGGGTTTAATTCTAGGCACTTTGTACTTGCTTCTAATCCCACCTGACACCCCCCCCACCCCACCCCAGGCAAGATACAGGCAGGCATTCCCCAGCAAAACAAGACTTTCCGTCAATCTCTGGTTCTGCATTGGCATGTTTGTTTTTGCAACTTGTTTGTCGAATTGGCATTTGAGAAGTAGGAGAACCAAAAAAATGCTATTTATTAGAAATTCCTTTGAATACTGATGTTGAACAGTGTTATAAAAAAAAGAACAGTCAATCTAGAGTAATCAGATAAACATAAAATTGAATTCCAGTTTTGTCGCTACCTCTGTGGCTTAGGTCAGCTTCCTCATCAGTGACCCCAGTTAGCAGCTTATAATTTTGAGCAGTCTGAGAGAATATTCTGCCACCCCTTGAGTCTGTCCTGTTTCTCTCTGAAAGCCATACCCACCTCTTCAAACTGGTTTCTTCACCTCTGGCAACCCCTGTTCCTATTTCTCTAATTTCGTCACTTCAACAATTTCCTGCAATTGGCATTTTTTTTCTTTCTTTTTTCCAGTTGGTGTTAAGCTATGGAGATTCATTCAACTTTTGCATGTATTGACAGCCTGTTCCTGTTTATTCCTCAGTAGTAGAACATGGTAGGCTTACACCACAGGTGTTTTTAACCATGTACCTATGAAGTCCATCCAGGTGGTTTCCATTTGTGGACCATTTCAAAAAAACTTGCTGTAAACATTCTTGTAAGCTGTTTTTGGGTGGGTGAAGTCTGTATTTTTGTTGTTCTCTGGGATGTATGCTTAGGAGTGCAGTTATTGGAGTGTATATTACTTACAAGATGCATTTTGGAAATTACCGAGAGTGACTAAATCACAATATTTTTCCACCACTAGTGAATGAGTGACTTGTTTGCTTCTCATGGTTGGCAGCAGTTGGCATCGCTGCTGTTTTTTTCTTTTAGATATTTGATAGGGGTGTAGTGATCTCATTGGTGTTGTCATTAGCATTCCCCTAGTGGCTAATGCCATTGGCCCTGGGGATCTTGTATGCCTGTTTCTTTGGAAAAGTGAGTCTTTGCCCATGTCCTAATGGTGCTTTTCTGATGTTTATCACTGTTGCATTTTGAGAGCTTGTTAGTAAGTTCAACTGTTCTTACGTAGCAGTGCGGCTTGCACGTGGAGTTTATCTTTTCATCTGCCTAACAGGACCATCGTTTGCAGTACAAACATGTTTAATTTTGAGGATCTCCATTTTTCGTTCTATATGCTTCGTACTTTCAGAAACTTGTTACAAATTTTGTCTGCCCTAGATTGTGGGGATTTTTTCCTATGTTACAATTTGTGTTTAGTCTGTGATCGGTTTTGAAATAATGCCTGCATAAAGTAGAAGATATAAATGAAATTTAGATGCAAAGCTTGTGTTTGTTTCCCAAACACCAATTGCTGAAAATCTTTAGATAGCAGATAATTTGAGCCAGTCAAAATCTCTGATTTTTTTGTTTCCTTTGTCTTAAAAATGATGGAGGTGAACTGGGACTCTGTGAGTTTCATTCAAGCTACCTTCCTGGAAGTGCAGGGATCCCGGGAGCCTCAGCAGCAGCAGCAGAAGCCAGGAGGAGTTCTCATAACCTCCCTGGTTCCATCCAGGGCAGCATTGCTCTCTACACTATTATGAGTCTGTCTTTTATGTAGTTTTATGTAGTTTTATTTTTTTCTCCTCTGCTGAAAAAAATAGGGAAGCATTGGCTTGGTTGATACTTAAAATACCCACCCAGCAGTAAATCACTGTGATTCTTATTGTTCAGTGACTGCATTCCACCAATTGTCTGTCTATAGGCTCTTCACTTAGTTTATACACACACAGACACACACACGCGCGCGCGCGCACACTTGTAAAACAAAGTGACAATGAGAGAGAAATGGAGAGACAGTGATAGATTTTACATCTGCTGGTTCATGATTCACTTTCCGGAAGGTCTCCATGGTCCTGCAGAGTGAGCAAGGCCAAAGCCAAGAGCCTCCAGTTGCAACTAGGATTCCCACGTGGATGGCAGGGGCCCAAGAACAGAAGCTGCTTTTCCAGGCCCGTTCACAGGGAACTGGATCAGAAATTGAGCAGCTGGGTCTTGAACCAGCCTCCAATTTGAGATGCTGGTGTCACTAAGGGTGGTTTGAATGTGCCACACCACAATTCCCCATTCTTCCCTTATTCTTTTTGAGGTCTTACTCATATAAATTGTGTTCCTTGCTGCCCTGTCATCTCTTTTTTATGAATATAACAATCTTTATGAAATCAATTTACTTCTGCATCATAAATCGATTTACAAAGTGTATGTCAGAAACTGAAAAAATGTGTTAAACATCTGTAAGATTTTGTGGCAGAATCACCAGTGTCCAAATTATCCTAACTGTAAGAGAGGATTAGGAACAAAAATCACAGAAGAGGCATAACCCAACCACATTTTTGACCAAGGGCCACCTCCTTCTTGTCATCCATCTGGCTCTCATTAGCTCACAGAGCATTTGAAACAGCTTTGAGTCAGTTCAAGAAGTTTTTCTTGCCGAAGCTTTGTGAGATGATCAGGTCAGCCCTGTGGCTTGTCTTCGTAATGAGGAAATTGAGATCCTGTGAGTGATCCTTTCAAATGTACAGAACTAGCAAGTATTAAGTAGAAGAGTGAAGAAGGTTTCTCATCCTTAACACCTTAGGGTTGCTATTGTTCCTGTGTATTTTCTAATACAATGGTTTCAGTGGGTGTTTTCTAAAAGCTGGCATTTGCTATCATAGCCTTTAATCTGTAAAATGGGATAATAAAATGATGAGCTCAAACTTTTATGCAAATGTTTTTCAGTTAAATTAGTGTATTAGAAAAAAAAAAAGTTATACCACAACATGCTCCCTGTATAAGTGATGGATCTCAAGATAAACTTGGCTTCATTTTGGAACTCCAGCCAGCAATGATGTGAGCTGGCTGCCTCCTCCTCTTGGGGAATATGTTTGTTTCTATCATAGTGTGTATCTATTTTTCCTTTTAGCACCCATGGGCCTCAATTGTCAGTTGTCATATTAATGAGACTCAGACATATATGAGAGGGTGGTTAGATTTGATACTTTCCATAAGAGTTGTTTTAGTAGTTATTTTTCAACAGATGGACAGCTTGCATTTGGCCACATTTCTGTGACAGTGTGATGATTGATGTTTCAACAGATTGCATCCAAATACTTGGGAAAGCACCCTTCCAATATTGAATGCAGAAAAAAAAAAGAAAAAAGAACGCATAGAGTGCCAGAAAAACTGTAGTCTCTATCCCAAGCTTTTAGCCTGAGCTATTATAATTATAATTTAAATGATTTGGATGTTTCCTTTTCTGGCACTCAGAATTATTTTGTAGATGAGCATTAAAGTCTGTGGTTGAGTGAGACGAGGAGGAACACTCTGTTGTCAATTAGAGATTCAACATCAATAGAGCATTAGGTCTCGCTACACTTGTTCATAGATGCACTGGATTTCCTGTTGCTGAGTTTTTCTGCATTTATATCATAAGAAGAAAATGTAACCTTCATCAAAATCAATGGTCAGAGATCTAGATGTTTTTTCACATAGGTATTGGACTTAATGGAGATGGGAGAAAGGGACCCTCATCAAACTCAGAATTTTCAGGCTTGTTCTTCAATGTGATGAACATTTCAAGTGGTCTTGTCCTCTTCCTACTCTCGATCGTGTCACATGGTTTCTTAAGTCACTAAGTGAGGAGTTAGACAGTGTGTTGGGCAGTAGGCATCTCTGGTGACATCTGCGATTGCTAATATGATACAGGACATGCTCTACTCACTGGTAGGTACAAACCAGAGTGCCTAGACATGCTCCAATCTACAGCACTGTTCTGAACAGGGAAGAAATATTCTATGTCTTGCATTACATCTGAATTTTGAGTTGGGCATCTATCCAAACCTTGAATGTATTTCTGCTTCAAGGACCTTTCTTTGCAGAGTTCTAATATCAAAGAAAGTCAACAGCCATACATGCCTTGGCTATTTGATTTTTCTTTGTTGCCAAATGAAAGGCTGAAAGATTTCTGATCTACTTCTGTTTCCTCACTTTCTCAGGCTACATTCAAGAAGACACTTTATTTTTTTTTTACCATAGTAATGAACTGAGCATTTGCCTAGTAAAACAAATAGAGATAATATTTTCATTTATTTCCCCCTTTTCATTCTGAATAGAATATACGTTATATTTAGGACATTAAGAATTTTGTGTCAGGAAAGTTAAACTTGCCAAGAAAGAATGAGAAAATATTTGTTCCACTGAAGCTGATCAGGAAGAGAAGCATAACTGTTAGAAATTAAGCAATGGTAAATCAGTTCTCATTGCATTTGTCTACAAGTGCACATGTACTTTACCATGAAATTCATTCGAACAAAAGGTAGGGTCTGACACTCTGCTTTTGTGGAAGCCGTAACCTGATTCTCTTTGGGTATGGTGTATTTGCTAAAACTTCTTTGTGTCTGTCATTGCAGATGGCATTCCATGATTGCTTCAGTTTAACCTACCCTGGGAATCCCCACCCAGGGGACTTGATTGAAGTGTTCCGTCCCGGCTATCAGCACTGGGCCCTGTACTTAGGTGATGGTTATGTTATCAACATAGCACCTACTGGTAAGATTTCTTTCCAGTGGTTTCTGGAAGCTTTTTAGTTTTCTTGGAGTAAAAGTCACAAATAAAGTTATAAGACAATAGGAAACAGATATAGAATGTAGAAAATAGGTACATCCATTACATCTAGGTTTAATTAAAAAAAAAAACACTGCAAAGACCAAAGATCAATAACTTAAATATTTAAAAAAAAACTTTGGAATGGAAAATATCCTGATTAAATAGTAAATAACCAGCTGAGGACAACATTTGCACAAAAATGATTGTATTCAAAGTCATTATGTAAAATCAATGATTTCAGGTCATTCTATAACTCTTTCTTTTAGATTGACTTATTTTTATTGCAAAGTCAGATATATAAAGAGAGGAAGAGAGACATAGAGGAAGATCACTCCCCAAGTGACTGCAATGGACGGAGCTGAGCCAATTTGAAGTCAAGAGCTCTTCTGGGTCTCCCACGCAGGTCCAGGGTCCCAAGGCTTTGGGCCATCCTCTTCTGCTTTCCCAAGCTACAAGCAGGGAGCTAGATGGGAAGCTGGGCTGCCGAGATTAGAATCTGTGCCCATATGGGATCCTAGCGCATTCAAGGCAAGGACTTCAGCCACTAGGCCACTGCTCCAGGCCCCCATAATTTTTTATAGATGATTTAGTAGGTGCTGAATGCACTTATAGGTACAGGGATACATCGACACTTCCTTGCATGATGAAGCTCACATATCAGGACAGAAAAAAGACTGTGAGCAAACTGCAGACTAAATATTAGAGTGCAGATGAGTAGTGTGGAAAAATTAATCATTGAGCTGGGATGACAAAAGCTGAGGAAGAGGTGGTGCAGTATGTGGGGGGTGCGGTTATAAATGAAAATTGGTAAGGACATTTTATTAAGAAAGTGATAGTTGAGGAAAACTATATATTTAAAAAAAGATGAAGAAACTACTCAGAGTAACCCAGGCGAAGGGGACAGCAACTGCTAAAATCCCCACCAATAAATGGGTAAAAAGTTATGAACAGTTTATAAAGGAAGCAAAGCAAAGACTAACAAACACACACACACACACACACACACACACACACACTTTCAGTGCTCTAGTCACCTAGAAATCGTAAAGTAAAAGTGTCTCGTTAGCAAAGTCTAAAATGTGTCAGTTCATGTTGTCAAGGATAGATTGAAAGGAGTATGAAGATCTTATTGATGGAAATATTACAGGATACAGTTGTCCACAAAAATAATTTGGTAATATGTGCTACGTCTTCAAAAGAAGACATGTAGTTGTACTAGAATCTTGTCCTGGGGAAATATTTCTATCTAATGATGTTCTCGTCTGTTTCATTTCTAATGGTTTTGAAAATAGACAATGACTAATGCTCAGTAAAGAAATAGCTAAATTCTGATTTCACCACAGAATATTAGGAGTCTGCCTTTTGCAGGATTGTTTAGTGTCTTGTAACAGAAACACAGTTAGAATTAGCTTAAATGAAGTGCTGAGCACATTGCTTCATGGATGGAAAATATAGAAAGAGTAGAGGTGGTGCTGATCCCAGTGGTACCTGCATCTAGGGATTTGAACACTATCTAGATGCAACTTCACACACTCTCCCCTTAATCCAGCCCCTTAATTTTAGGTCTTAAAATCCAAATGTTGAGTGTGACCTTGTAAAAAGAAATTCAGTTTTTGCTTCTATTATTAACGATGGCAGAGTTTTCCAAGCCACTTTACTTCTGCAAACATCCTTCTCCTCATTTTGGCATTGAACTAGTAAAAAAAAAAAAGTGGAGAAGAAGAAAAAGAAGAAAAAAGTTAAGTAATTAGAATATATAAAGGTGTTTCAGAAAGAAGTCAAGGAAAGAAAGAAATGATGCATGGCTTTCAAAATTATTTTGCACCAAAATAAACTTATTTCTGAAATCCATTTTCCAATGCCCTTTTCTGTGGTACTCTGTTATTTGTCCCAAGGACTTGTAACATGAGAGATTCTAAATGTTAAACATATTAACTGGAAATACTACTAAGATGAGCAAGGGAATAGGAAAATGGAAATAGAAAAAAAAGTTTGCTTTTGATCACCAGAAAGGAAATGTTTTTGAGCTGGCACTGTGGATAATAGCTTAAACCTATGCCCGCAGTGCAAGCATCCCCGATGAGTGCTGGCTTGGATCCAAGCTGTCCCACTTCTGATGCACCTGGGGAAGCAGCTGAAGGTCACCCAAGGGCTTGAGCCCTGCACCGATGTGGGTGACTCAAAAGAAGCGCCTGGCTTCGGATCAACCCTTCTCTGGATGTTGCAACCATTTGGGGAGAGAAAAACAGCTGATGGAAGAATAATCTCTCTTTCTGTCTCTCTCCTGCTCTATAACTCTGCCCTTCAAATAATAAATCTTCATAAAGAATAAAAATATGAAAAGGGAACATTATGAACTCTGCCTATTAGGTATACCAGAGTATGGCAGTCTTAGGCCCTGAAAGAGCGTCCCAGTTCTGGCATTAGACCTGTTAACTGACGAATTACCTGTCCATCCTCAGGTGCTGGTTGTGGCAGGCCAGCGTACTTGGGTTTCTGGCAGCTGAGGTTTAGTGGCAGAGCACAGAGCATTTTACAGGTGGATTGGATAAGCGCAGGACCACATCTGGTGAGCGGTGCTGAGCAGGTTAGCTCCAGACTTAGGACTTAAAAAGAAGGACATTAGCCTGAACTCAGCTGACTATCAGCTTGAAGGCTTCAGAACCAGACATTGGGTACCCAGTTGAGGCAAATTGAAAGTGTATGGGTGTCAAGGTAAAGGTGGGGAGTGTAGCATAGATGCTAAACAAGCCTGCAAATCATAATGCACTGCTGCTAAGCACCAGAATATTAACTTGGAAGGGCTGAAAAGTTGAGACAGTGTTTTCTAGAAAAATGAGCAATAATCCCATTTGTAGTACTTTAGGGACCTGTATGAATGCCAACTGATTGGGAACCCATTTCTCTCACAAGAAGTGTTGTGGATAACCTGTAGATTAAGGCTGGTAAGAATAAATCTGTTTGGTTTTGATGCTGCATTAATCAGAGCTGGATCTAAATATCCAAGATTTTTTCCAAGTGTTTAGAGGGTATTAGCACACAGAGAACTGACTGGTTCATTACACCCTGTTAACCAGAATCCATCTTGCAGATGGCATTCCTGCGTCGTATTCAAGTGCCAAGTCTATGTTCAGCACAAAGGCCCTGGTGAAGATGCAGCTGTTGAAGGATGTGGTGGGAAATGACACCTACCGAATAAACAACAAATATGATGAGACATACTCCCCTCTCCCAGTGGATGAAGTCATGAAACGGTCAGAGTTTGTTATCGGACAGGAAGTGGCTTATGACTTGCTTGTCAATAACTGCGAGCATTTTGTAACTTTGCTTCGCTATGGAGAAGGAGTTTCTGAACAGGTGAGTTTTCTTTGGGAGAAAAAGAAAAAAAAAAGCTGTTATTAGGTATGAAAAGGTTCCCAAGCAAGATGAAAAACAACAAGAAAATCTAAAAACACTGAAGTTAGGAGAAGGAATACACTTTGGCCACAATCATGCAGGAAATTCATGATCAATAGAGACCTGAATTTGAATATCATGAATTTTAAGCTGGAAGGATCTCGAAGTGGAATCAACACCAGAGGTTATTTTAGTCTTGCTGTCTTTAACCCTGCTATTATTTTTCATGTTACCACACCATAAAACAAATTTAAATTAGGTGAGAAAATGGAATTAAAGGATATGTTTATTTTGGTGTAAAGATTGTTAAGATATATGCATAGAAGACGTCTTCGCAAGTTTCATGGAAAATGTATAATAGGAAAAAATTGTGCATATATTGCAGTATTTTTGTACTGAAACAGACTTATCTGTTAATCTTTTAATCTATTCTCCCCAGACTTTTTGGAGTACCTTTGTACATTGAAAATGTGTTGACTTTTTTGAGTGGAAACTCATTTGCCAGTAACACAAATTGTTATTTTGAGATTCACTTCTCTTGCTAGATGGACGCCAACTGATAATGTGTCTGGCTGGATTTGCAAGTGTTTTCTGTTTCCTTGCAGTGATAATCCACATCTTTATACCTTTCATACTTAGGTTCAAGAAACACACGTGTGCGCTTACACACACACACTCCTCAACAAATAGTAGAAATTGCCTCCAGTAGTACCATCTATTTGTTAAAAATGGTGAAGCAGCACTGACAGATTATCATCAACCGAAGTCCATGGTTTAGTTAGGGTTCACCGTGGAGACATTCTGAGAGCTTGCACATTTAGAGTGGCATGTGTTGACCATGGAAGCGTCCTAACACAGTTTTCCTGCCCTAAATTTCCTTTGGTTCCAACAATTCATCCTTCTCTCTCCCCAGATTTCTGGGAGCCACTTAATTATTTGGAGCTCTCTCCATAGTTTTTCTTTTCCAAAATGTCATGTACTTTGAAATCACATAATGTGAATAGTTAAATTCACTTCTTTCACATCATACTTTGCATTTCAAGTTTCTCTGTGTAATTTCGTGGTTAGCAGTTTCTTCTTTTCAATATGGAAAAAAATCCCTTGTGTCAAGCTCTCACCATTTGTCCATCCACTTACTAAAGGGCATCGTGGCTTCTCTGATCATTGACCATCAAGAAGAATGTTGCCTTAACATAGCTACTCAGGATTGTTTTGTGAACATAGATTTTTCAGCCCCTTTGGATAAATTTCAAGGAGTATGATTACTGAATCATATGTGCATATATGTATAATTATGTGAGAAAACGAGAAACTGTGTTCCAAAATGGCTGTTATATTTTGTGTTTACACAAGCAGTGAATGACAGTTGCTGTTGCTCCTTATCCTCACTAGTATTTGATGTTATCAATATTTTGGATTTTTGTAATTCTAATAGATGTATTTCTGTTTTAATTTGCAGTTACATAACTATGTATAATATTGAACATCTTTTCGTGTGTTTTGATGAAGTGTCTCCTGATATCTTTTTACCTCTTCTAATTTTAGAAGTGTCTTTTAAAGATTTGTTTATTTGCTTGAGGGTTTTTGCTGGCAGAGTTAGAGAGAGAGCAATCTTTCATTTCTCCAATGACTGCAGCAGCCAGTGTTGGGTCAGTCTGAGGCCAGGGGCTTCCTCGGCATCTCCCACATGGGGGCAGGAGCCCAGGCACTTAGGTGATCATCTGCTGCTGCTTTCCCAGGTGAAGTATTAGGGAGCATGAAAGAAAGTGGAGTAGTGGGGCCCAGCGCGATGGCACAGTGGTTAAGGTCCTCGCCTTGCATGCCTGGGAACCCATATGGGCACCCATATGGGCACCGGTTCTAATCCCGGCGGCCCTGCTTCCCATCCAGCTCCCTGCTTGTGGCCCGGGAAAGCAGTCGAGGACAGCCCAAGACTTTGAGACCCCGCATCCACGCTTTGGATCAGCATCGGCCATTGTGCTCACTTGGGAAGTGAATCATTGGATGGAAGATCTTCCTCTCTGTCTCTCCTCTCTGTATATCTGCCTTCCAATAAAAATAAGATAAATATTAAAAAAAAAAAGAAAGTGGAGTAGCTTGGACTAAAATCAGGGACCATAGGGGGTGGCAGCTTAACTCATTTTGTTACAGTACCAGTCCCTTTCAGGCTTATTAAGCTTTGGTTGTTGATTTTCCAACTGTTTAGAGAATTCTTTGTATATTTTAGATCACAATATCTTACCGGATTTATATTTTACAAACATTTTACCTTAGTCTGTAGCTTATCTTTTCTAATTTCTAATTTCTAACAAAAAGCAGTTTTTACTGTAATAGTCCAGGCAGGTGATTGACACATGTGCTTTTGTCCAAGGTGGTCACCCTTTTGAATGGGCCTGGCTGAATCAACGCCTGAGCATTTTAGGAAGGGGGTGTTTTGGTAAACCTTGTAGTCATCTGTGAGCCCACTGTGCTAACATCTGGCCACACCTGCCTCAGAGTCAGCTACTGCTTCATGGGACACGTGCAGGTCCTCAGAATGAGACCTTTGTTTTGACCCATGGATTGAAGCTCCATAATGAATACTATGTGTAGACTGGATTTAGTGATCTCACAATCATAAATAAGTCTTGAAGTAGAAAAATGCTCTGTCTGTTATTTCAGCAGAAACATCCTAAGTTCTTAGAATCTTACAGATCAGATCCATTATGTGTAAATGCATGACATTTTCCAATCAGGAGATTTAAAATAATGACCATTTGGGATTTGGGAAACTCCAAGTATTTCCAAGAGTGGGTTTATGATAGTTGTAATTTGGCCTGTGATCTCAATGAATTCTGATGTTGAATTAGATTCCCTTTTCCGTTCTCTCACCTCTAAGGTTGATGAGATTTCTCTAACATCTTTTGTCTTTAGAAACTTGTATCTATAATAGTGTCATTTTCACAGAGCTATATCTTCCTGTATGTTGACACTTCTGCTTAAGAATACCAGTGGCACCTTTTCATTATTCCTTTGACTGGCTCCATTTCCCTGCATTGTGTGATCTTGGTGTCTCAACACTTGCTAGAGTTGGTCTTGACTTAAAAGCTTTTATCAAGCTCATTAGTGACTCTCCCTCCTCCTTAGAATTTTATCCTGGATCCCCCTGCCTTTTTTTTTTTTTTGGTTCCGTATGTGCTATGTGGATGATTCTATGCTGCAATGAATTCTGATACTCCCCTAGAAAATAATTTGGATCAGTGATTAATTCTGAAATTACAATTAAGACAAACACACAAGAAATAGTCAAATAAATACAATGAAAATTACAAGCAAAGCTGTCAGTTTTAGATCCTGGTCTTTTGCTAGTACTATTTTTTACTGGCATTTGAGATGTCCAACAGAGGCAAGAGTCACCATTGCAGTCCTCATGTCTGTAGGACTGAAGAATAGTGGATGGTAGCAAGTATCTGGTGCAAATATACAGAGCACTGAATATTCCTGCTATACACCTGTTCCCTGGCCATAGCCCTGGCCTTGCTTGCCTCTTCCCCACTGGGAAGTCACATTTAGGGAGATGGCATTGTGTTGTGTTAGTGTGTGGGTGGCAGGATCTTTGGGAAACAACATGAGCTATTCGTGCTTGGTCAGGCCTCCCAGCTCGTGAACTGACACCCTAGACATTTGGGGAAAATCTTTTGCTTTGTTCAAAAGCCCTGATCTTTAAATCCCACAGAATAAATGCTGTTTCCATAATGCCTAATGATTCTGAAGAGTCTGAATGTGACCTATGGGTCACAAAATTGCATCAAATCCATGGAGATGGAAGGCGGTATTAGCTGAGTGCCATGAAACCAATGAATATTCATTAGATTCCCTCATCATGATGCTGATTAATACCCTTAAAGCTATAAATGTCTGAATTCCCTTATGGACAATTGAGCTTGAGAGTGGTTTATTTTATTTTGTCTACATGAGAGATTAATTTTTGACATAATAGTTAACAGCAATATTGACTTTATTCTTAAAGTTGTTTGTCAGAATGGAAATTACATCTACCATATAAGAGCTGATGGATACTTAGCTCAGATCACAACCCCAAATTATTTCACTGATATGCATGTTGATTCACACACACACACACACACACACACACACCTCACTCAAAGCATATATTTGAGTAAAGACCCACCCAAAGCATATATTTAGGATATAGGAGCTATGCAGTGGGAAAAAGAAAATTAATTAAAAAAAAAAAACAGGTTTCTAAAGATCCAGTCTATCTCTAAATATCTCACTGGTATGACCTCCAGAGAGTCAGTTGAATACTTCTCAAATTTTTGCAAAATAGAGTTAGTGGTACCTCTTTTGCCAGTGCACGTGAGCATTAATGGGAATCCTACATCTAATGAGTTCACAAGCTTCTGGATTGATAAGGATATAGTGAATGTATACCTTTGTATACTTGTCTATCTCTTTGGTGTGATTATAATTTAATTTCTTCATCCTTATACAGAATTTTGATCTTGCATGGAAGTTTAATTAACTCATTTATCCATTGTACAAACAGGTCTTGTAGTTGGGAAATAAGCCTAAACATTGAGGACACTGAGACTCTTGGGAGTAAGATGTGTTTATTTCTTTTCTTATAGGCCAACCGAGCAATAAGTACCATTGGGTTTATGACGGCTGCTGTTGGTGCCTTCTCCCTCCTGGGCTTGTTTTCAAAGAGACAAAGACAAAAGTACTATTAATTGACGGAAGAGGTATTGAAACTGAAGGAATTTATAAGAAAGAAACTAAGACCTTATTTTCAAATCATCACTAGCATCCCAGGCCCTTTAATAAATCGCTTACTGATACTACCTTATCACTGAGTCAAGGACATCCCTTCCCTCCCCCCCCCCCCCCCCTTGGACTATCACAGATTTGCATGGCAGCTGAACAAGAAGCAGCTGCCTTCTGAGTAAGCCGGCTGAGGACCTTACCAAAATCACATCACATTTAGTCTTCTACTGTAAATACTGCTTTCCTTCTCGCTAAGGGTGGTTGTTCTGCCAAAGAAGCGGAGAACTGTTTATGTGTAGATTAGAAAGAAATGTGAAGAACTCTACATTGTTAAGATCAACATACATGTTTATATTCTTCCTTTTTCCTGTTGGAAAAGAAACTGAGAAATTTCAGCATTTTGTGAGGCAATTTAAGGAACTCTCTTTCACAAACCATTAGAAGGTGCAGTTCCTTCTCTCTGCACCTGTGGAGGTGTGAGAAGCGGAAAGGCTCTGTTCCCAGAGCCTCAGATCCCTGGTGCTTGTCAAGAGCTTACAGCAAGCTGAAGCAAGCTGGTACCTACATAGAATTTTGGTTTCTGCTCTTTGGATATTTAAAATATTTGCATAAATTCTGACTCAAAGACCAATCAGTTAGAAGTGTTTTATAGTTTTGACCTTTTATCTTGGCCAAGAGATAGTTAACTATTGGTTTAAAGCGTGGTCTATTGGAAACAATATCTTATAAAAGCTTTTACTCTAAGTCAGGAGTGGCATGAATCTACTCTTTCATCTTATGTGTTAGATTAAGTAAACTCATTTTTAATACGATTTCAGTGGAAGTTTGGGAGCTGGGATAGATTTAGATTGCAGATCTCAAAGATCTAGGATTACAACAAATTTCATGCCACAAACCATATTATCAGTTAGTGGCATATTTTTTTGTACCGTCATCAAAGCTTGATACAACATAAAATTCGCAATAAATATGTATTAGGAAAGGGAGTAATGAAAGGAATGGAACTATGATAGATAAAGTAACTGAATAGAAAATTCGATAAAACTTGGATCTATTCTCAACCTTTTGGCTAAGATCAAGCGTAAATGTATGTAGATTTTATCCTAGGCAATACATAATTTAGAAGTGAATTGTAGAGATAAGAATGAGTACAGTTGTCCCCTGGCACATGTGGAACTATTTCAGTAAAATAATAAAGATAATGAAAACTGCATGTGTTCAAATCCTTTATATAAAATGGCCCAACAGTTGCATGTAGTATGCACACATCTTGATAGTTTAAGTCACTTTTAGGTTTCTTATGATGTCTAACTCAATGTAAACGCTATGAAATAGTCATTAAACTGGAGCCAGTAACATTGCATTGCAGGTTAAGCTTCTGCCCGTGGTTCCAGCATACCACATGGATGCCTGTTTGGATCCTGGCTGCTCCAGTCCCCTGCTAGTGCTAGGGTAAAGCAGCAGAGCATAACCTAAGTGCTCGGGCCCTAGCACTCATGGGACATCTACAAGAAATCTCTGGTTCCTGCCTTCGTAGTGGTCCATCTGGCCCCAGCCACTGTGGCTATTTGAAAAGTGAACCAGTGGATGGAAGATCTCCCTCCCTCTATCTTTCCTTCCTTCTCTGTTTTAACTCCTCCTTTCAACTAAAGATAATGAATCTTTTTATATGAATCCTTTTTTTAAATGCAGTAGTCATTATACTGTATTGTTTAGGAACTAAAAGCAAGAAAAGGATTTGTACATGAACAATATGGCCTCATTTTCTCCCCAATTTTTTATCTGCTGCTGAGTGAATCTACCATGGAAAAACCTGCAAATGTGGAGGGCTGGTGCTAAGGCATGGAGCAGGGTTGTGTGCTGCAGGCAGGGCCAGCTGTGACTTCTGCATTTTCACTGATCCTGTCACTTTTTTTTTTATGGCATCAACTCTGTCTCCATATCTCCCATGTCCTGAGTTCCTCTTTTGGGGAAATGTGACTGTGTTTACCAGGGATCAGGAGCTAAAAAATGACCCCTTATGATTACTTCAAGTTCGGGTCCTTTCCTGCTCCGCTTCCAAGTTAACAGTCGGCAAAAAAAAGAACCATTCTATAGAATTACCTAAAGTGAGATGAGCCTGGCAGTAGTATAATGGTCACTTTTCCCAAAGTGTGCTGAGTTTTCAGAAAAGGATTCATGTGACATGGGAGTGGCAGAATCACTACCCTGACCGGTAGGTGAGGAATAGATGTGGGGCTTGAATTCAAACATTTCTGGAGATCTCTGAATGTCGCTGTGTCTGAAGATGACACTGGCTTGCTGGATAATGTCACAAATTCACCATTAAGTTTCTCAGTCCACTCCACAGCAGTGATGTTGGAGATTGTAGCAGCTTTCACCGTGCCCAGCACCTGTGGCCCTCTAGGCTCCAGGCAGCTTAACATTGTTCAGTTTGCTTTCCCTACATATGGTCGCGCTCATATAAGGAAGATCTTTTCCCAGACTTTTTTTCCACAAGAATTTTTAACCTTCCTCTAAACAAACTGTTTACAAAGTCAAGAATGGGCTTTAACATTATCTAATTAAAAAATGGTAAGTGAAATAAAGATCATCTACTAGATGCCTGATAGACTGTTGGCAAAACTCGGGAAGAAAAGGCTCTTGTAGGTTTCTTTTTTTCTTAAATATATTTTTATGTTATCTAAATATCATAGGTTATCCAGTGTGTCTTTTTATTCTACAAGCCAAATTACTGAATACAATAATGCCAGCTCAAGGAATGCTAGTTACTGTATGTTTAAGTTGACATATATTTCTTAATCATAAACTAAAAATCTCTCGCTTTCTTTTAACTTTCTCACTCTCCAAAGATGTGTGAACACAATAAAAGGTTAAAAAGCAAAGAGAACATAAACATGGAATATTTGTTTTTACAAGATTTTGTATTGTGGGTTTGTGCAACAGTCTATAATGCTATTTAAAATCAAGTATTGCTAAAATGCTACAAATGCTGATCAATCCTTATGACTTCAGAATTGTCAATTCCTGAACTGAATGCATTTATTGCAGACTTAGACACAAAACTGACACATAATTGGTTAAGCAATTGTCTTTGAAGATCCAGATCCTTAGCAAAATTAGATTTATTACTGCAACGAAAGCCAAGAAGGTAATTTAAAATATTCACTCAGAAGAAATCTCTTCTCATTGTGATTGTGACACAGGTATTAAAGGTGATAGGGTGCAGAATGTATTTGTAAATAACATACCTGTCCTTACAGTGTTTCTAATAGGATGGCTTGGATAATGAAAAGATGAAATAGGAATTAAGCTCCTTTGGAAGCCTGGGAGTTGTCATGCTCTAGGTATTCACATCAGGACTCCTGTGCCCGGGTGCTTTGTTTTTGAGGATGAGCCATGCTGACTTTGAGCCAACCTGCAGAGTTGGAACTTGCAAACTCTGTGTCAATAATAAAGAGCAAGGAGAGGAGTCAAGCTTCTGCAAGTGAGAAGCACATTTGAATGTTTTATTTCGTTACGTCTGTGGTCTCCCCTGAACATTCTATCCTACAAGCCCTAAAACAGAGCCTGGGGAAAGACCACTTGGTTGGAGTTCATTTAGACTTATCCATGGCCATATCAAGGTTACGTGTCTCTGACAAAATCCTGCAGCCTTCACAAAACTCTGGCTTATAATAAGAATCAAGATGAATAACTAAAATTGATGCTAACTCTCATTTCCCTACTAAAACCTTACAAAGGGGACCAAAAAAAATTTTTGTGGCCTTAGAAAAAGTTATGTACATCTTTTACACATGACTACAAATGTAAATAATTTGTGACACTATACTGATAAAACTTTCAAATGTATCCTTTTAAAAAAAGATAATGTTCTGCATATGAACAAAGTTTGTTGGAAATAGTAATTTAGGAATAGCATTTTTTTCTCTTTCTCAATGGTAAAAGGTGCTGTCAAAATCAGTAGTATACTGAAGGTCCTTTCCTGTCAGCCTCATTACAATGAGAAATGAACTTGAAATGCTGCAATGGAGAAAGAAAAACAACCTCTCCACGCGAAGTTTTTGCTTTGGGGAAAAGAACTGATACTATTAAACATATACAACAATAATTATGATTTTACAATCTGGTCCAAAGATGTTGTTCTGTGGTTAGGTTGCCCAATTTCAGCTGTTTTGGGGGGATCTCTTCAGGGCTTTCATAGCCCCTGTTGATGTAGAATCCATTTTTGTCATCGCCTGAATAATCTGTCCTGTTTATGGGGGGCCACGCAGAGTCTTCTGCCAGATTTCTTTGCCAGATCCTATACTGACTGTTGGAGTGGAATCCAAATTTTTTCTTGATCAATAGCCAGAGTTCATGATTTTGAAGGATAGCATCCTGGAAAATCAAGGGAGAAGAGTATTGAAACCATTACACAGTTGCTCCTGCAGCCACGCCGCTCCCCCGACAGCCTGCTGCCTGAAGCCTTGCTCTGAGCTGCACCCAGTCCCACACTGCTGCTGTAAGGAACCCTTATTCCCCTGGAGAAACAAAGGGGTTCCTGAGTTTGTAGAAATCTACTGAAAGTTATCAGCCTTTCATTTCTACGCATTTCCAGTTAAATCCTGTCTTAGTGACTCACTAAAAATTATTTCACTCCCTGACTAGAAATGGTAACAATAATAAAGAACTTAAAATCAATAAAACAAAAAGGGACTAGTTTGGCTACTTTCCACCTGCTACATAGAAGACGCCAAGTAACGGGTTGTTGAATGACTGGAAAAACTCTAGAATTATGTTTTCAGTTTTCTGAGTCCTCTTTTTTCTTTATTCATACACTGAAGAAATTTTTACCATTAGTAGTAACAGAACTGATCAAATTTTGTGTTTTGCTATGCTTATGCCAGACTTTCTGTCAGTAACAATTTTTAGGTAATGATATTCTTTCTAAAACATTTTCCTTTAGTGAAAACACAATTATGCTTTCCAAATCATTATGTCTGTGTGGTGTTTCTTCCATATAAATAGATATGTATGGAAGTCATATTTAGCCACTGTAGTTAACTCTATAATGAAAATCTTACTTTTTCTCTAGCTTCTTTAGGTTATTTTTAAAAATGGAATCACAGAAATAGAATTTCTGAATTAAAGTGTAGAGCAAATTTAGCATTTATTTATGTGTCTTTTAACTTCATAGCTCATTTTTTTGCAATAGTATTTTTAATTAACCTTATAAGGCAAAGGCCTATTGTCTCTACCAAATAAAGAGATCAACAAATACAAAGACCATAGTTCAAATGGGGAAATAGGCAGGCACTGGAAACAAATAATCAAATAATAAGATGTTCAACATCACTTATATAGGGCAAATTTCAAAATAACCCTGAAGTATTAATACTACTGTAATATCTGAGCTCTTTTTATAATAAAAACATACATGTGTGTATACATACACATACTTTTTAAAAAGTTTGGTCTCTTTCCTCAAGGGAACTTCTTTTGTTGCATAAACTTCTTTGTTTTTTCAGATCTCCATGAAAAACAGCACCTGAGATTTTGAGTGAGTGAGTGAAGTCCTGTGGTGACACTGAGCAGACGGGAACTATTAGGGGAAGTCCTTGCAGGTGGATTGTCCAGAATGAGCAATGGCTTCCCTTGTCTCTGCATTGGGGACGCCTCCTGAAGACACTGCTACATTCTAAAGGACCTCATGGAATTTTAGTGTTGAAGGTCACCTGCTCTCATCAACCTTAGGGGAATGAGAATACACAGAGCAATACAGCGCTTTTGTAGAGTGTAAATGGATGCTTTGCTTTCTATGCAGAAGCAAAGCATTCAACATAAGCTTCAACAGAACTTTCATTCTCCAAGAAATTTCCCCCTCAAATGAACATGTGTACTTTTTACAAAACTCTTATTAACTATTATTTGGGGGAACCAAAATGATTTTCTAAACAGTGAACATTGTTCAGAATGCAAAGCTTTGCTTATCTCCCCAGACACATACAGAAACATCTTTACCTCCACAAAGAAAGCCACACAGAATTGGGTAAGGGCTGCCACCAAGATCAAAACCCTCCAAGAAGTTATGGTCGGAATGAACTGTTGAAAAGCAAACACCACCATTATATTTTATTGACTGTATACTTTGAAAAATCACGCAAAGCAAAATATGCTTGGAATTCTTTGCTTTTTTTTTTAATTAAATGGACAGATGGGTAAAATCTCTGGCTGGGGGACAGAGGCACAAGTGTATTTGCTTGAGACTAGGTGCATTATTTAAAAAAAAAAAATTACTTAGCCTCACATCTAATGCTTTCGGGGGAGTCTCATCTGCTCAACCTTACTCCATTTCAGAGACCAATGAGTGCACACTGACCACAAAGGCACTCATTTAACAAGTGTGAGAGTCACAGGGTCACATGATTGTATGCTTCCCAAAGGGAAATGGCAAAACCCTCTATCTAGTCCTACTGAGTAGAATTTGGATAGGTGATGGTGTGTGGGACTGAATTCCTGGGAAGACTGAATCCATAGCCTTTCCAAGGGGTCTAATCTCTTCTTAAAATTCTCATCCATGTCTTGATCTGAGTTGTTTCCAAGTTTGCCCTTATTCCCAAGCAGGGCATGGCCTTTACAGGTTGTACAGTATAGCCTATTGGGTGGAAGCATTATTTGGAAAAGGGGGATTGGATCCTAGAGGAGGACCTGCCATCACTCTGACCTGGGAGGGCTCTTTTTCAGCCCTTGCCCTAGAAGGTGCTTGGTTCAAAATTACTCATCTATGTGATGATGCCTTCTTGGATTATGAGCTGCTTGTGAGCAGTGACTGTCTTCCTCATCTTTGTGATGCTAGTGCCAAATGCACTCTGGAGCCCTATAATATTCACTGAAGAGAATGGATGGCTTGAGTTTTCATTAAGTGCATTGCTCTCCACGTTCTCATGCTCACTCAGTGCTTCTTCCACTGTCTAATCAGTCTTAAGTATCTTGCTGAAAAACCTCTAATGTCGTGATGTCTGACATCCAGCCCAAGCACTGCCGGCTGCCTTGTTCCAACCAGGCCTTCTTCATCCTCACCTCCCTTGCACCCTGCATACTCCACAGCACAATGTTTCAGTTTTTGCCCATCTCCTGGCCCGTCCAGGAAGACAGCTTTGCTTTGGATCTTTGTCTCTGCAACACTGTGTTCTGCATTTCCAAAGCAAGAATAGCACTTTCAACCCTGTACACTTAAGCTTTTCTCCTGGTGGGAAAATCCCTACCTTTTCCTTAGCAAAATATGGTCTACCCATCTGGTTCCAGATTGATCAAGCTGTAGCTCTTCTATGAAATCTCTCAGACAGCCACAAGAAGAAGCCCTTCTTATTATGCCCTTCCCAGTTCTACCTTCACATACCCTTCAAGCATGAATGTCTCAAGTGAGCACACCCTCGTTACTCAAGTGGTGACTCATCTTCACAGGAAAATGATAGCTTGGCATGTTGGGAGCCAGTTCTCCACTTTGCTTTATGTGTCTCACAATACGGAGTCTAGGAATGACCTTGGTAACCCCTTCAGAAATTTAATGGTAACTCAGTACACCCTGGATCAAATGACATCCACTAACATATAACTCCATATAGCCAATATCTCATGGAACATTAGTGGCTTATAAATTTACTTTTTCCTTCCCTTCACAACTACATTATGAAGAATTTCCATGGTGTGCTTAAAGAAACTAGGATAATTGGAGTCATGGTATTGATACATTAATTTTATTGTATTTATAAAATATGCTGCAATGAAGTATCCAAACATAACACCTCAGGTGTGAAAGAGATAAATATACCTAACTGATAACACTATCAGCTATATTATTAAAATATATGTGATATACCTAAATGCTATTTGCTTTGCTAATCAAGAAAAATAGTCTATCACTTTTTAATAGCCAGAGAGAATATGTAATAATTGACTTGCAAATTGTAATGCAAATATGGTCCATAGAACATATAAATCATGCTAGATGTGCTAATAAGTAGCACTTACCTCCATCCCATGATATATATCTTGGAAATCTGCAAACATGATGAAAATTGTGATGCCCAGTGCAGATATCAGCAGGAATGAAAATACATCTGAAGAAACACCAAACATTGCTTTATATGCTAAAAGAGTATTTTATATAATTTGGCACACATTGCAAAACCAATTATCCATGTTGTACAAATACCAGATACATTTTCAGATGTTTTGATACATCCTCATATGCTTTAAAATATGTTCTAATGCCTAAAAGATAAAAGTGAAATCTTAAAATATTTCCTTGTAAGGGCTGAGTGTGGAAAGTAGCTCTGCCAACATTAACAACTGCAATGAAGGAGTTATTTTAGGATTCCCAGAGACTACATGCTACAGTGACCTGCTCACATACATGGCCCAGAGAGGTCCTAGGGCATTGTCACCGTACGGTTAGTGAGCCGTGCAAGTGTGGGTTGAACAGTCAGTTCTCCTAACAACATCTCTTTCTTATTTACTGTCCAAGTCCAAGGATCTTGAGCTGACATTCACAGTCTTTCAGCATCTGGCCCTAGTCAAGCTTTCTACACGGATCTCTGTCTTATGTGGAACTAACAAGTTAAACCATCATGCCTGCTCCTTCTTCTTCTTTCCAGCTGCTGTGTTTCATGTAAATAGTGCCATTCTTGCCGTGGTATATTACAATTTTTCTTAACATCAAGAGTCCAGTCTAAGTCTCATTTTTCTCTTCAAATACTCTTTCATCTTCCTTTAGAAACTTGAATTTCATATGGTTTAGGAGATTACATCAGAAAGGTTATAGAAAAAAAATGAATTAAAAGATATGTTAATTATAGTCCAGAAATACTCTAAAGTTCTTGCATAGCTTCCTTATGATACATATTTTCTTTGAACTTTTTAAAGATCTGCCTTGTATGGTCTTAATGTGTCTAATGACTACAGTGTAATCATGTGAAAGTGACTTGGGGTCCAGTTCTTTAATGCTGAGTTGAAAAAGTGAGACATGAGCTTGTCCATCTACTGATCTCCTTTCCAACCTGCTCAAGCCGCTTGACCTGGAGAACAGACATCTCAGGATGTGCTGCACCCTTACTTTGATTCCTACCCCTCAGTTTCCCACTCCTGGCTCTGCCAAAGCTTTTAGCACAACTCTTTGTAGATGGTGCTTTAGATCTGTCCATTTAACCATGGTTTCCATGATGTATATGGGTCTTACAACCCTAAGAAGTTCTGAACAAAATAAAACAAAACCTATGCTTTTTCTTACACTCCACTGCTTTTATCTCAGTATTGATGATCAGTTGTATACACCCCTTTTCCTACCCCCACCCATATACCATCACTTTCTTAATCAACCAGAAAGTCTAAGTCATAGGGCCTCTACGGCAGGCCCTATTTCAAAAGCACTAGAGTTCAGTTTTCATCTCCAAGCATTCCCACCCACCCTCAGTGTTCAATCACGCCTCACTGAATGGACAGCTCTCTGTATTGCAGCCAGGCTTGCTTGCAAGGATTTCATCTCCCAAAACAATGCAATGTGAACAGCTCAGGGCTTAGACCCTGAGAGTGAGCTGTGTGGGTTTCTCCTGAGCTATTTTCAGAATCCCAGAGACTCAAGCACTGAGAAGAAGACACAGCCATGTCCATCCTATCTTTATGCTAATACTTACCGTGGGAGACAACAGTAGTGGCTCCTGCCATCCATATGGGAGAGCTGGGTTAGTTCGTAGCAACTTAGCCCTAGACTAGTTCTGGCTATTGCAGACATTTCAGGACTAGATCGGCAGAAAGAGCATCTCTCTCTCTCTCCCTCTCTCTCTCTCTCTCTCCATCTATCTCTATTTCCATCTCTTTCTCTATCTGCCTCTACTAAATAATGTGAGCACTATAAGAACTAATTTTTAAATAGAAAGCAGAATCTTGATTTATTATAATAACAGGTTTCTTGAATTTTTATATTTAGAAAAAAATGTGAGAACTTTAGGAAGAAGTTTACAGGAAATATGAAATTAGAGGAATACTGTAATGTGATGTCAAAACCTTTGAAAAAACATGTGCTTTTTGAATACCTACATTTTATCTAGAAAATTAGAGAATAGTTTCTGCCACACAACCAAGGCTACAATAAAGTTTCCCAATCAGGAGCACAAATTTCAACTAGATGGGATGCTACTTTAAAACAGTATTATCAGATCAGTCATATTATGACTTCATCATTTGTGTGGTATTCCATATTGGACACACTATTATGAAGCAAACCTTCTCCGAGCAACTGCCAGAAATAGAGCTTGGTATAAACACTCTAGGAAACAATTTAAATTGTGTACTAAGCAATTTTACATGGTTTCACCAGATAATTGCACCCAGTTTTCTTAAAGCTGTCGGAGACTAGGTCAAAGTGATTTCTACAGCTGTTTACCACAGCATAATGTGTGACACTGAAATACTGGAACCAATTGCATGGTAGACAGAATAACCATGTATCCTATTATGCCCACAACATTCCCTTTTTAAGCCTGGTGGAGTGTTTAATAGTGTGTCTTTTCCATCTCAAAAACATTCTAGTCCAGTTAATCAAGCTGTATTTTCTCTGCTTCTTTGCCTAACAGTGCTGATTAGAGTTTTAAAGTTTTGTATTTTCTTTTTTAAAGTGTGCTTTTACATTACTTAGATGAACATATTATGGAAATAAGTAAAAAATTTGAGGCATATGTTTTACATGATAGACCCTTTCCGTACATGGTGCTAGACCATGCATGTGCAATATTCCATTTAGTTCCCCTCCACAGCCCAGAGGGGTAGGAAACACTCCCATTGTGTAGATGGCAAATGCACATCCAGAATGGTTAAGGCAACTAACCAAACCTTGTAGAGACTCTTAAGAGATCAGTCTGCATTTCAGTTTGCTACAAAGCTTTTTATATCTTGAGCATGTGCATTGCTTAAAATGAGTATGGAGGATCCCTGATTCTGGCTTACCTATGAGTTAGTAACTTCTGCCCTGGAGCCTTACCACCTATGATTACATTCTGTAACTGCTTTAGAGCAATGCAATGACATTTTCTCTTAGCAGTGAGCTGCAACACTGGAGAGGAAGAGGACAGAAAAAAAGTTGAAAATAGAATGAACATTCATATACTCACAGTTTGTGTAGATGGGTTTTCGAAATGGCTTTCCCTTAGAAAAGACGAATGCTACAGTGATACAGTTGAGCGTGACAATGGGCCACAGACTGGTGCTCTCAAAACTTAAAATCGAGGCAGGGTTCAGAGTTGCATTTCCAGTCCAGTTTCTTTCCAAATTCCCATTTGTTGAAAAATTACTTTGGTTGGTCTGAAAGCACTCACTACGAAAGAATCAACAATGTTTAGGGGAATTTTTACTCTAGTTCTTATCCATTAGTAGGGGAAAGTTTAATCACCCCCTAAAGATCTCAGCTTTCAATCTATCCTAGCCAGTAACTACCAAGACATATTTTGTCCACTATTGCAGGGACAGCACAGAAAGAAAATCGAAAGGATGTTAAGTTTTTTTCTTTGTCTGGCACTCCATTTAGAACAAGTGATTTTGAAAGGGCTTGGATGACAATTTTCCCCAGAATTCCTTTCCATTTGGAATGTAAAGGTGTCATGTGAAATGAGTACAGATAACAGTTTCCTCCTGCTGGGCTAATTCAGCTTCCTCCCTTACACACTGACTTTGAATCTTCGCTGCCAATATAACCAAAGAATTTCGCTGAGAATCTGTCCATGTCACTGTCCTGCTTATGTCACATGCATGGCTCTTCTTCACCAGTAAATGAAGCTTACATTGCTCACACTGGCCTAGAAGAGCTTCACACTCCAGCCTTAGCTACCTCTCTGGCCTTACATATTCCCTGCACTTCTATTGCCCAAATGCCACAGCTTGAATGCTTGTTGTTTTAGACATGAAATTCCCTATCATCCTTCACACATCACTGGATTTGAAATATATTTATTTTTACTTGGATATGAGATGTATAAATCCATTGTTCTTTCTTTTGCAGTTTTTAGCTCATTATCTCGTGATTATTTATCAATACATTTCTAGTTTTCACCTTTTAGTTCTGCCTTTTTGTTTTGCTCATATTTGTAATACATACTTGATATCTAGTGTAGTGAAGCCATACAATGTTTTCTTAGAAAAATATGTGTTAAGTATCTGGGCTTTGTGAGTCCTATTCAGTCTCTTTGCAATTCTTTTTATTTTTTTGTAAAATCAAACATATGAATTAGTTTTCATCAGCTTTCTTGTTCAGTTTGAACTTTTAAAATAAGTGTTGTAATGGTTTATATAGATAAGATTCCCTTCCCAACTAGAATTAATTCATTCTTATTATCCTGATCTTCCTGATTTCCATACATATGCTTTACATAGAGTAGATGAGAAGTTAACATCTGCTGAATAAATTAATGAGACAATCAGCAGTTACAAAGCATTATGACACAAAGACAAATAGACTAAATGGCTTGAATTACAGAATTTAAATTGAAAGTAGTCCAGCATGTTTATATTACAGGAATGACAACTGAGGTCCAGTGTGAAGCAGTTACTTAGGGATACATACAGGCAAGGCTCCGGGAGCTGGCTTCCTGTCCGCCTTCTCTCTGGCTAACCATGTTGCCCTCTAGACTCAGAGTGCATGCACTCCAATTTGGGGAAGGGAATAGGAGAGCAGGTGGTGAATCTGGTTTTGAGACCAAATGAGATTCTCTATCCTAAATAACCTTTGGATTGGTAGATGTATGGTGTAAGTGGCAACTACAAATATCACCTGATCATTTTTAATCTGTGCTTCCCTGATTTCTGAGGTCCTAACCCCCTCAGAATCAGAGTGGAAGGAGAGGGATGAGGGGGTAGCCCTGTGCCTGCGCTGTTTTCAAAAGGGACAGTTCTGTTCCTGCTTTTTTTCTTTTATGGAAAATGAGAGCTCATGAGAACAGGTAAAACTGAGAATCTGCTCCATAGTCCACCTCTTCTGGGTCTTACTTTAAATGCCAGGGAAATGAAGAAGTTATTCTGAGTCTAGAGCTCCAATTCAGTCACAACAATGACGCCACTAACTGTTTAATTTTAACTCTCATTTACAAAACCCCAAATAATTTACACAAATCTCTCTTGACTCTCTATATCAAGGACTGGAAAACTGTAGCTCATGGACCACATCTATCGTATCCCCCTTTTATCAGTAGCATTTTGTGGGAGCACAGCCATTCCACTTACTGACATGTTATCTGTAGCGGAGTCTGCATTGCAACAGCAGAGTTGATTCATCGCAACAAGATAATCTAGCTCACATAACCTAAAAAATATCTACTTTGTGGAACTCTACATGAAATGTTTACAGATTTCTGGTCTTCATGTCATCCAGATTTATCCAATCAGTAGGGGGTAGATTGACACATCAACAAACATGACAAATCTTTTTCTCTTCCACTTCACATGGTTCACACTACCTGTTTACTCTGTCCTATCATTTGTATCTGGCATAGTGGGGACAAAATATTTGTCAAAGTTTAAGGATATATGTGCAAGTCAAGGCAGACAATATCATTGAATATTCATTATACCACCTTCTGGAAAGAAAATCAAGTAAGTGAACTCGCCTGTATCGGTAGACCTCACAATACCAGGGCTGTTGCTTCACACAGAGAAATATGGAGACCTGCACTATGCAACTGAAACAGGAATTCAAAAAGACAGATAGCAGCAATGGGGGAGATAGGAGCTGTCCTGCTGGTCGATACGAAGCCAGCTTTGGGTAGGCATGAGTGGAACTCACTGAAAGACAAACACAAATTTGTCTGTTATCATTGAGAATCAAAGGTCAAAATGCACATTATTTTGAAACTTTGAATAGGAATCATTCAGTGAGCATAACTGAAGATTTATACATTTATAAGCACATTATCTAGCTGCATATCAAGTCTATGGTTTGAATTTATCTTTAAAAATGAGAAGTAACAAAATAATATTTATACCTGAGGGTGGTGTGGTTCAGGGGGTTAAGCCTCTATCTGGGATGTGGTTAACCCATATTAGAGTGCTGGTTTGAGTCCTGGGTATTGAGCATCTGACTCACCATCCTGTTACTACAGATAATGGTGCAAGTGCCTGGGCCCTTGCCACCCACCTGGGAGGTCTAGATGCCAATCCTTTGCTGTGATCTATCCTAGCCCTGGTCATTGCAGTCATTTGGAGAGTAAATCAGCTGATGGGAGATCTTTCCATCTCTCTCTTTCCTTCTCTCTCTAACTTTCCCATGAGGTAGACTCTGTTGGAGTTCTGGGCTCCTGGATTCAGCTTGGCTCAGCACTGCCTCACTGTACAGTTCTTTCAAGAAAATGAAAATAAGTAAACTTTTAGTTCTGTAGTCAATTCATTAACCATGTAATGTTCCCTCCACAATCAAATGGATCAGTAATGTATACAAAAGAGGAGAGTAGCACTAATGCAGCCTTTCGGTGATGACAGGGACGTAGAATGAGAGAACAGGTGATAGGTAGCCAGGCACATCTACAAATACTGAGTGATTTCACTAATGCTCACTCTGCCATTCAGTCAACTTGAACATGTCAGACTCTGATAGAGGTTAGACAAATGTTCTGTCCCTTCCTGGATTAGGCATCACCATGGGACTGCTGGTGCCCATTATATTCATGTAGATAAAAAAGAACATAAAAACTCTTGCTTCAAGTTACGAGTGTTAATATATATTTTGCATTTTCAATCCTATGATTGTTTTTTCATTGAAAAAAATTTGGCAATGAGTAGAGATTGAAAGGAAGGAATGCGTTTTAAAAAATGATATATCCTTCTCAGAAGCAGCCTTTTCTAATAACCTGATAAAAATGAAATTATGCTTTACACTTTAGGGCAGGGCTCAAAGAAACTGTGGAGCATTCAGGAAGAATGAAATCACGCATAAAGGTTTATATCATAGCTATGCCCCAACAACCATCTTTGTAATAACGAAGTTGGCCCCTGGAGCCACCCATCAGCCTGACCTCCTCAGAGAGGGGAGGGAGCTGGGAACAGCTCAGTCTCATAGCCAGAGATTCAGTCAATCATCACTACATAACAAAACCCCAATAAAAACTCCCAACATTGATGCTCAGTCAAACTCTCCTGGTGAGCTGTGTTCTGCCCATTTCCCTCCCATCTCTGTGTCAGAGTGCGTGTTCTGGCTGCACGGAAGAAGGGCAATAGCAGTACCATGCTTGGAGGCTTCCGATTTTACTTTGGTTGTAGGCAAACACTTGTAATAAGTACAGCACTTCTCTTGAGTTCTTCCATTGTGGCAGCAAATGGTGGCATCTGAAGAGGGAATGGGAATCCCCTCGTTTTTCCTCCAACTGGTCAGAAATGTAGGCTTCGGACGAGGTTTGCCCCATCCCCAGATATGTAGCTGGTGTCTGAAATATGAGCAGTCTTGTGGAGCCTATTATCTGTGAAGTTTGGTCCAACGCCAGAGACTTGCTGTCAGCAGTCATCATTGGGGTACACAAAGAAGATGCCCACAGCCCAGCCGGGGATCAGGGGTGATGAAATGAAAATAGACCATGCCCTTTGGAAGCTCAAAGGGCCAAGTCTATAGTGCCTGAGGTTCCTCCTACATGCCAGCTTGCCAAGCCAGAACATGGGGTTCACAGGGCAACTGTGCACAGTGGAGAGCTGTGTAATAACTGCTTTTGAGGCTTTGTCTCCCGCCACTTTGGTCCCCCGCCCTCTGGTAGGCTTATTGTAGTTTTTGGCCTTTCTTTTACACAGAAACTGTAACATATTGAATTATTGACCTCAGAGCGATGGCCTTTTAATGCTGGAGCTTCTCAAGCCTGCTTGCATGGCCAGGCCTCATCTCTGGCTCTGCTCTCTGTGACCCACACAGAAAGTACTCTCGATCTGTCTATTTGGTCTGACCCCTGAAGGAAAAAATGTGGAGCAGATCTGAATCACACCATGGCCTCCAACAAGATCAACTGATAGTCATGCTGAAGCAGAGCAGCTCTACTGAATTTATCCTAGACAGGCTGGCTAACAGCCAGTCTGAAGACCCATAAATGGGGTGCATAATGGTTTGGCGTTTAAGCCAGATTTTCAGGGTTGGATGGTTCTATAGTATCTTTGTGGCATTAACTGGTTGACTGAGGACTCTTACATAGAATACTTTGACCTTTGGCATATTAATGAATCCTAATATTTCTAGCAGAGAAAATTCACATAATTCACTATAAATTATTGAAATTTAACATATACATTTATTTTAAAATACATATATTTTTAATGACTAACATCTTAGGACACTTCCTAAATTCCTGAGGCTATGCTAAGTGTTTCATAAACATGACCCTTTTAAAAAAACAAACAGTATCAATTGGGTAAATCTGACATTTAAGATCCTAAGATTTAAAGAAGTAGAGCACCTTGCTTTAACACCCTCAGTTAGTGAGTAACTGAGCAATGAGGTGAACTCAAAGTTGGCCTGTTTGTAAAAAAGACTATGTTCTTTGTGAAATATTGGAAAAAGAGGGACTTCATGCATTAAAGGACTAAACTTAGGAACTCTGAAATTCAAGCTTGGACAGCAGTCTTCTTGATCAGCTGCAAGAAGAATTTTTCTGAATTGTCTGGGATTTCCTTGAAATGATAATGATGTATGCTATCAAATCGCATACAGAGGAATACAAACTTGCACTGTGTTGTATTTTATGTAGAATTAATCATTCCCTCCTCAGGGTTCCCACAGCCCATTACTAATCATGATGCTATAGAGCAAGGTGTCTCATATTAAATCTGGTAATCTACTCATGCAGTCATCACAGCGTGAACTCCCATAGCAGAAGCCTTGTGGCGTTTTACTTTTCGGCATTTAATAAACTTAGCCCAGGGTCTACTACATGACAGGACATGGGGGTTTCAAACTCTATTCTCAAGTTATGTTTTTAATTTTTTTTTACCTCTTTGGATTTCATGTAGTTATATTTCTCCTAAGTAGTGGTCACTTTTGCTTTTTGACTATCTAAAATTTTATTTTTCATGTCAATGTGGTATTAATACAAAGAGAGCAAATTCAATATAGTTCATAGTTATGATTCTAAGAATACAAAGATACTCCCTCTCCTTTCCGTCCTTCTTCCTCCCTCCCTCCCTTCCTTTCCTTCTTCCCTCCTTCCTTCCTTTATTTCTTAATTTTTGAGATAAAAAACTTTTGCTTGACATTACAGTCAAAGTCTGAATGTGCTACCAAATAAACAACTGAACAATCACAAAGTAATAATATCCCATTTCAACAGGAATGGAAGCAACAGGTATAAGTAATAATTAAATGGAAAAATGACCATTTCACCCACATAGAGTAAATTTTAAAGTAATAACAGATCATTGAAACTATAGTAGCATATTCTTAACCATTAGTTTGATAAAGATATAAAACAAAGTTTGACAAAATTATATTTGCAGAAATACTGATATACACATGTGTTTCTTTCCTTTTAAATAAAGGATTTTTCTCCCCCATATAGGGGAATTTAAGCTTCCACATGTAGGGGTTAGCACATGTTATTTGTCTTGCATATATAGAGGATACCATGTGCTATTTGTGCTTTTGTGTTCAGCTTATTTGTAGATGGTGTCCTCCTGTTGTATCCATCTTGCTGCAAATGGTAAAATTTCATTACTTTGTACAGCTGAATAATGTTGCATTCTCGTTAGACGTTTCTTTTTCTGTTCATCTGATGATGGACACCCCAGTTGATTTCATGTGTTACCTATTGTGAACAATGTTGCTATTGACATGGTGATGCAGATGTCTGTCTGATACAGTGTGGCCGTGTCTTCTGAGTGTATACTCGAGAGTGGAATTGCAGGACAATATAAAACGTCCTTTTCTAGCTTGTCTTTTTCTTTTTTCTTTACTCTCCATACTGCTTTCTACAATGGTTTCATTAATTTGCATTCTTAAATATTGGTCAATTTTTTAGTATGCATATTGTGAAGCACATAAGTTGAATTTCAGAAATCTCATGAATACATGTAATATGCACACAAAGTATTTAGTAAGTGTGTTGGAACTTCTAAAGTAAAAAGATCCATATTTTCCATCTGATTATGCAAGAGGGTTAAGATTCTGACAAAGGTAAAAGTCACTGAAGTACTGATGGAATTTCTGTATTTATATAATGCATACATTTCCTTCATACCTCTTCCTTGGTACACGTATCTTGCATGTGCTAGAGTGCTTTATCCAAAAGGAGCTGAATACCATGACCTCACAGGACTGATTGGCCCGGATGTGAGCATCTTACCGAAGTCAGTAAATTTTCTCTACAATGTATTAGAAGTAGGACATTGAGAGACTGAACACATGAGGTGTGCACAACAAGAAAAAAGGCTCTGGAAATTCAGTATTAATATCATCTTTGAGGTAATTTACAAGTTGAGTGAACAGAAATTGTCAGCTGCAATCAATAAGCAGAAAGAGACAAGATGACAGCTTGGAAATAAGTGTGGCTTTCATTTTTGGTCCTTGACGTCTCAGCCTTCTTTGGACCCAGGTGCTCCAGAGCTTCTGCTCTCAGCTTTTTTTGTAGAATTACATTCTTTTTGACTTATTTGATTAGTTATCATTAAAGATGCAGATGAAGACACAGAAAGAGTAATAGGTAGAGAGTATTCTCATTGACTGGTTCAATTTACAAATCCTTTCACTGTCTGTGTTTGTGTCAGGTTGAAGCACAGCCAGAAACTCAGCCCAGTCTCCAGAATGAATGGCAATGACCAAATGACTTGAACCATCACTGTCTCTCCAAGGATGCATTATTAAAATTCCACAATCAGGAGTCTGAACCTAGAATCAAACCATAGACTCCACTGTGGGACACTGGTGTGAACTACTTGGCCAAATACCTGACCCCAAAATAATGCTCTTGAATGTTTCCTTTCTCAATTTTTCTTGTTCTGATTCAAGTGTACTTTGTTGGAGAGGACACAGATGTGACTGGAATAAACTCTCTTCAATAAAGACAGTTACACAGATTAGGACTGAAATAGACTTCAATACATTCATTTTCCTAATTAGCATCCTCATGATTCCATCTTGTTTTCTCCTTGATTTTTTCTTTGATTTAATATGTCTTGTCTCGTCAGCTGCCTTTCTGTTTTTAACATCTTGTGAGAACAAGACAAGATTATATACATATATGCAAATTGGCTATATGTGTGAATAATTTAAATATGTGATGTTATTATCTTTTTCTAGTACTAACTCAAGGTTAAGTCTTAAGGGCTTAAGCCCTAACCTGTGAGCTTAGAAATGCTAGGAGCTTCGCCAAGAGAAAACATCTATTGATCATCCAATTGCTGACGACGCCTAAGGATACAGAGGAATGGCCATGGTTCTCAGACTGGCAGTCAAGATTCTTGGAATGGCCTCACTCGTGCTCGCTAATAGTGGCTCCTGCTGCTTCACATAGCCTACTGTGTGGTCAAATTGAAGACCTCATACTCCACATTTATCAGCTCTCTCCTGCTCATGCTGCTCCCCTCTGTTTGAAATGCTCCTCCTTTAGTAAGGGATATTGGAATCTGTCCATCTTTGCTATTTCAATGCAGATTTCACATCTTCCATGATGCCACCCATTATCTTTCTCCTTTCTATGCTGCTGTCTCTTCCTTGACCTCAGATATCAGAAACCATTCAGTCATGTCTCTGAACTGCCTTAGAATTTACTCTCTTCTGTCAGTCACCTGCATGTTATTTGTTCAAATTCATATATTCCCCCAATTAACTCCTGAGTGATTAGCCTTTTTAATGCCCCTAAGCACTTGTATATTGAACACACAGTAAGAGAGGAACACAGTGAAGGGGGATTGAGGCATTTCCCAGCCTCTGGGGAACTGTATGGGGCCTCATGTCCGAGCACAGTGGATGGTAAATGTCAGATCAGTGTAAAGAGAGATGATTGTCTCTAGTACTGTATCTAGTAAAACAAATCCACACTGGCCCTTCCACTGTAACTTTGCCCCAGCTTTCCCTGTTACCTATGTGAAAACTGTAGATGAAGCACATCAAATTAACCAAGGGATTCTGTTTGAGAATTGTTAGCAACAGCACGAACTGTTGTTGTCTGCTTGGCATTACTACAAACCAGCGAGGGAAAGTAATGGAAACCATCCTAAGAGAGACTCAAAATGATTTTGAGATGAGACATTGACATTGCTCATCCCTCATCTGCTGGAGCAGCAGAAGGAAAAGGGTGAGCAGCAGTGAGAGCAAGCTACACATCTGTACCTGTATTTTGGCAGGTCAAGCATGGAAGATGCAGAATTGAACCCAACCAGAGCTATCCTCAGGGGAATCTGCTTCAGAAAAAAAAATCCTGATGGACATTGTGGGGAGGGAAGGAGAGAAGGAGGGAGGGAAGGAGAGAGAGAAAGAGAGAAGACAGAGAGATAGATAGAGAGAGACGGGGTGGGGGGAGAGGGACCACTCATTTTCAGAGAGGTTTATTATAGAACAATCCACAGGGAAGCTCTAAAGAACTCACTGATAAAAATCATGCAAATTTCCTGGATGTAGATGTTCATTACAGAATATCTGACAGGGAAGAACTACAGACTTCCACATAATTACAAACTCCTTTGCTCTTAATTCTCTCATTCCCGAAAGCAGGTATGGAAAGTAGGTTACACAGGGGAAGCAAAGTCTAATGGCTTTTTTTTCTCTCTCCCTCGGCTTGTTCTGAACCATAGGTCAGTCTTGATCCAGGGAAGAGAAAAGCTTTGAATTGATTGAAAACATGAAATGGTAGTTTATAATGCTTAGATTTTTAACATCTAAAGATGAGGTCATTTTAATACCTGGAATTGGTCAGAAAATAATCTGCCCCTAGAATACCTGAGCTGGCAGAGATGGAATAACAATAGTGTTGGAAGGCAGAGGGCAAAAAACAAACAATAAATACTCAATTCTGCTTCTCCCATCTTCACTATTTTCCCCTGACTTCAATCCCATTATGGAACTAGTTGTAATAGTAATTGGACAAAGTGCTGTCACTCTGAGAGTACATTAGGCTTGATCAACCGTACATCTGAGGCTTTTTTCTCCTAATGGCAATAATGGCACTGGCATGAGTCATCCCAACACTCCCAATGAAGCCACCAGGGAAGAAGATGCTGAGTTTCTCAAGGTGACCACTTGGCATGACAGTAAACAGGCTAAACCTATGGGAAAGAGTTAAATAGCCTCACCAGCTGGGGTCAAATCTATAACTAGTATATGGAATTAAGAAGGCAAAACTTTAAAACCTGCTCACAGGTACAAAGCAGTTCTGACACAGGAACAGAACTATCATGCATGCTTATGGATTTTTGGTAATATTTCCTTTCAAGTGCTTATCAACCTAGCTAGTCTTCTCAAAGGAAGAAGAGGGAGAGAGGGGCAGAGTGAGGTCCCTCATGTTGAAATGAAAGCATTGTATAGTGCTGTTCACATTACAAGCATTCTATCTGCTCGCCACTACCCTCAAAGAACATATATCTGAGGAAATGATTTTTAATTATTGGTAGCTCATTTTCTTAAGGTCACAGAGTTCTGGAATGGTGGAAGAGGTACATGATAATCCCCTCCATGATACTGCTCTTAGACCAGTTGTGTAGTTTTAGAACCCCGTAGTATTTCTTTCTGTATTGTTGTTACATCATTCACAAGTTAATGATGCAAATTGCTTAAAGATATCCAACACTGTAGAAGCAATACCATTGATTCCGAATTTTCTAGGCTGTTATTATTAAAATGCATCGATAAGTAATCTTTAATAGGCTATGAATAGACATTTCAACCCTAAGAAGCAAAATTAATATTATATCTCTGTATCTGGTAAATTTTGTCACTGGGTTGACGTAATTAATGATTCATATATTTATTTCATGCTTTAAGACGCTACATGAAATTCTCAAGGTTATTAAAATCAAGCATTGCCTGATGCTTTACCTGTTATTCTTCATTACAATTCTGTTGTTGAACAAGGAACAAGAGATGACAATGCCATTCTTTTTCTTTGCTTGTTTTTGAGGCCATTGCCTTTCTCACTTATTAAGAGTTAGTGCCAAGCCCTGAGCTCCTTGATAGGAACTGCTTTATCAGTGTCACCTCACAGGGAGGAAATGAACAATAGCTACTGTAAGCCACACCTCACTTTTGTGAGAATTCTCCCAGAATAAAATGCTGGCATTTGTTTTCACATGTCAAAAACCTGGCAAAAATCTGGTTTCATGTCAATGTGAAGCATAGCTGAATAATGAAAAGTGACCTTTGAGTTTTAAAAATATATAGCTAGAAGATTTCTCATTCGTTTTTCTATGTGCAACATACAAACTTACAAAGAATTCAGAGTACATTGACCATATCTTGAGGCTAAGGAATAATAATCACCCAGGGATTTTTAAAAGTCGAGTTAGAAAATTTCAAGTGTCTACTCACCCTCATTATTACTTTCAAAATGTTATGAAATTTTATCACAAGTGATAAAGATGGCTCTTTCTCAGTGAAGTTATTTGCATATATCTAGATGTCCATAGATAAATACAAATAATAGACTCTGCTAAAGGGCTTACTTGTTAAGCAGACCATCAACGTAATGGCTACATCTTGCATGAGATACTGGTAATTTCCAAAGAGTTGCAGTTGCTGAAAAAGAAAAAAAAAAGTAAACATTATCAATCCCATCACTGTTCTTCAAGTAGTTAGAAGGCAACTTAGCAAAAGTCATCAGCATCTTATTGAACAGAGAAGCATAGAATACTTCTCATATTGATTCATTCAATACCGTACTAGTAACAAATGTCAGTCTTCATTGAACCACCTCCTCTTCATGCATTAGATTTGGCAGTGGTAGTCTCAGCCTGGGCAATTCTCAAACTAAGATATTAAAGCCTTAAAAACTCCTTGGGGAATCTTGAGATACATAAAATTAGAAATCAAAATCTTAATACACTCAGCAGGTATTACTTTCCATCTTTACTCAAGAATTGAGATTGTAACATGTAACTGTTCTTCAAAGGGTTGACAAAGAAATGGAATTAAAATACAAATTTAAGGAACCAGCACTATGGCCCAGGGGGTTAGACTGCCACCTGTGCCACTGGCGTACCATGCAAGTATCAGCTCAAGTTCTGACTGTTCCTCCAACCCAGCTCTATACTAACGTGCCTGAGAAAGGAAAAGTTGGATGGTGGAAGCCATTGCTCCCTGCACCCTTGTGGGAGACTCAGAAAAATCTTCCGGCTTCTGGCTTCGAACTGACTCAGCTTTGCCCATTGTGGCCATTTAAGGAGTGAGGAAGTAGACAGAAGATCTTCTCTCTCTCTCTCTCTCTCTCTCTCTCTTTGTCTCTCTCTCTCTCTCTCTTTCCCCTTAACTTTGCCTTTCAAATCAATGAAATGAATCATTTAATATACGCTGCAGAAGTATTTTGAAATCCATGCATCTGATTTTTATATGCAGATTTTCCGTAAATATTGTGCAGATATTTTAGGTGACTTCAACGTGTGCATCAGATGGGTTGGGGAACTTCACACCAAGTAAACTTGTCTTTCAGTTCTGCTTTTCTTAACTTTTTGAAGCATGCTCCTACTTCTCCTGCAGTCTATTCATTTCCACAAAGTGAACAAAAGACTTCCCCATGTATGTCCACTGCAGCCCTCAGTCTGGTAACCTTGCCTTTCTAAGGTGTCCATAGACATAAAACTTTTTTCAAGTTCACAGTCAAGAAGCAGAAGCATTTCATTATAAAAGCCAAAGCATTATTCTCTTGAAACTTGTCTTACTCTACCTTTAGCAATCAGGTCTGTATGTTTACTTCTTAAGTGTTGATCGAGCACTAAACTATAACTTTATTCTGAGCACATCATAGACCAGATTTGTGTGTACAAAACATATTCACATTGCTATCGGGCCACACTTGTTTTGATGTACAGCGTCAAAGTGAATGACTCCACAGTGGATTATGATTCAAATTCCATCTGTGGAAACCCTTGAATTCAAGTTTTGTTTTGGTGTTTTCCAAAGGCTGGAATAAATTCTGTGAACTCTTCATTTCCAATCCTTCATCTTTCTTTTTTACCTTTCTTTCTCATATCCATTTCCTTTGTTTCCCCTGAATCTTGGAAGAGATGGAACAAGGAGAATCTATTAGAAGCAGCCTTAGTTTTCTTTTTACTCCAGGACCAGCATGCTCCTTTAGTGAATCTTTGGAGTGATTTGAAAATAATTGACCAGGTAACTTTTCCAGGAGCACATTTTGGTCAAGGGTAAGAATTAATTTATTTTCTGGACAAAGGCAAAATGTGAATACAGATTTTCTGATATCCAGCTTGGTCCCTGTTTCTCCTTATTGGACTGCTGCACAGTAGCCCTCTGTGTGTGTGAACTTTGTAAGCAGCAATCCACCAGGTGACTCAAATATCACATATTAAAGTCAAGTAGCTCTTTTGCTGAAGTGCTTTGGGCCTGTTCAGTAATTTCACTGTACAGTGAGCTATGATTTTGGAATAATGGAGATTACCTTCAACCTATATATAATTATCTCAAGCAGCAAATTAATTGTTAAAATCTTATTACTATTTAATTTAAAGAGTGCTTGTTTTTTAGTTTTAGAAAATTGCTAATCCTTTACTAATGACATATCTAACTGTATACATTCTGAAATGTAATGAACAACTTAATATAGGAGGTTTTTAGCATTCCAGTCTTTATAAGCCAAATAAAACTTATCTATTTTATCTCTTCTCAGTCTTCTACCAAAAATATTCCACCCTTGGAGACTGATCCATTTCCCACCAGTTATATTTAGACTTCTCTGAAGTGCTCATGATACTGCAAGTGAAGAAACAGGGACTTGGAGAGATCAAGTATCTTAGGTTATCGGGAGAAAATCAACATCCTAGAATAAAAGATCCACATCTACTTCTTTGGGGTTTTTTTTGAAGATTTATTTATTTTTACTGAAAAGTCAGATGTACAGAGAGGAGAGACAGAGAGGAAGATTTTCTGTCCGCTGATTCACTCCCCATGTTTCCACAATGGCTGGAGCTGAACCAATCCGAAGCCAGGAGCCCAGAGCCTCTTCCAGGTCTCCCACATGGGTGCAGGATCCCAAGATTTTGGATCATCTTTGACTGCTTTCCCAGGGCACAAGCAAGGAGCTGGATGGAAAGCGAAGCTGCCGGGATTAGAATCGGCAACCATATGAGACCTCAGCCTGTGCAAGGAGAGGACTTTAGCCACTAGGCTATGGGACTAGGCCCACATCTACATATATAACTTCATATTTCAGTCATCATTAAACCAGGGCCCTAAGTCTACAGACAGCTATTTTGAGAAATGCCATTTATTTATATAACTGTAAACCTAGGAGCCACACCCCCAAATAAACTAGAAATGTAAATAACATGACTGGGAACATAGGCTTTTGCTTCTTACCCAATAGAGCAATGATGTACCAATGAATTGAATTATTCCGTACATGGTCAAGTATTTAAATACCCCAAAGGATGAAACCAGAGCAGCTCGGCCTTCTCTGTTGAAAAATAAGGTTAATAATTGACTATGTGTCATATACAGCTGCCAGTCTTTTATATTTCACAAGGACTTTAATATAAATATAATTATTCCCTAAAGATCACTGATGTATATTAACTGAATCACCGATTCAGCTTCTCACTTGTTTAACCACTCATCTATTCATTCATCCACTCTCTTTCAAACATAACCAAACTCATGGATTCACTTTTTAGTTTCTGGCTTGTGCGTGCCAGCGACAGGCTAAGAGCCGTGGCAAACATGAACTAAATCAGGCATGCGCCTTCCTCTCAACAAGCTGACAGTGAAATAAGAAGTTTACTCTGTTTGTTATGGACACAGTACGACATTATAAGATGTAAAATATCAAGTGCTGACTTGATTGCAATCATTACACTGTAACAACTCACTTCCTAGAGGCCCTTAGAGACATAAAACTAATGGATCCCCTCACTTTCCCAGGGATGTCGATGTGACGCTAACATTTGAAATGAAATAGATTTTGTTGGCTTCAACATCCCAGGAAGAACCCAAGGTAATCATCTGAGCTGCTGTAGCACCTTAACAAGTAGATATTGTGCCCTGTTAAAAAGTCCCACTTGAGCTGTGATCCCTTTATCTGAAGCTTTGTTGGGTGGGAATTACTCTGGGCAAAAGTGTGAGGCAGGAGCACATGATGAGGGGAGAGCTTGGAAAGCTGTCCCTCCAGGCAGAAGAAAATTTACATGTCAGGTGACCCACACATGGTTCTGGTTCTCCATTACCCACTTTATTTAATGACTGCTGACACAACCAAGGTATGCAAAGGCAAACCTGAAAGTCAAATTATTAACGTCTCTTCCAAAGCCAAGATGAAGGGGTGCTCACAGATCAGAAGCTTAGTCCGTACAGGTGAATTGGGGCTTTTAACATTTAGTTATTTATTTTTGTTTTTGGAAAGGAATATTTACAGAGGGAAGGACACACACACACACACAGAGGGGTTGAGAGAGAGAGAGAGAGTCTTCCATCTACTGGTTCACTCCCTCAAGTGACTACAAAGTCTGGAACTGAGCTGATTCAATCCAAAGCCGTGAGGTTTCCTGTTCTGCCTCCCTAGGCTGTAAGCCGGGAGCTGGATGGGAAGTGAAGTAGCCAGAACACGAACTGGCACCAATATGCAATGTTGGCATTTGAAGGGGGAGAATTAATGAATCAAGCCATTGAGCTGGGCCCCCTAATATTTAAACAGTGTTGAAAGCTGATAGACACTCAAGAGCTACCCAGACTCAGATATTTCATTGTATAGTAATAGAAATTTTATTGCATACTACCAGAAGATTTTAAAAGGCCATTATATTGGGCCCGGCGCGGTGGCGCAAGTGGTTAAGGTCCTCGCCTTGCACGCCCAGGATCCCATATGGGCGCCGGTTCTAATCCCGGCAGCCCCGCTTCCCTTCCAGCTCCCTGCCTGTGGCCTGGGAAAGCAGTCGAGGACGGCCCAAAGCCTTGGGAACCTGCACCCATGTGGGAGACCCGGAAGAGGCTCCTGGCTTCGGATCGGCATAGTATCAGCCCGTTGCGCTCACTTGGGGAGTGAATCATTGGACGGAAGATCTTCCTCTCTGTCTCTCCTCTCTGTATATCCGCCTTTCCAATAAAAAAAAAATAATAATAAAAAATAAATCTTTAAAAAAAAAAGCCATTATATTTTAGAGGGTAAAATTTCTACTATCACTACTGGTTCAAGTCCTCCCTACTTCGGGTCCAGCTTCCTGCTAACACGCTTGTGAAGCAGCAGAAGATGGTCCAAATCCTTGGGTCCCTACATGCATTTGGAAAACCTTGGCTTTGGCCTGGCCCAGCTCCAGATATTGAGGCCATTTGGGGAATGAACTAGTGGACAGAAGAATTCAATCTATATTTACTCATCCTTCTTCTTATATAACTTTGCCTTTCAAATAAATAAAAGAAATAAATTGGACAAATACTGCAGGTTTTGGTAGGAGAGGAATCAGGACACTTTGGGTAGATGTTCTTCGTCTTCTCCACCAGACTGTAAGGTGCTGCTGGTAGTTAGGACAGAAGCTAAGCAGAAAAAGGGTACGTGTGTGAAGGCCTGGATTATCCTCGCTGAGTTTAACAAAAATTGTGATTTTACCTTTTTTTGTAATTGTGTACATTTCCAGGAAAATTAAGACATCCAGACTTGAAGAAACCACACACACACAAATTCCAAATAAAAATCTGGAGTGTTTGCATCAGCCTTTTAACTCATTGCTTTTGTTAATTCTTTAGAACTTACAAGTGACTCATGAGTTGACTTACATGTTCAGCAAACACTCATTGATCGTTCTTACAAAGACATCAAGAAGCGAGGCACATGCTTGATATAGAATTGAGAAAGACGTAGACCCTGCACCAAAGGATCTGAGTAGTGGAAACCAGTAAGTCAAACTTCAGAGGACACAAATGCAACCTTGAGAGTGGGCTTGTAGTGCAGAGGGTTAGATTGGCACTTGAGACCCTGTCCCCTGGCAAAGTACATGATTCAAAATGCCATGCTGCCAACCCAGCTTCCTGCTAGTAGGCTATGGAAGCAGCTGAGGATGGCCCAAGTGCTTGGGTTCCTGTTACCCAGGTGGGAGATTAGCTAAAGTTCTTGGCGTCAAGCTTTTTTGAGCTGGCCTAGCCCTGTATGTTACAGAAACTTGCAGAGTGAACCCATGAATGTAAAATACCTGTCTTACCCTCTTTAAAAAAAAACCAACAGCAATAGAAAAGCCATGCTTTTTTCCATTTTCCACAAACATTTTTGTTCTTATTATTTTCTATGATACAATTTTATAAGCATAGGATTTCCTCTCCCTTTTCCTTTCCTCCCTCCCTGTTTCTTCCTCCCATCGATTTTTCCCATATTATCACCATAATATAGTCCTTTAATAACAGTTAAAATTTTAACATTCTGCTATATCACAGCATGATAGCATGGCATGATAGCATGGCATGCCATGAAATATCATGGCATTTATAGGTATAGGCAAAGGTACAAAATCCAGTGTTAAAGTACATTTAATTGATTCATTGAGAGTCCTTTTATTTGGGAGTAGAGATGCATACTGCAACATTTTTTCACTTCATGGTATGGTAGTTTCCAATTATTTAACTAATATATGAGAATATATGTACATACTTACCTATATATCTATTGTTTTGTATTTTGCATGAAGGCTATCATATCAGAGAGAACATATGGTCTTTGTCCTTTGGAACTGGTTTATCTTACTGAGCATAATGGTCTCCACGGGCTTCTGCTTCTAAAACTATACCTCATTTCCACCCAGTGTAGCTTACCCAGAAGTAAGATTCCACCAAGAATACCAATGCTAAAATAAGTCTAACTAAAGCATACCTAGCTTTCATGGATCTATGAAATAGAGAAGCAGGGAGTCTCTAACCTAAGTCTCCCTAAGTTATATCTTACTAGAAAAATTTTACATCACAACTTGTGTTTTCTAAAAAGGCATATTGTATTCATAAATGCATTGGATCACATCAGAATGACAGAGTATATGAAGTTCCAATTTCACAGGTTTTTGAATGGACCTGATAGGAAATTTCTAAAACTCCCTATTGAAGCTCCCTTTACCTGGCTTAACCTTTACAATTTCCATATGAAAATTCTCTGGTCCAACTGGGCTAACTTGTACCTGCACTCTCCAGTTACAATCTTAATTATTAATGTGTCTCTTCCCTTATTCCCATCTGCAATTTCTTCCCAACACACTTCTGTTTACAGAAGTCCTACCCAGCCACCATGTTTCAACACCCTTTTAAAACCTTCTTACTTGGCTTAAATTCACTTACTCAAACTACCACAATGTTTACTGTATATTTTGGATATGACTTCATTTAAAGCACTCTTATTAAGCAATTTGCATGCATCAAGTATGAAATTCTTTATTTTGTAAGAAATCTATTATACCTATATACTTTACTGGGATGTGAATCCTCATGACAAGGTTTTGCCCCATTTTTTAAAAGTATTTGTCTTATATTTTATTTATTTGAAATGTAGAATCACAGACAGGAGGAGAGACAAAGAGAGTTCTCATCTTATGGTTCATACTCCAAATGGCTATGATTTCCCAGACTGAGCCAAATCTCAGCCAGGAGCCAGGAGCTCCTTCTGATCCAAGCTCTTGGGCCATCAATTGCATTGGGAGATCGGTTAAAAATGGAGCATCGAGGATTTTAACTAGCATCCATATGGGATGCTGTTGTGCTACAATGCTGGACTCACTGTCCCACTCTTTGTCTAACACATTTTCAAGTACAATGCTTAGTGAGATCTGTGAGTTATGTTGATGATGGAAAATAAGAAATAGGGTGACATTTCCAAGAACTATCTTTATCTAATCACTGTAACATCAATATTAAGGCAAAGAGACAGTGTGAGAAAGGGTTAGCCACTTTGCATAGACAAACCAATAAGACATAGTGCCCTGTTGATTCAGGATGAAGAAGAAGAAGAGAGAAATAAATATACTCTGGGAATCTGAATTTCAGTGACTGATTCAGTGGAACCAATCATTCACAGAAACTGGTAATATGGGAGAATCAAGATGGCAGAATAGGGTAAGAACACATTTACACATTTACTTCACCAGGGCAAAGCATAGAGAGCACACTTAATAAAATAAGAGAAGACAGGCTGATGGCAGAGGGGCACCTGGAGACTGATGGGCTTGGAAAAGCAGCAGAGACAACAGTGTGATGTTGCAGTGATGAGATAGCCCAACAGCAGTCAGCAAGCAACAAACTGAGCTCCACCAGTGGCCAGAGCTCCACCAGCAGCCAGGTGGGAAGGAGTTCACTGGAAGCTCAGCAGGTGAACCCAGGCAAAGAACTGCCCATCCTGCCAATTTGTTTGATTCAACTAGGTACAGAGAGAGCAGCAGATCCCAAATAGGTGATGCAGGAACAGCGTGAGTTTCACAGCCCACACCCACACCACAGTCATATTAGGCACCAGCTTGTGTAGGAAGCAAAGGCTGTGAGATGGGACTGTGCATGCACTAAGCTGGGAGTGAACTCATTTAGCTCAGTGCATTGCACCGATGTGTCATCTTCCAGGTTCCATCCAAAATAGGTCTGCATATCCACAACTTCACCAATGGAACATCAGGCACCACTTTGTACAGTGTGGAAAAGGCTATGAGACTTCAGGGACAACAGTGAGAAAATCCACTTCCAGCTCAGTGCATTGTACTGGTCCTACAGGGAAAATAATATTGACTTTGGAATCCTATGGGCCAAAATAGTTCTGGGTGGCCCTCAGACTTAACAATCAGCAAGTTCCAGCAATATCAACACCACCAGCAACCTAGCTATTTAGGACACCATGTATCTCCCTAATCCTGGGAACTGATTAAACCAGAAGTTGGACAAAGGTTGTACAGAAAATGTACAGCCACAGCAGGGGGTCACAGGAAGTGGAGACTGGCAAGCCTGGGGCTGGAGCCATGGAGGCCATGGAGGAAGCCTAAAAAAAGAATATAAGCATGAGACATTCTGGAAAGAGTGGCACAAATGACTACAAATAAAGAGCTGGGTACCAAACACAATCAGTAAAATTGAACTGTACACCTGTGGGTGATACAGCTTAGAAATCTGTCCTAAGGAAAATCTGCTAACCAGAAATACAATGACCAAGAGCAAAAGAAGAGACAGGGGCACAATGAATATTACTGAAGACTCTCCTGTGAAGGAGCAAAAATCATTGCCAACCTCAGAGTTAACTGAGTTAACTGAGGAAGACAGTGAGAAAATGGTTGATACAGAATTCAAAACATTTCTTATAAAGCTGCTTATCAACAATGAAAAGCACATACAGGAGTTCCAGGAATTCAAGGAATATGTTATACAGGAAACAGCAACACTAAAACAAAATCAAATAGAATTATTGGAAATGAATGACACAATAGAGCAGATTAAAAATTTAATAGAAAGCTCCATAATAGGGTAAGTGAGGCAGAAGAGTCTCAGAATTGGAAGATATTTCTTGTCGCAATGTAGAAACAATCAAAAGCTGGAAGAGGATTTGAGTTAAACTAAGAAAAGCATGCAATAATAAAGATAAACTATGAAAAAGTCAAATATAAGAACTATAGGAGCGTCAGAAGGTGCAGAAAGAGAAGCTGGGATTAAAAATGCATTTAAGGAAACAACAAAAGAAAACTTTCCTAATATGCAGAAAGAATTGAGAAACAACATTCAGGAGGGGCATAGAACTCCCAACAGAATTGACCAAAAGCGATCTTCACTGCAATGAATGATAATCAAGCTCTCTTCAGTTGAGCACAAGGAAAAGATCCTTAAATACACACATAAAAATGTCAACTGACATATAGAGGAATGGTAATCAGACTCACAGCTGATCTCTCAAAGGAAACTCTCTAGGCCAGAGAGAATGGAGCAAAATATTCAGATTCTAAGAGAAAAACTATCAGCCCAGAATAATACCCAGCAAAGCTTCCCTTTGTCTTTGAAAAGGAAATAAAATTTTTCCACAGTAAAAAAGAAAGTTAAAAGAATATGCCTCTTCCACACTTGCCCTAAAATGATACCTAAAGATGTTCTCTTGACAGAGAAAAGGAATAGTATCCACCAAAACCAAATGCAAATGTGAAGAACATCCAGAAAAATAACAACAGAAGACTAAATCAAACAATCAACCACCCATTGCTAAAATGACTGGACCAAATTATCATCCATTCATATTAACCCTGAATGTATATGGCTTAGAATCATGAACCAAATGTCATAGATTAGAATACTGGATCAAAAACCAAAAGCCTGATCCCTACAGGAAACACATCTTACCAACAAATATCAGCAGAAATTATATCTCATGGATTTTGATGTTTTTGTTTTTAGTTTCATTTCTTCAAAATGTTTTTTCTCATATTAAATTCTTCACTGACTCATAGGTCATACAGTAGTATAATTTTCTACAAGAAGTTTCTTGGTTTTCTCAGCATTGTAAATTTCTATATTTTTCCTGTTGCTGATTTTGTTTTATGGCTTTTCATTTTAGGGAATGTATAATAATTGTGTAATTAAGACTATCATATCTGGATGTGAAGAAACAATACAGTATGCATGCCTACTTCCAGATCAAAGATAGACTTCCAATGAAACTTAACTATATCTTTACAGTAGGATGCAGGACTCTGCCATTGTCCATTCCCACAATGAGGGACTTATGACTGTTTATGAAGAACTATACTACTGTAATAATATAGGGGAAAATCGTTATGGGGGGAAAGGGGAATTTGAACAGAGGCATAAGGGAAATTCCAGAGTCTATGGAACTTTATCATAAAATAATAATAATAAATAAATAAATATTATTATTTATAAAAAGAAGATAGTTTTAGCTATTTCTGGATCTGTGAAATATGTCCCTGGTGTTTTCATGAGGATTGTACTAAATTTTTAAATTGTTTTGGACGGCGTGGACATTTTCACTATGATCTTTCAGTCAATGAACATGAGGGTTTTTTAAAAAAAAAAATAAAGATAGAAAAAAAACGCAAAACATGGGAGTTGGAAAGAGGACCTGGTTGTTGGTAGAAGATGTGATGGGATTTGAGATCCCAAAAGGACACAGATGTAGACATCCAGTGTTCAGGATGATCTGTCACACTGTCTTCCTGATATAAAGATGGCTAAGGACATTGACTTTCAGTCCTGGCACCTGTAGGACAATAATTTCTGCCTTTGGTTCCAATGCCCCAAGAAATAAGGTGAAGAAGCTCATGTCTGTCTTTTCCACAAACATCTCAAATTGCGGTGATATCTTCCACTCTAGTGGCCATCAAATTCCTAGATCGTACCCCATAATGCTATAGAAAACAGTAAGGGGGCCTGGCGCAGAAGCTTAGCTGCTGAAGTCCTTGCTGTGCACAAGCCAGGATGTCATATGGACACTGGTTCTAATGTTGGCGGCCCTGCTTGTGGCCTTGGAAAGTAGTAAATGATGGCCCAAAGCCTTGGGACCCTGCCCCCATGTGGGAGACTCCTGACTCCTGGCTTCAGCTCCTGATTGCTTCAGCTCCAGCCATTGCAACCACTTGGGGAGTGAATCAACAGATGGAAGATCTTCCTCTCTGTCTCTCCTTTTCTCTGTATAGCTGACTTTCCAAATGAAAAAAAAAAAAAAAAACCACTCTTTTTTAAAAAGAAAATAGTAAGGGAACAAGATGCATGAACAGAAAGCAAACTATGATGTTAAATAAAGATGAGAGATACAATCAAAAATTAAAGGTAGATGAGTGTGAGGGAATGATATTGACAAAGAAAAATTACTTGTAATTCCTTCAGCTTTTTAATCATTGCCAACAAATTACTTGTAATATTTTCCATGGAAATGCTTCATGTATATACTAGTTTTCATATGTAGTCTTTGGAGAATCTCTGTAATGAAGTGTGCCCTTTCTGTTTCAATCTTTCCCAATTGATGAAGAAATATCCCAGGAAGTATTAAGCATACAAAGGAGAAGAAATACAAATGGTTCATCAACATCAAGTGATGCTTTCAGTTTCTGCCTAACACAATCACACATCCTTGAAGGTTTAGCAAAGTTCACTTTGTTGTAGCTTGCCCCAGCAATTTCAAGCAGCCACGATGGCCCCTTTAATCAGTGCACCAATGGCACTTCACCCACACCTGTCATAGTTCAATTTTGTGTCTCCAGAGCCAGACAAAGAGCCCATCCTTCACATGGGCAAAAGGGCAAGGGATGACTTACCTAATGAGATGAGGTACACACTCAATGTTGGCTGTTTTTGACGTGAAAGGCGATGCCACAGATGCTTCCTGTTCTGAGAGTGAGATTCCCGCATGTGCCATTTTCAAGGCCTGGAAAGAGTAATTTGTGTTACAGTCTTGACTCCTTGGGAAAGATTCTTTATACCATAAAGTTATAACACTATGCCTTTATATCCCTGAGTTTCTGCTTACACTGTCCCTTCACCAAGAATGTGCTCTCTCCCATGATCCACAAAGTCACAAATGAAAAAGATAGCAGTTAAACAATGCTCTATAGGCAAAAGTGCTGTGTGTGTGTGTGTGTGTGTGTGTGTGTCTTTACACTCACACATACACATGTATGTTGGGTGTGAAGTGTATAGATGTGATTAGGAAATGGATGTATTGACTCAAAAAATATATTTAGGGCATTGGTGCAGTGAGACAATGTTGGGAGTGTCTGCACTTCAGACTCAGACTCTGAAGACTCCGGCTTCCTGCTGATGCACTTCCTTGAGGCTCCAGTACTTGGATTCTGCTGTTCCTGTGGGGAATCTGGATTGAATTATGGTTTCCTGGCTTCAGCCTGACCCAGTTGTGGACATTTGAAGAATTAGCCAGTGAATGGGTCTCTCTCACGCTCTCGTTCTCTCTCCCTTTCAAATAAATACATAATACACACTTTTAAAAAATGCCATCAGTTGGATTGACTGTCTGGGGTCTTTGACCATTTTAGTTGTTACACCTCACATGTCATTTTTATGAATAGCATGAAGAGATATTTATGGCTACCTTTCCTTTGTCCACTTCATCCAGCCAATCAACTGATAAATGAGATGGAGTGTGGCACCAGATCACACTCGTTATTCTCATTCTAACCTCCGTGTTGCAATTCTAAAATGAGGGCTAGTTGGTTTCTTACTCTCTGAAAACTCTACAGTGTGCATAGAGATACATCAACAACAGGCCAGCCAGGCTTTAGTCCTACAAGAATGGTGTGGCCTAGAATGAGATGCTGGACTTGTGCGGTTCCACAGAGCAATAAAGTTGGTATTTACCAGTTTCAAGTTCAATAGTGTTACATTTCCTCCTTCCTCATGTCTAATTAGCCTTCCGTGTCTTGGCTGTGTAACTTTAGAACATCCATGTTACATCAGGGTTAGCTTTATGCATGATTGTTTCCCTATCAGACAATGAGCTCTTTGTAAAAGAAATCCAGTGCCTATAAAACTGTATCACATGGGCCCGGCGCAGTGGCGCAAGTGGTTAAGGTCCTCGCCTTGCACGCCCGGGATCCCATATGGGCGCCGGTTCTATCCCAGCAGCCCCGATCCCCTTCCAGCTCCCTGCCTGTGGCCCGGGAAAGCAGTCGAGGACGGCCCAAAGCTTTGGGACCCTGCACCCACGTGGGAGACCCGGAAGAGGCTCCTGGCTTCTGATCGGCATAGTATCCATCCGTTGCGCTCACTTGGGGAGTGAATCATCGGATGGAAGATCTTCCTCTCTGTCTCTCCTCTCTGTATATCCGCCTTTCCAATAAAAACATAATAAAAATAAATCTTTTAAAAAAAAACTGTATCACATAATACAATGTTAACAACAATAAAAAAAAAAGAAACACTACATCATTTTTTAATGCTTAGTGTTTTTGTTTCATACTAATCTCCATATAATTGTAGTAAGACTGAGTATTCATACTATACTTAAAATCAGTGGCTTGTTTATTTATATATTTCAAAGAGAGAAAAAAAGATCACACAGCTGCTTATTCACTCGGATCCTGCAATATTCAAGACTGGACAAGATCAAAGTAAGGGGCTGGGAATTCAGTGTGAGATCCCCATGTGGGGAGCAGGGAACCAAGTACTTCAACCATCAACCACTGCCTCCTAGGGTGAACATTAGTACGAAACTTGAATTAGGAGTGGAGTTGGGACTTGAACTCAATCATTTCAGTATAGGGCATGGCCCTCCCACGTAAGCATCCATACAGCCAAATATTTGTTTCCAATTTGTGTTTTGTAACTTGAGAGGGAGAGGGGGAGAGGAGAGAAGAAAAGAGGGAAGGGGTGGGGAAGGGAAGAAAGGGCATGGGGAAGAGAGGGGAGGGGAGGGGAAGAAAGGGGAATAGAACAGAGATAGAGAGAGAACTCTACTGGTTCGCTAACTGCTTGCAGAGCTCCCAGCTCAAAGTTAAAGCTAGGAACCAGGAGTTCAATTTATTTCTATCATATCCATGGCAATAAACCAAAAGGCTTGAACCATTTCTGCTCTCTCCTGGGGTCTGCATTAACAAAAACTGGGAAACAACAGCCAGAGCAGGGTATTGAATCCAGGAATTTTAATATGTGATCTTAACCTCTATGTCAAATACTTGCACCCATTCTAGATCTTTAAGGATAAGATTACCAATAGCCACTTCTCATGGAGCAGAAAATTTATAATAAATCTTTTTATGAGCATCTTAACAAAACATTTGGGGAATTAAAATGTGAAGCAAAATAAATATCAGATTTCAAATATCTAATAAACTTTAAACAAAGAAATATTCTTGACTTGTTGGCTGACAAGGTGGCAATTAAAACCTTCTTTTTTTTTTTAAAGATTTATTTTTATTATTTTTTCATTGGAAAGGCGGATATACAGAGAGGAGAGACAGAGAGGAAGATCTTCCATCCAATGATTCACTCCCCAAGTGAGCGCAACGGGCCGATACTATGCCGATCCGAAGCCAGGAGCCTCTTCCGGGTCTCCCACACGGGTGCAGGTTCCCAAAGCGTTGGGCCGTCCTCGACTGCTTTCCCAGGCCACAGGCAGGGAGCTGGAAGGGAAGCGGGGCTGCCGGGATTAGAACCGGCGCCCATATGGGATCCCGGGCGTGCAAGGCGAGGACTTAACCACTTGCGCCACCGCTCCGGGCCCTAAAACCTTCTTTTATGTGTGTAACCCTCACTATAAAATGTTGTTCAAATCGTAAGTTTAGAACTTCAAAATTCAAAACATATATCGTTTCTTTATTGTACATGAGAAATAATCACAGAATCATTCAATTTAGAATTTTCTACAGTGTGGAACAACCACACTTTTTATAGGACTTTTGGATGAATCTAACTGGCTTTTAAAAAAATAAAGCTATTTATTTGAAAACCAGAGTTCAAGGGGGGAGAAGAGATAGAAAGAGAGCAAAAAGCCAACTTTTAACACCTAAGCCAGAGTATGAATTTCATAGGACTAACTAAATGCAAGTTACACATAATTCAAAATGCAGGTCAAATCAGTGCTAAACTTCATGGCTAAGACTTTATCAGTTGTGTAACTTTGAGCAAAATTACTCCACCTGCCTGAACGCTGAAGGTATGGGGGATTGAAACCAACTAGTTTTGTAAACTCTCTTTCAGATCTGACATGTTGAAGCAAGTTCAAATTGTCTTCCCTCATCTCTTTTATCCTAAGACTTTGCCAGAAACAGCTGATATGACTCATTTCATTTGATTCCTCTTCATCTCCAGCCCAGACTCAGGGACAGGCGGTTGTAGACTGCAAAATAATGCTGTAGCTTCTGGAGGAAGAATGCAGAGAAGGACACCTAGAGACCATGGGGTCCTGTGTTAGCTGAAGTCACTCATACTCACCCCACAGTCATTAGCTCCGTCACCACACATACCCACATAATAACTGCAGGGGAAAGGAAAAGAAAAGTCAGGCGATTTCCACTCACATGCAGGGTGCGTGTGTGTATCCCAAACACATGTGGAGTTGGGAAAATTACTCTGAAGTTCACAACCCAGCAAAAAGGAAAGGGGGCCATTTCGTTATTTAAATAGTTTCAATCAACTATTTTGAAATGGTAGTGATACCAACTAAGACATCAGCCAAAACAGCGCTGATATGTGAGTATTTCCACCAAAGCCGAGCTGAAGAGCATACAGTCACGGCTGCAGTATTTCTCACGCAAGCAAAAGCAGAGATCATTACCCAATCCACCTATGCTTCTACTGTTGCTTTCTAGGGAGAGTTTTAAAAGTTCAGATACCAGGAAAAAGAAATCTGGAAAGTAACTTAACATACATAACCAGTGACATAACATAATTATAATCCATGATGCATCTCAGGGTGAAAATGAGATAATAGGCTCCCTACCTGTATCAGGTTTGATATGAAGGTGTGAATAATAACTAAAGCAGTAGACAAAGGTCTTTTTATGCAAGACACAAGCTGTTCTTGCATTGTAAGTGCACATTACCTTATGGATCTTCACTAATGGCAATAGGACATTTACCTACATTTTTCCAAAACCAGATAAAACAATAAAAAACCAATAAGGGGGAAAAGTAAAGTTTGCTTAGGAATTTCCTTATTATTAGTTAACACATAGAAAATGTACACTTTCAGGGCAGGACTTTGATGTGGCTGTTAAGATGCTGCTTGGGGGCCCGGCGCGGTGGCGCAAGTGGTTAAAGGTCCTCGCCTTGCCGCCCGGGATCCCATATGGGCGCCGGTTCTAATCCCGGCAGCCCCGCTTCCCTTCCAGCTCCCTGCCTGTGTCCCGGGAAAGCAGTCGAGGACAGCCCAAAGCTTTGGGACCCTGCACCCGCGTGGGAGACCCGGAAGAGGCTCCTGGCTTCGGATCGGCATAGCATCGGCCCGCTGCGCTCACTTGGGGAGTGAATCATCGGACGGAAGATCTTCCTCTCTGTCTCTCCTCTCTGTATATCCGCCTTTCCAATGAAAAAATAATAAAAATAAATCTTAAAAAAAAAAAAAAAAAGATGCTGCTTGGGAGACAATATTCTATCAGAGCCTGAGTTCCGGTCCTAGCGCTGCTTCCGATTTCAGCTTACTGCTGATGCACATCCTCAGAGACAGCAAGTGTTGGCTCAAGTACCTGAGACCTTGCCATCCACGGGAGAGACCTGGACTGAGTTCCAGGCTCATGGCTTTGGTACGGCCCGACTGCTGTGGATATTTGGAGGTATGAGCCACAGATGGAAGATCTCTGTCTGCTTTTCAAATAAAATGTGAATAAGCAAACAGTTTAAAGCACCATTCTTATTGGTTAAATGTTCAAATACGGGCACATTCATATTCATATGGTCCAGCCTAATATCAGGTTAGTGTACATGGAACCCTCTCATAAGCATTTACAATTGCATACCGTGACTATCCAGAGCTGCTGAAACAACAGCTGCTTTTTTTTTTTAGGCTTAAAGCACATATCTAATCTCACTATCACATTGAATATCTGATAACTGGATATAAAAAGGACATTTAGAAAATATTATGCACACCTCCAACGATGAAGGCATGAAGAATAAGATTAAGAGATTGAGAAGATAGCTCGCTCCAACACCGTATGTGTTTTTCTGAACTGGTTTTTTTTTTTCCTTTAGGAGAATAGTCTCAAAATTAAGCATTGAAGCTGGCAAAAATTCTCAGACATTTGAAAAAAGGAAAATTACTTTCTTCAGTCAATACCATATAATGACCAAAGAGGTGAAAACGACCGTTTTAGACTCTGATTACTTACCCAGCCTCAAGGCATTGTGGGAGTTAATAGGCAGTTTTGAGACGTCCCTATGAGTACTTGCACGATGAAATGTAATGGTAAAAAGCAGTTTCCCGATTTCACACGCAACTTATCAGCCATTAGGGGAAGTTTCATTACTCTTTGTTCCTTTTCACTTTCTGGAATCCGTAGGCCAGAAACTAGAACATTCCCAGCAAGTAACAAGGTAATCTGTCCTAAAGAACTGGTTCACCCTGAAATGCCTGGGTCATCTTTGTGAAGGAAACATGAAAGAACTTTTCTTTGATATAATTGCTTTCAGGTGCTGTTTGACCTCTTGCCAAGAGCACCTGAAATAGTTGTCTACTGGACTGACATGAAATGATTTAAGTTGATAACTCACATGCCTTCCCATTTTCCCCATTCCAAGTGATGTAAACACCGTCACTCTATTCTCTTTATGTGTAACAGATCTTTGTGGATTTTTTTTTCCGGGGCAGGGAGTTCTAATATAACCCTCCATGAGCCTTACTTCTTGGCAATCTACTCCCTTGAGAATGAACTAGACCCAGTGATTTTTTCCTAACAAGTACAAGATATCAAATAGGATGGGTTGTCACTACTGAAGTTTGGATGTAAAATGCTGACACTCATCTCTCTTCATACCCTCAATCCTACTGAGTGCTTCTCACTTGCCTGTTCTTATGGAAGCCAGCTTCCCAATTCCTTATGAAACAGGCCATGTGGCAAAGGACCAAGAGTGGTATCTATTCAACAGCCAGTACAATACTGAGACTCTTAGTCCCACCACCCACAAGGAAGTGACTATCCAACAGGCAAGTGGGGCTGGTAGCAGGTTGTCTACACTCAGACAAAGATAATTACAGTCCTGATCAACACCTGATCACATCCTTGCACGAGATCCTAGTCCAGGGACTCAGCTGAGCTTCTTCTGCAGGCCTGAATCACACCAAAGTAAAATAATAGATAGTGTCATTCTACTGTCACTGAGAGTGGAACACATGTGATGCTATAATGGCTAATGTGGACATTCTCCCTTCACATGATAACACCTACTCTAATTTCTGGAATTCTTCAATAAGGCTGGACTTGTGCCCAGGAGACATTCTTGCAAAGATGGTTCCATTCACAAGAATCTAAAAAGGAAAACAGTCACCACAGTTAAGATGAAGAAGAAGAACACTTCTCAAATAGACTGTCTGAAAACATCACCCCAACAACTAACTTAACACAGCATTGGGAAATGCCTCATCAGACCACATGCAATGTTGAAAGCAAAGAAAGATGTGATGCTTCAATACTGGACCTTCACATTAAGCATCCATCACAACTCAGTTACTTTCTCCCTGATGATTTTTCCAAAATGGAATGACCTCAAATTAATGGTAACAAGAAGCCCAGTATCATTTAGGGTAACAATGCTTAAGGAAATACAGTTCTTATTCCCAAACACTTTCTCTGTAACGGTAATGGAAGCAGAGGGAGGAGCAATAAACCAGAAGTTGCAAAACAACATTATACACTCAGCTGCATCATAAGCAGCTGTGCCAAATGGAGGGCAGTTGTTTAACCTTTCTGAGTTTAGTTCTCACATTTCTACAGTGAGGAGCTGGACTTTCTGACTTTCTGAGGAGCCGTAGGGATCTAAGATCTGTGGTCCTTGAGGTAAGACAATGAAAGTTAAGACTGCACACAGCTTGGACTCCATTGATCTGTGCCACATTGATAGCACAGCTCCACACAACATTATTTTAAAATAGGACATACAGAGGACAGGATAACAAATGATTTTGAAAGTAAACCATGGGGGCTTTGCCTCCTTCAGCTGTAATTTAGGAATCTGGATGGGAAGGGCAATAGAACTCAGCTTGACCTAAGCTGGTGGCTTTCAGAGCAAAGCTAGCCTACAAAATAAGTGGTATGTTTGAACTATCTAGAAGTTCTTCACATGGAGAAGGAGGCTGGGATGGGACTACCCACAGGGTGAGATCAATTCAAATGACAGAGAGGAGGCCATGCTGTGTTAGGGAATATGTAGGGCTGAAAGACCTGAGAATCTTTGAGGAGCCATGTTCCTCCTGGGTGTAGATTGTCAAACCTGAGACAATTTCAATGACCGCTTCAAATAACTTTATTCTCTCTTTGTACCTATTTTTTATTGTTTAATTTTCTTTTCATTTTCATGCTTTTTTAACCTCACTACAAATTTATTCTGAAGATACCATTTAAAAATATGGAAAAGATATGTTCAAAATTAGTAAATTAAATCTAATAGGATTTAAATTGTAATATGAAATTAATAAACGTCAATTTATATTGACAAAATTATTAACTGGGAAGAAACTATTGTTGTCATATCTCTTAGATGCAAACAAGAATATTTTACTTCCTTTTTGATATATAATCATACACATTATCAATTTATCAATCAATCAAGGCAGGTGAGGCTTGTTACAATAACAATTCCAAAATCTTACTTGATTGGCACAACATAAAATGTATTGTTTTCTTATGCAAAGTCCACTCTGGCTCTGAATGATTCCCCAGTCTGCCTCACTACTTTGAAGAGCAAGACAAAACCCTTTCATTTTTCTGGTACTTACTTTCGGAAGCAAACTGTTGAAATGCTGAAAGATGACTTGGTAGGATTTCCCACTCATCGCAAAATGGTAAGAGCTCCCTCTTTCACCATCATGGTCTGAACTGTTTCCAACGCTAATGGAGGATTCCTGAAACCAAAAAGAGCACTGTCTCTTTCTGTTGGCTCTAAAGACCCATCTCTGCTGTCCTAGGATTTTGTGGAAGGAAATGAATTCACACCACATAACAATGCAAGGACCGGCATATGAATAATTGATGACCTCTTGAAATACTGACCTATAGGAAAAAGGAAACTCAGAATGCTTCTCCAACCATCCCCCACATCCCCCGCAATTACTTGAACATCTGATTCTCTGTGGTTTCTGAGCAGTATCACACGTGCTGTCAGTCTGCAGAGGCAATTAGGCTGATTCACCAATCAGTGATTTTCAAGACAAGCAGCATCCATGCTTGTTTCTGCTCCCCACTCAGCCTCACATTTCCTAAGATCTCATAACCATTCCATTGTTCAAAAATTACACTTTGGAGCAGGCATTCGATGTGGCTGTTAAAATGCCTCTGGGTATGCTGCATCACATATCTGAATGCCCAGTTCAAGTTCGCAGCTGTAATTTGTGATTCCAGCTTTTCTGCTCATGGGCACCCTGGGAGTCATGCCTCAAATAGTTAGGATTCTGTCATTTATTCAGGAGAGCTGAATTAAAATCCTGGCTTCTGGTTTAGGCCTGGCCCAGTCCTGGATGTTGAGGGCATGTGGGGAAAGAACCAAAAGATGGGAGATCTCTGTTTCTCTCTCTGGGATGGGATTTTTCAGTGCCTAATTTCTTTTGACACCTGATTTCTATGACCCTACTCCAATAGCTGACCCTTTTATCATAGTTCCCAGATTCCTTTGCACACCCTACCTTCTGAAAAATAATCATCAATCCTTTTCTAAAACCCTTTTTCTCCTCTCTTTCCCTTATCAGTGTCTTCCCTGGCTGCCTTCTACCTCAGCAGTGGATGCCTATGTATTCCTCATGTCAGTAGCTAGTAATGGTTTTTCATGCAGTATTTTCCAAAAAGCTTTACATTTGTAGAGAGAGAAGAGGAAATTGTATTCATGGGAGAAATTCATCTCAACCAAAACATTATGTGCATGTCCAGAAGAAGAAAAAAAGATTTGCTATACTGAATCAGAATGCAAGATAAGACACCCCCATTCTGAGACCTTAATTACAAAGCAACCAGTGAAAGGCTTGATCAAAAGTTGTCTGCATGAATCAAGGACAGAAACTTCTTTTGCTTGTGGTGAGTAGGTGAGAAGATGAAGCGTAGTGAAAGCAGAGAGGAGCAGGACTTCTCCCATTAGCAACCAATACTTCAATAAAAACGTTAAATTCATGAATGAGTTGTAATGTGAACTGTTCATTGCAGTTAGTACAGGAGTTGAATCCTGTCATATGAATCTGAGCAATGTGTATTGACGCAGAAGCAAGGAGAATTCCAAGGAAGTAAGTACCAGGAATCTGCTGAAAATGCAGAAAGAATTGCCATCTTTTGCAGCCCATGCAACTAGAATTTGAGTCGAGTTAATGCCTGTCTTTCCAAGACGGAGGAGAGCTGCTCTGTACAGCTGTGCCAATTGTGTGATGTACAAAATCTCCCGAATACACAAAGGTCCACTCTAGTTTGTCTGAAAGGCTATTCAACCTGGAGGAAGAGAGCATTTTAGTAATCCATCAAAGGCCATGTCTTTGAATTCATCTGCAGTGATGAGATGTCTGGCTGTAGCCCATTTTCGTCATTTGAAAAAGCTATTCTTGTTTGTGTGAGTGGGAAGCTTGCCACCTTGACAAGCCTAACGCCTGTTCACTTCATGTTACAGGTGCAGTGCACTCTAAATGCGCATGATTTCACATGGAATCCAACAGATCTGGGCTATGTCTTGTGCAAGCTTAAATTGCTTTTTTTGAAAATGAATTTATTTTATTTATTTATTTATTTATTTACTTATTTTAAAGGCAGATTTACAGAGAGAAAGAAAATCAGAGAGAAAGATTTTCTATCCTCTGGTTCATTCCCTCAATGGCCACAAAGGCTGGAGCTGCGATGATCATAAGTCAGGAGCCAGGAGCTTCTTCTATGTCTCCCTTGTGGGTGCAGGGCCCCAAGTCTTTGGCCTGTCTTCTACTGTTTTCCCAGGCCACAAGCAGGAAGGTGGATGGGAAGTAGAGCAGCTGAGACAAAAGCTGGCACCAATTTGGGATCTTGACTCATGCAAGGCAAGGATTTAGCCACTAGGTGATCATGCCAGGTTCAGCTTAAATTTCTTTTCTTAAAATTTTTTTTAATTGACTTACTTGAGAGGCAGAGAAGTATAGAAGGATCCCACCAATTGGTTCACCCCCCAAATGCTCTCAGTGGCCGTGACTGAGGTGGACTGAAGCCAGAAGCTAGGAACTTAAGCCATGTTTTCCACAGGTGAGTGTAATTCAACCACTTTAGCCATTCCCACTGCCTTTCAAGGTCTGCATTAGCAGGAAACCAGAGTCAGGTGCTAGGGCTGGGACCTGAACCTGAGTACTATGGACATCTTAACCACAAGGCTTGAATGCCTGCTTCCCACTAACGTTTCTGAGTCTCAATTTTCTCATTTCTAAAATGAATCATTCATCTAACTCCAGAGGGCTATTGTGAAGATCAAGTGGGAAGGAAGGATGTCAATCAGCAATTCTCAACCATGACTGCACACTGGAATCCCTGGGAAAAAGAGCTCATGCCAATTGCAACCTCAAGGCTTCTGATTTATTTATTTCTGCCAAAATCAAGATACTTAAAATCTCCTCCCAGTAATATTGGTGTGTGACTGGACTGAAAAGTCTGGATGAAAAAGCTTTGCAAACTTCAAAACTCTGGGCAGATGTGAGGAGTCAAGACTATGATAACTTCTAGAGGGCAGAAGGCAGTGCAAGTCCAACATTAGCTCACGCTCTTTCCAGGCTCAATTTCTTGGTTCACCACCAGCTGCCAGGTCACAGAGGCCGGTACAAATTCTTCTGGCTCATTGGCTTCCACAATGATCACTTGGTTACCTCGAGGAATCATTCCAGAATTCCTTGCAACAGTAATGGCTGTTTGCAGGTTGTCACCTAGAAAACAAGGGAAATTTGCTTGCTCGAAACAAACCTCTTTTCCATAGTCAGAATTGAACTACTCCTCCTCCAATTTGCTTCCTGCTCTTCAAGGCATCTATTAATAAAGGGATTTTTATATCTGCCTATCCACTCAAAACTGTCCCTAGTGGACATTGTACTTATATCTCTCTCTGGCAAAATTTAGCACCTGTCCGCCATGTATTACCAAAACACTCAGAGATAAACAAAGGAATGTTTAAGCACTTGAATGGACACATCTTCAAGATCTTAACAGCTTCTAGCAGTGCACATAGCATGATCCAGGTTGATAGCATAAAACCTCCCTCAGTCAGTGGGGAAAACAGCACTTAGGACCAAGCTCTACTTGAGCTTAATGGTCATACACCATTCCTGGTCCTGCTGCCCTGGAGACCACCATCTCACATCCTTCATGTGGAGCTTTTGTGCTTGATTCTTGCTGAGAGCACATCCATTCTTATGTTTAGACATGGACTGGGACCCTATTAACACTGCTAGCTTCCTGCCAAGGAAGAGCAGGAACTGGTTGGAGAGAATGAGCCAGGACCCTGACCTCCAAAGTTCCTGGTCCTGTTGGAGCCACATGGATAACTGGACCACAGAGGAGCTAAGTTGGCCTGAACAGTTTTCTCCATGCCTCAGTCACAGCAGCTGGCTGAGCATCGCATCTGTTTCTGATGCCTGAGACAGAGTCACCCTGGAGGGGGCTTTCCCTGCCTACCTGTGACCATCACAGTCCTGATGTGGGCCTGCCTCAACTCCGTCAGCACCGGCCTCGTTTCCTTTTTCAAGCGATTCTCCATGATGAGAAGTCCCAGAAACGTTAACTCCGACTCCACATGCTCTCTGTAATTCAGCAAAAAAAAATCGATATTGAAGTGTTGCTATAGAGTCTCATCAATTGGATTTACTCTTTTTTAAAAATCCTAAGCTTTGGTAAGTCAACACATGAGCACATTAAAAAAAAAAAAAAGTGTGTCTGGTGTTGTGGTGCAATGGGTAAGCCTATGACAACAGCATCCCATATGGTGCCAGTTTGAGTCCTAACTGCTCCATTTCCAAGGCAACTCTTACTAATGGACTGCGAAAGCAGTGTAAGATGGTTCAAGTGCTTGGGTCCCTGCCATTCATATGGGAGACTTCCTGGCTCCCGATTTTGGCCTGGCCCAACCTTGGCTATTACTGGCATCTGCAAGTAAACCAGTGACTGAAAGATTTCTCTTTTTCTATCTCTTTTGCCCTCTAAATATCTCTGACCTTCAAATAGATAACTAAAAAATATATAATAATAATCCAAGAGCTTGTAAGGAAAACCATTAGTCCCTGTTTCCCTACCACCTCATCCTTCTTCCCAGGGACAATTAATTATGAATATTTTAAAGCTGCTTTTTCTCATTACCAATCCAATTTTTGATAAGAACAATATGCTTGTTCTTGGACTGTAATATAGGTTCTTCAGTTCATCATACATGAGATTATCTTATAAACTTGATTAGGAACTGAATTAAAATACAGTACACATTTTCCAAGAACATTTCTCTATAACCTTGTGGGTTTTATTTGAATTTCTAAGGAACATCCCCACCTTTCTCTTTCTTTGAACTTGCAATCATTTCAAATCATTTGACATTTATCAGGTGCATGATGCAACCAAGACACAATTCGACTGGATATGGGTCATTCATCTTAGCCTCCATTTGTCACCTCTAATAAATACAGCCAATCAGCCAGGGCTCTGAAGAGCTTTCTATCTGAAGTTGGAGTCTTACTGGGTTACATTAGTTACATAGAACTTCTTCCCTGAAATTGAACGACTGCCAGGTGGCTTTCTAAAAAGTAAATGTGCAGACCAAAGGTTCCTTCTTGATTTTTCAGTGTTCATTTCTCTGTGAAGTACAGTTCAGATTGCAGGGAGAGGGAAGAGAAGGAGTGCTACGGTTCTGTTTCTCTGCATGCCATCAGCCAGTCCTCTGCACTCTGCCTGTGTTAGCCTCACCATTCAGGGCCAAGGTTATATGTGAGTCTGGGCCTCCCTGCGAAGGGCTGGCAAGATGAGCCAGCTTTTCTTTATCATTTTGCTCTCTGGCTATGATGTATCTAATTTTTTAAAAACCTGATGACTCCATTAACAATTCCACTTCCCTCATTTATACTTAAGACTTTCCTAGTTTGTTTTGATACTATTCCTTTATTGCAAGGTCGGTAGTGTGGGGGAGGTAAAACAAACACAGGGTCAGTGAGCCTTATTTAAGAGAAAGATCAGAATTGATGTCTTGATGAGAAATATTCAAACTTGGGTACACAGTGAAATACCTTCTCTCTGGAGCAGAATACAAATTGCTAAATCCTTCATTCACAAGCCCATTTATTGAATAACTCATCATTCCTCAGTGTCCATGGGGAATTTGTTCCAAGTCCCACTGTGATATCCAAATTGGCAGATGTTCAAATTCTCATATAAAACAGCATAGTATTTGCATAGAACCTACACACATACTCCCACATAATTTAAATTATCCCTAGTATGCCAGTAATACATTGTAAATGTCATGTAAATTGTTTTATCTTTTTTTAGGGTAGAATAATGGCAGCAAAAATTCTACACGTTTAGATGCAAGGATTTTTTTCTAAATATTTTAAATCTTAGATATCTCAAAGAATAATTCAAATTGAAATCTACTAATTGTAGACTTCTTTAAAGATTTTCATTAAAGATTTTCTTCACCGATACATTAGTTATTCAGTCCCGTGTTGTTTAACTACATGTGCTGTAAATTTTTTGCTTTAACTTCATTCCTGCTGTTGACATTGTTTCATGGCTACTCATTTAAGGGAATGTATAGTGATGGCATAATAGAAACTATCATATCCAGATGTGAAGATACAATGCAGTATGCATCCCTACTTCCAAATCAAAGATGGACTTTCAGTGAAACTCTCAATGACAATAGGATGTTGGACTGTCTGGCATTGTCTCTACCCACAATGTCAAGACACACTTTCTCAAATATTAGGCTGATGGGTTTGTGACAACTTATGAAGGTAATAATATAGGGAAAATCAGTCAGGGTGGGACAAAGGGATAGGAAAGTCCCAGACTCCATGGAGCTGTACCGTAAAATTAAAAATAAAAAAATATAAAAAACAAAAACAGATTTTCCCATCTTTTACCTTCATTACTTTCTATTATAAATTGGGCTGACATTTTCTCATTAGCTAGAAACAAGATCTAAAATTCTTCTCACTGATTTATTTTGATGGTTTTCATACAGCATGTTACTTTCTTGGTAAACCTTGATTCATGTGTAATGCTTATACAAAACCTGCATTGATGGAAGGCATGTAATTACCAACACAGCTGTGCTCTTTCACCAGCTCCAAAAATCTTCTTCTCATTTGAGTTTAACATTCATCATTCCAACTTGTATTTGAAAAATTTAAAAATCCTATATGTAATTGGTCTTATTGCTTATCCAAAAATAGTTAATATCTGGAATGTTAATCTCATAATTCCATTCATATATTTCAAAACAAGTTTTGTGATTCCATTTTAAAGAATGAAATATAGTTAACAAGCTCCTTAGAAATCACCCGGTCCTCTGTTTTTTTGATGCAAATTGATCAGACAAGAGCATAACATGACACATTAGAGTCAAACTTTAAAAAATAGAACATGAGCATTCTAACACATGTACAAGAGGAATTCCAGATTTTCTTCAAGGGATCTCAAATTAGATTGGCAGTTGATTTTTCATCAGAAGCCCTACAACCTAGGAGGGAGTGGAGAGCCATAATTCTAATTATAAAAGAAAAATGTTCCCAATCCCAAATATTGTACCAAGCAAAGCTCCCAATTATAAATGAAGGTTTAAGACCTCCAAACACGAACAGAAATTGAAAGAAGTTGTCATCACTTTTCTAGCCATTCAGATGATACTTAAAGATGTGCTACAAAGAGATGCAGAAAAAGAGTCATCATCATGAAAGAATGTGAAGGAGAAAACCTGCTGGTAAAAGTACAAAGGAAACCCAAAGAAAACAACAGGAATCTTATGGAAAAGTGGCAGGACCAAGTTGTTCCTTATCAATAATATCCTTAAACTTAAACAGCCTAAAGTATCTAATTAAATGACACAGATTGGATGAATGAATTAAAAAACAGAGCTCATCATTTTGCTGCCTGCAAGAAACCTACCTCACTAACAAAGATGCACAAACTGAAAGTGAAAGGATACAAAAAGATATTCCATGCCAAAGAAAAGGGAAAAAAGGCAGGACAAGCCATCCCAATATCAGACAAAATAGATTTTAACACAAAAACTTAAATGAAACGAAGAATGACGTTATGTAATGAAAAGGAATCAATTCCACAGGTAGATGTGACTATAGTAAGTGAATATGCACTCCATGTGAAACAGCTATTTAAAACAGTTTTTAAACGTCAGTGTTTAGACTTTAGCACCTTTCATCAACTGACTTAGACAAAAAAAAAATCAGCAAAGAAGCAAGAAAACTCATCGATACTGTTGGAAAACGGATTTAATTGATATCTACACGTTATTTCATCCCACAACTGCAGAATACATATTCTTCTCATTTGTGCATCCAACTTTATCTAGGGTAGAGCTTATGATGACTCAAAAAGTACATGTTTTCAGACTGCAATGGAGTGAAGCTAAAAATTAGTACCTTAAGAAATTCGAGTATATGCAAACACATGGAGACTAGAGTGAATGATGTGTCAAAAACAAATTCAAAAGGGCATTCAAAAATTTCCCAGAAGTGCATGAAAATTACAATACAGTATTTCAAAACTTATTAGATATGGCAAATCAAGCACTAACAGGAAAGCCATAGAAGTTAGTGCCTACATCAGGAAACTGAAAAGGTATCCAATGCATGATCTAACAATGCATCTCAAGGATGTAGGAAAACAAGAACAAGCAAAACTCCAAATTACTAGGAAGAAAGGAATCATTAAAATCAGAGAAATCAGAGAAGAAATAAAATCTAAATGAACAAATTTAAAAATATACAAAAGGTCAGTGAATGAAGAGCTGATTTTTTAATAAAATTGACGCACAATTATCCTAACCAAAAAGGAGATGACCCAAATTAATAAAATCAGAGTTGAAAAAGGAGATGTTAAAATGACTACCACAGAAATAAAAAGAACCATCAATAATTACTAAAATATAGCCATATGCCAAATTGCTGGAAAACACAGAAGAAATGGACAGATGTCTGAACACACACAATCTACTAAAACTGAGTGATGAAGACAAAGAAGAGCTAAATATAATATAGTAATAATATAGAGATTAAGTCAATAATAAAGATCTTTCCAGGGCTCAGTGCAGTGGGCCAGCCTTTACCATGCCAGGATCCCATAAAGGTGCCTGTTCTAATCCCAGTGGCCCCCACTTCCCATCCAGCTCCCTGCTTGTGGCCTGGGAAAGCAGTCGAGGACGGCCCAAAGCCTTGGGAACCTGCACCTGCATGGGAGACCCAGAAAAGCCCTTGGCGCCTTGGCTCCTAGCTTTGGATCGGCTCAGCTCCAGCTGTTGCAATCACTTGGGGAGTGAATCACTTGGGGATGGAAGATCTTCCTCTGTGTTTCTCCTCCTTTCTACATATCTGACTTTGCAATAAAAAAAAAATCTTATAAAACAGATCTTTTCAACAAAGAAAAGGATCAGATGGCTTCACTGCTGCTCAACTGCAACAAACTTTTAAATAACTAATTCAGTTCTCCTCAAAACATTCCAGTCAATTGTAAGGCAAGAAATTCTCTCAAACTCATTAATTTCAACATTCAGAAAAAAAATACAACAAAGAAAGAGGAAGGTAACTATAGGTCAACATCCCTGATGAACAACAATGCAAAAGTTCTCAAAATATATATATAGAGAGAGAAGTATATTGCAAAGACATTCACCCAGACCAAATGAGATTTATCTCCAGTGTTCAGAAATGGTTCAATATAAACAAATCAATAAATATGATGCATCAAATTGATAAATTATAGAATAAAAATTGTATGATTTCCTCAATAGGTTCAGAGAAAAAAAATTGGTAGAATGCTACATCTTTCATAATAAGAAATAAAACCATCTGCAAATTGAGCATATAAGGAACCTTTCTCAACACAATCAAGGCAATCTATGACAAACCTATACCCAACATGATATTAAATGAAGAAAAACTGGAAGCATTTGCACTAAAATCAGAATCAGACGAGGATACTCACTTTCAGAATTGTTATTCAACATAGTTTGGAAATTTTAGCAAGAGCCATTAGGCAAGAAAAAGAAATCAAAGGAATACAAACTGAAAAGGAGGAAATAAAATTATTTCTATTGCAAATGGCATGAACCTTATATAGGATAACCAAAAGACTTCACTAAGAGACTATTGGGAATGATGTAGAATATAAAATCAATACACAAAAATCAATATTCTTTGTATATATGAACACTGCCCAGGCTGAAAAGGAACCTCTGAGGTCAATCCCATTTACCATTTAAATTGTCAATAAAATGTCAAAAAGTCAATAAAAATAATTAAGAAAAAATTAAATATCTGGGAATCAATTTAACCAAGGAGTTGAAAGATCTCTACAATGAAAATTATAAAAAATTAAAGAAAGAAGACATAAAAAATAAAAAAACCTCTATGACATGGAATGAAATCATTAATATCATCAAAATGCCCATATAAACCAAAGCAATTTAGATTCAATGTGATATTAATCAAAATATCCAGAACGTTCTTAGTTCTAAAAGAAGTGATGCTGAAATTCATATGGAAACACACAAGATGTCAAGGAGTTAAATCAATCATAAACAACAAAAACAAAGCTGAAGGCATCACAGCATCATCTTTCAAGACATAGTGCAAGGCAGCATTTCTCAAAACAACCTGGTTCTGGAACAAAAACAAATGTGTAGACCAATGAGCAGAGTAGAAATCCCAGAAATTAGTCCCCACCTCTGTGGCCAACATTTCTTACAAACACTCTAACATCAATCCCCTAGAGGATGGACAGTCTCAACAAGTGGTGTTAGGAAAATTGGATCTTCTCATGCAGAAGTATGGAACAAGAACCATGTTTTATACCTTATACAAAAATCAGCTTACATGGGATTAAATATCTAAATGTATGACCTGATACCATCATATTACTAGAGGAAAACATGAGGGAAACGCTGAAAGACATTGGCACATGCAAAGACAGCTTGGAAATGGCCCCATATGTATAGACAATAGAAGCAAAAATGGACAATCGTGATTATAGAAAGCTAAGAAACTTTTCACTGTGAAGAAAATACCCAACAATGAAGCAAGAGATAGAATGGGAGAGAAATATTTGCAAATTATGTTACTGACAAAACATCAGTGCCTATAAAGAGCTCAAGAAACTCACCAACCACAAAGCAAATAGTTGAGCTAAGAAATGGACAAAGTACATGGTTAGACATCTTCTAGAAAATGAAACACAAATGGCTAGGAGGCACATAAAAAATGTTCAAGATCTTCATGTTAACCATGAGGTAAACACAAACAAAACTACAATGAAATATCACCTCCTCCCAGTTAGAATAGTATTATACAAAAATCAAAACATAATAAATACTGACGAGAAGTAGGGGAAAAGATACCCTAATACACTGCAGCAATGTGAACCAGTACAATCCTTGTTTAAGACTCCGTAAAGTACAATCAGTATGTTGATTCCTCAATAGCTAAATATAAACCTACCGTAAGATCCATCCATCCCTTTCTAGGAATTTGCCAAAACAAAATGAAATCCTCATATAGAAGATTTATCTATACCATCATCTTTACTGCATCTTAATTCACAATAGCAAAGATATGGAATCAACCCAGATATCTACTGGCTAACGACCGGATGAAGAAACTATGAGATATATACACATATGTATACATACATATACATATACTATGGAATACTGTTCAGCATAGAAAGGAATGGAATTCTATCTTTTGTAACAAAATTGATGCAATTGGAAATCATTACATTTTAGTAGAATAAACCAGTCCCCAAAAGACAAATATTACATTTTCTCTGATATGTGGTAGTTAATATAGAACGCAAAAAAAAAAAAAAAAGAAACTGAATAGCAGTGAAACACACATAATGTGACTTGATTGTTATTTTTATCCCTTGCTTATACTCGTACGGAACTGTGATCTTTTCCTTTTCACTTGTTGAAAATTATAGCTAGTGGTGTACTAAGTCTGTGATTCTAGAGTGGTTTGAAATTTATATTTTTTAAAAATGTTAAATAAAAAGAAAGGTGAAAGAACAGGTATTGAGTGAGGGAGGATGGAGGGAAGTATACTTAGAATTTTACCTATGAGAAATATATAAAATCAGTTCTCTTTATATTGATAGAGAAATTTTTTTAAAAAAAAGCATAATCCAAGAAGTGCTACATTAGATGAAACCAAATTGGTAGAAAATTAATGGTTATTAATATATCTGATGTGGAATTCATTGTGTTTATATTTTTGAGTATGTTCTATAACGTTGTTAATTTTAAATTATTTAAGTACAATGAATAAAAAAGTCTATGCATTATCTTCTCATGAGCACAATTGCTATATTTTCTTTCTTCATTTTGCATTTATTACCTCCTCAGATCCGAAGGAGGTATCTAATTGATCCCTGGTAGAAACCAAGTCTAAAGAATTCTGAAACTCAAAGTTCTATCTCTCATCAACATCTCTATATATGGAGTGTTAACATAATGCTCTGATGTTAAGGGGTAATCAGTAGGTTTTGGTGGAATGAGACTAACCCTAGAAGTGCTCTTTGACTTAGGGATGAATGCGATTGAGTCTCCACCCTCAAGGGACTTCCCAATGATGTGAACTGTTCCTCTGTATACCTCCAGAGTTCATTCCCTCAGGTCCACAGAGTGGGACCTTGTGCCAATTTCCAAGATCCTTACCTGGTTAAATGTTCCATTTCTGAAAGCTTCGTCGTCTTCAAGACCTTGTGGGCCAGGGCAATGACCCGGAAACCTTGCACTGTATAATTTCTCAGCTCCTGTTGGAAATTTCTGGGCACTGCCAGAAGAGCAGGGACAGGTAAGTGTGAAGTCATGATGAAGGTTTCCCAGCTCATAAGACAGACTCTAAGATGCACGGAGGTAATTGGGAGATGAGGATGGAGCCTTTATGAATGGGATTAGTGCCCTGACAGTATAAACAGGAGATAATCTCTCTCCACTAAGCAAGGACACAGCAAGCAGGTAGACATCTGCAAATCTGGGAAAAAAAATGGCCCTTAGCAGGACCCTAATTATCTGATGCCTTAAGATTGTACTTCTCAGCCTCTAGAACTATGAGAAATACATTTCTATTGGTTAAGCCACTCCATGTATTGTATTTTTGTTATAGCAATTCCAGTTAATTTTGCAAATCAGGTGTCAAATGCAGTGAATTCAGTGAGAATAGATCATAGGACCACATCTGTGTCAATGAAACGTGAGAAACTGTCAACCTGCTAGATCAGAGGTCTGCAAACTGTGACACACATGCCAGATTTGGCCCGCTATCTGCCTTTGTAAATAAGGTTTCATTGCAACTCACTCACATCCATGTGGAGGTTTTTTTCTTCATTTTATTATTCAGGGGGTTGTTTGGGTTTTTTTGTTTTTGTTTTTGTTTGTTTGTTTGTTTGGTCTGTGGCTGCTTTAAATCTACAAAGGCAGGGTTGAGTAGTTGAAAAAGATATTGGGTAGCTGGAAAAACCTAAAATATCTACAGTCTGGCTCATCACAGGAAAGTTGGCCAACCACAGCATTGGATGATGACAATACAAACATATGTGTGTTGCTACAGAATTGGTAACCATTCGTTTATATTCATAAATCTTTCCTGTTTATAGCATGCTTGTGTAGCTATTGAAGAATTCCCAGCACAGTCTCAGTGATGATGGGTCCTGATATCGTAATTCCTTTTCATCCCAACTGACTTTCTGCTCTAGATCAGCTCAAGTTTTCTCTACACCTCAAGCTTCCATATTTTAAGTAAAAGGGCCTGCAGATTCCACTAATTTCAGACTTTGTATAATTCTAACACACTCCCTGAGATGGGGATCTGGTTTCAAGAATGTTCTCTAAGTCTTAAGCCAACAGAAGATGGTGTTAGAATAGAAGAAACAGTGCTCTGTTGTTACTGACAGAGCAGAAACAGCAGGTGTCAGTTTAGGGGTCCACACCATGCTCTCTTAGGTCAGTACTGGACCAAACAGGACAAGACTTAGTCTGTGAAAGGCAGGAGTAGTGGGAGCCATGAGGATGACCAAAGTAAAAGAGAAAGGAGCGCTCTCTAAGGTTTAAAAGTCTCTAAATAGAAAAATTCAAGCAATCATTTGCCAAATCTAGAATTCTGTGCACAAGCTGGCAGCTATCAGCAATCACCAGGAGAATATGGATGAAAGTCAGGATTAAAAAAGGCCACTTTGATCCAAATGAACTCATTTGAATGCAAAAATATTCTGATAAATTCAGCTGGCACTTAGAGAATGCATATGTTTGTACAACTAGGAGACAATACAAATCAGCTCGAAACCTGGCCCAGAGAGATAAAATTGCTGTGAAATGATCAATTAGCCTTCTTTAATATGATCTAATTTACTCTAATCACTTTTTTTCCCCCTAAATATCTATTTTCTCTATATTCTCTTTCCATCAATCTGCCTGAGCCCCATCGGTGTGGGTAGCCTCCACTCTCTGTAGGACCAATGCAGGATCCAGATCTCTTTCTTTGATTCCCTCTGAAATACTCCTCATTCTAACCCTCTTCTCTGACCCCATAGTCTCACCCCTTCCTGGCTTCTGATGCTCCCCAGTGCCTCATAGCAGTTATACTTTGCTGGCTGCATCACGGCTGGGAAAGACACTTTGCCTCTGCACCTTGCAATCACCACCTTCATCTTGTACGGGCCTTCTTTCTACGTTACCCAGAAAATATTCACATCCATAGACTGCAGTTTCCTGTGTGTGCTTGCATCACGTATTGCATCTTCTAAAGCCTTTTACATCTTCAAAGAGAAACATGTCATACCTGTTTCGGGTCTGCAGAACTTGGCCACCATTTCTGGGGCGCCCTTCATGTAGATGTGGCAGTGATGCTCCCCAGCCAGTTGAGCGATCACAGACATCCTCTGCAGGCTCGAGGAAAAGGGAAACTGGCGCAAGATGGCGATGGCTTTTACAGGACTCTGCATGGGCATCAAAAAAAGGGAGTGTCTAAGGCCTTTGGACAATGTCTAGCCAATGCACAGAGTGGTTTACTCTAGAATGTGCCCAGTGCCATCATGAAGGGCTGTGTGTGTCACAATATTCCAGCTTGTCTAGCTGCTTCTTGGGTAACTCCTTCTAGAAGTTATCTGGCCTTTCCCTTGACTGCCTGCTAAAATCTCAGTCCTTTTCCAAACCAAATTTCCAGGTCATATCCCTTGGGGTCATTCCTACCTCTGACTCCCAAAGTTCTTTCTGAAGCTTTTATTATAGCATTTGGCATACCTTCTTGCTCAGTAAATTCCTGGCTGAGCTCAGAGGTGACCAAACCAATGAAATATGATGAGAGAAGTCCAAATTACAGGGCTACAAAAATATAGAAAAGTCAGAGAAGTTCACCAGTTAAAAATCATATGCTTTGGGTGCAGTGCATCGGCTGAACTGGTCAAGCATCCACCTCAAAGCACCAGGATCCCATCTGGAAAGAGTGTCCCTAATGCTTTACTTCCCATCTTGCTCACTGCCTGTGGCCTGGAAAAGCAGTGGAGGATGTTCCAAAGCCTTGGGACCCTGAACCCATGTGGGAGACCTGGAGGAGGATCCTGATTTCCGGCTCCTGAATGTGAATTGGCTCAACTCCAGCTCTTGTGGTGATTTGGGCAGTAAACCAGCACTTGGAAGATCCTTCTCCCTGCCTCTCCTTCTCTCTGTGAATTTGCTTTTCCAATGAAAAATAAATAAATCTTACAAAAAAAAAGAGTCACATAACTTGAAGAAGCACATCATACCTGGCTAGCTTTGGGTCCTGGCTTTATTATTATGCTGGAATCTGGTAGTCCAAATTTGCAGGCATCTACATCGCATTCTTCCATTTTCTGTTAGAAAATGAAAACACTCATCAAATTTCTGGGAGAAAAACAGCAAGAAAGAAATATCTCTTATTTGTATAACACTTTAATCTTTTCAAAGCCCTTTTCACATATTTTTTATTTCAGGCCAATTATCTTAACACAGTCATTGTCAAATTTTTGTTGTGTAGTTTTATATTAAAGAACTTTCTGTAGAATGTCAAAAAGCCAGAAATGTTATGAATACCTTTTAAGGAGCACTGGTAAAGAAGCATTAGCTACAGCTCAGCGATTCCTCCTAAACCGTTATGTTTAGTAAAAGGTGAAAGAATTAAGTGAACATGTACTCTCTGATAATATTGAGCGTATATCTCAGATGATGCAGAAGCAGGCCCTAAATACACAAAGAGCTACTTCTTTAAGTTGTATGTATGCACATCTCTTAATTTAGACATTTGTAGGGTTAACAGATCAGCTGCTAGCAAATTAGGACACACATACTACATTTGTAAACTTTGGATGTTATAACAGAAACTAATGTCATTGAAAAGCCAGTATTAATATTAAAACATGGGAACGTAGCGCGGTTTCCATGGCATAACTGCCACCTGTAGCATTGGCATCCCATATGGCTGTCCGTTCCAGTCCCATTAGCTCTACTTCTGATCCATTTCCCAGCTAATGGCCTGGGAAAACAACGGCTAATGGCCCAAGGTGTGAGACCCTGGATGAAGCTCCTGGCTCCTCCTGGCTTTGGACTGACCCAACTCCAGCCACTGTGGCCATTTGCAATAACCAGTAGTGGAAAATCTCTCTCTCTCTCTCTCTCTCTCTCTCTCTGTCTCTGTCTCTCTCATGATGCCTTTTAAATATTTTTAAAGCATATAAGGAAGTTTGGAAAATTAATCAGTAGGTGAAAGATTTTTTATGTGTTTCTCTTTCTGAATAAGTGTATTCCAGAAGCATTTCTCTTTCAAAAAGGCATATAGAAAAATACAAAATGGCAGTCATACATAAAATATTAGAGGCCAGAAAATAGAAAACAGCATCTAGTCTCAACTATAGTGATTAGTTGGCTTAACTTTGAGTATATCACCTCACTTCCCCAGATATCAGATTCTGATACCCCCTTCTAGCACTAAAATTCCTAGAAGTTTGCAAGAATATGTTCCCTCCTCCTAATGTTAGTGGAAGGTACCTCTGCCAAAGGTGCTGAACAAGAGACTGCTTCTGACGCAGCTTTAAATTCAGTGAACACTCTTGCACTTTCATCCTTTGTTTTAGGTAGCTACAACTGTTCTTACAAAGCTAACACTGAAGATGGATGTTCCCAAAGAAAGCCCCAGCTTCTGTGCTATCACACTCTTTCGATGGAAGCCATTCCTCGGGACCAAGACCAAGCTCACATACGGCACTAAGGATTCTACAATGCATCCTGGTGACATCAACGAGGATGTGCCTTCATCAGGATATTGATTGTTCATTAAGATTCAGGGAAAGTGTTACTATGACTGTGCATGCCAAATAAAAACTCTCCACAGAACATATTCTCATTTTAACTCTGTTATCGAACAACTGCCCTATTACCACTTTCTCCTTTTATTAACTTGGCCTCTAGAAAGCTAAATTTTTTCCATTGCACATCATTCTGTCAACTTCCTCTGAGGTGTCTATCATGCCATTGGTTGTTTCCATTCTTTTACAGCTCTATTGATCTGATGTGTATTTTTATTTTGTTTCAATTTTTGAGGGCAGCAAATATAATTATTAAAATAAGGAAGACATACATGGTTACCTTCTATTTGTAATTTCATAGCAGTCCCTAAAACCCCCTGATGTTCATCACCTCAGTGCTCAGCCAGGAGTGAGTGACTGTTATTCCCAATGTCAAGAGAAGAGAACAGACTCAGTTTTGATTCTGTATTTAGGATCATATGACCAAACTGTGGTAGAGTTCAGAACTCCTCACATTACATTCCTGGAACCTCCACAAAGGGCTTCTATCCTTTAGATTCTATTTACGTCCAGCTTAGAATATCAAGCCAATTATCATAAAGGTCCCCATGTTCAGTGTCTAGACTTCTGCTGCCCCATAAAAGAGCTTGCAGCCTCATGTGACTATTTAGATGTAAACAAAATAAAATCAACTAATTCCTCAGTTGTAGAGCTGCAATCCATAGGTTCAGCACTAACCAATGGCACTGGTTTAGGATCAGCTCAGCACCAGCCATTAAAGCCACTTGGGGAATGAATCAGCAGATGGCAGATCTTTTCTCTGTCTCTCCTTCTCTCTATAAAGCTGTCTTTCCAATAAATATATAAAAATTTAACAACTGTACATATAAAATATATAAAATTAGTTTCATTCATGTAATGAAAAGCTTAAAGAAAAAGAAACACATCTGTACTCCCAATGTATTTCCTCAGTTTCTTCTCATTCAGTTGAACTACCATCTTTAAAATTTTTTAAATTGTAAAGTCAGATATACAAGAAGGAGACACAGAGAGAAAGATCTTCCATCTGCTAATTCACGCCCCAAGTGGTCACAACAGCTGGGGCTGAGCTGATCTGAAGCCAGGAACCAGGAGCTTCTTCTGGGTCTCCCACGTGGGTGCAGAGTCCCAAGGCTTTGGGCCATCCTCTACTGCTTTCCCAGACCACAAGCAGGGAACTGGATAGGAAGTGGGGCAGCGGTGACATGAACCGGGCCCATGTGGGATCTTGGCACGTGGAAAGCAAGGATTTAACCATTAGGCTACCATACTGGGCCCACTAGCATCTTACCCAAGCGGTGCCCTCAAACATCTTGAGGTCCAATGGGTCTCCCTGGATGGTCCCATCGAGAAGGATCAGAGAATGACAGCTGGCCATGGCGGCACACAGTGGACCCCAAGGTACAGCCTTGTCTGAGACAAAGCTGTGAACTTTTTGGAAACTGGTAGAAAAGACAATGATAAAATTAAAATCTTCAATAAAATCATTTTGCACATTCTTCCCCTTTAATCTTACTGAGAATTACAGTCTCCTACCTTACCTGGCAATCCCTTCAAAAGCTCCTTACTCTCCATCTGATACAGTCCAAACTACTTAACCTGAAACTCAATATTGTCTCTGCTCAAGTTGTACCTAGATTTAAGCCTCTACCCCTACCCCTGTCCTTCACATGCAGGATTCTAAAGCCAACATAAACTTCTTTCTATTTCTACCATTGTCCAGAGATTTGATGCCTTTGATTCATTCACATTTTCAACCAGAACATTCTACCTGCTAAATGGTTATTGTGAAAGCTGTTCTTGGAGTTGAACAGAATTTTCTTCTCAAATATTTTCCATTAGTCAATTCATACTGTATCATTAGAGGGCTTGGGAATCATCACAGAGATATAACTTTGTAGGGTTACTCATAAAAAGCCTGTGTAATGGTAGTGTTTGAGAAAGGTACATGAACAGGAAACAGAGCTACCATGGCAGACTCTATTATTCTTTCTCTAAAGTATTTTGTATTGTAGGCCAGAAGTCGCTAGAAGAACAGAAAATTAGGGTTAGGAAGAAGCCTGCATGGTAGTTCCAAGTAGTAAGAGTATGCATGAACTCCAAGTGGTGCTCATTGGCCACCTCTACGCAATTTGTCCCATTTTCTGAAATCCCTAGTTTGCATCTCCTTCTACCATCTGCTTTCCTTTTTGACAAGATTGAGTGACACAATTCACCTTCATTTCCTCACATCTTGGAACTGAATAGTTGCCAGATCTTGTTGTTTCTAAAAACCTAGAGTGCTAAGACCACAAATGGAAGTGAGAGAATACTGCTAACAGCCTTTTCTCCTTTCACTGCTTTAGGCAACAGAGGTCCTGCCTGGCTGAGACAGCGCAGAAACACAGGAGTAGGGTTAGCATGCATTTAATTCATTGACTGCCCTTCTCCCAGCCCAGGGTATCTTCTGCTATGTCATCCTGGCTGCCCCCTACATCAGATGTGTACGTGTTGCAGCTGGCTCTATCCATGTCTTAGAGTCTCTGCATGCTAAGGCAGAGCTATCATTACACAATTCTTGTGCTCAAAACCTTCGAAAGGCTCCCTGTGCTCTAGCTGATAAAGGCCAAAGTCCTTCATGTGGAATCAATGACTTGTCTTCTCCAGGTCTTCTTTGAATCTTCATATCCGTGTCTTTCATGTCTCAGATACTAGAGTATAAAGGACATTTGCTTAGCAACCATAGCCTCAACCGATGTGTGATGTCCAAAATTGAACATCCCAAGCCTAAAAGTCATCAGTGAAATGCAGAAGGCTGGCCTCAGTCCCACATCATGCAGATAAGAGCATGGGACACCACCTAGAGAAGGGTCCTGTCTCCCCTCTCCAGCTCTCTGCTGGACATCTGTGTGATTGTTCTCTTCTCCCTCTAGTACCAGCTTTCAGTTCCTCCACAAAATTGCTAGCTACACATCCTTCAAAACTGATCCCAAAGGACATCTCAGTTAATTATGTTTGATCCACTGAACATTATAACTGATTTCTATTTCTACCCACTATCTATAAGTCAGTAGTGTGCAACTTGAATAAACCTATATTGTTTCATCTCTCTAAAATCAGAAATCTCTGCCTTAATAGCAAAATTCCCATAGCCTATGCTATACATTGAAGATGGGTCTATTGATACTTTTGGATCCCACTAAACTGAATTCCTCAAGGGAAAAGATGAAGCCATTCTTTCCTAGACCACCCTCCCAACCCTTGACCCCACAAAGCCAACCAGAAACTTTTATGACTTTCAATTAACTCTGGTCTCAATTTCACTTTGTTCCTCTGTTTTATTCATTCAGCCCTTTAATTATCCATCTTATTCTATTTCCTTTTTTCATGCAGACTTTGACAATCTGCTCTCCTTATGTCTGAACTTGAATCTCATTTAATTATACACAAGAGTGAAGTACTGGATCTGAGTATCACTAAAGTAGCCCTACCAGTCACACATCCTATCTGCACTCAAGGGACATACCAATTGTCAGCAGTAGGGACAGTCCCCCAGAGGTCCAACCCATCTTCGGTAAGAGTACCAGTCTGGATAAAATGATTAGAATTGCGATTAGTATAATATTTCAAGTTTTTAGTTATATCATGATTTAAAAAAAAAGTTTTCCCCAAAATAATGGTAAATTCAGATGTCTGTAAACATCTAACCTGAAATCAGGCAATAAATGATCCCCAGAATTCCATGTTCCTATTTGGTGATTCTAGTTACTAACTTTGACAACAAAATACAAATGTTTTGGTTTGATTTTATTTGTTTATTGTTGTGACTGCTGCTGTTGTTATATGGGGCAGGTGTAGTATATGGCAACTCAACAAAAACTAGCCTGAGAGCATCTGACGCTTTAATTGGCAACTCCTGTCTTCCCCAGCAGAAGTCGCTTTTTTTTTTTTCTTTCCAAGGCTGTTTGGCTCAGAGTTTGCCATCTGGCTCACAGTAATTTTCTAAAAAATTGTCACAGTCTACATTGATAATGAAATGTTGATAAAGAACTTCGAGACAGCAGAGAGAGACTGGGTGCTAATAACTATTAATTAACATCCGTGAGTGAGTTTAATTGTTCAACCAAGAAGAAAATGGTCAGGAGATGTGATTTGCTGCATTATGGCAGAATGTTTGTCAGATAACAGAACAAGCAAAAACAAAAACAAACCCTGAGCAATGTCAGCACCATCGCTTTTCCTTGCCTCATGGTTTTCCATAAATCTCAACCCTGTTTTCCTGCTATGGAATCCTAACTTTGGGCCTGCTGAGTGCCCAATACGAGGGCAAGTGGAGTGCCCACCACTGTCTCAGCACTGACAGGCAAGGGGCATGTGTTCCCAAGCATCATGCAACACCACACCCACCTCTGACATCACTGCTTTGAGATAGAAGGCACTGGATTTTCTAGTTTCTCATCAAATGATGTCGTCTATAGTCATAGCATAATGTTTTACAGTGAAGTGCAGCCATGACTCTCTGTTCTCATGACCAAGTAAAACCATAGAAACAGGTTGGCTGTGATGTGAGCAGCCCAAGAACATTACAGCATGAATCCTCCCATCACCAGAAATATGAGGATTCTGCAAAGTACATGCAAAGATGCATACCTGTTCTGGATTTCCATATTAAAGAATTAAGCTATCTGTTTCATTAATTTATTTGGATTTCATAAACAAAGAGCTCACATGTGCACATGAGTTATTCCTTAACCTCTAAAAAATTCTTTTCTTTCATTTATCTTCTGAGTACTAGGAGTGCCCCAATACATATGTGCTTATTGTCCAAATCCTCTCTACTTGTTCCACTTCAAAAAGAGTTATCAAGTTAATTCAAAAGGAAATGGTTTCCCAATGACAAGATTATGTTTTTAAACATGTCAACAGATTTTCTGCAGTGAAACAGAAATGAAACTATATAATTTTTGTATGTGAAAATGACTCTTATACAACAAAACTAGTTATAAATAGATGGGAAATGAAATCATAGTTAAACTTCTAAAGGGCATAAGAAAAGAATACCTCTTAGCATAAATACAAGCCTGGCCCTGAATAAAAAGAGCTTGCGCTAGAGAATAGGTGATAGAGCAACATAAAATAGAAATATGCAAATAGAAGAGGACACCAAAATATTCATAAAAATGGAATTCAAGAATAAGTCTATTTTGTTGTAGGGAAAAAAAAACATGACATTTATGCGTATTTTCTAACATTAGGTATTTCCATCAACTTTATGAAGATTTCTCAAATACCTGAACTTAAAAAGTATTTTGTACTAAAATAAACTTTTCTTTGAATTGCACTTTCTGTAAGGTTTTTGAAAAAAGATTGGACACTCAGGATCCCAGGGATAGAGCAAGTAGATGGAAATTCTCTTAATTGTGGAGTGCTTTATTATAAAATCACAGTGATGAAGATTTTTAATGTGAAAACTAAAATGAAACAAAGTGAATTGTAGTTTAATCTACTTGTATTAAAAATCCACCCACAAACTTAATGTCTAACGCAGGTTTCTCTTACTGCTATTTCCCAGTCCAGAGGTCTTGGCAGTGTCCTCTGCCATAGGGCCACACGGTGTTTGGCCAAGAAAGCCCAAGAGTGGCCACTCCAACTACCCAGTAGAGGAGTTCATGAGAATACAGATGACATAGCATGAGACAGGTCATAAAGTGAACAGCTGCTGGAAACAATTAGTTTCAGAAACAAGTAGGCAATGACATATTTCATCCATCTCCCTTGTGTACTCTAGCTTACTGGGTAAAAGAATCTCCATCAGCAAGTTTCTAATGAGTTGCTATTTGGTCCTGAATCTAACATGAAGCTGTTGTGACAATTACCATTCTGACCCCTGATTGGTGATAAGTGCGGACTTTTTTTTGCACATGTAACAGCAAGAGAAAGAGTGAAGTTATTTAGGAGACAGACTACTTCCAACTGCAACGAAGACTGCTGCAGGTGTCACTCCATCCTTTTCTTCCTTGTCTTGGGGCCATGTATGATATCTGTCATTGGTGGAATGCTTATCTTCTAGAACTGTCCTTCTGCTCCATCTCTGTCACAAACTTTCAAGTAATCTCTTATGTTTTCTATTCTTTAAGTTCCTCTTGGGAAAGCTGAGTCTTCTAAGACTTAACCTATTCATGAAAATAGGTTTTTGACTATTTAAGATTGATGAAATACCATTAGTACTGTATTTGAATGTTTCATATTTTTAGGTTTAGGAAAACTCCTGTGATTCCTCTTATTTACTATGCTTTGATTAAGAGATAAAAGTGTTTATCTCCTCAACTCTTATGAGGATTTTTAAATTTTCATGGCAATATGATTGCTTCATAAGTTCAGTAAAGCTCTTCCACTCATAATAAGATACAGTTGACAATAATAGCAAATCTAAAACTTGTGCTTGAAATGCCTGGTTTGCAAAGTTCTAAAGCTTATAATGAGTAACTGAGATTGTTATTTCTTATTAGACCCTAAAGCTTCAAAACATTAGAAATTATGATTTAGAAAATCTAAGTCTGCCATGGATTGACTCTTGATTTTGAGAATTTTCCAAGAACTTTTGTTGTCACACGTAATGCAAATAGTCAATCAACAAATCATAATACTCCTGCTTTTCAAGTTTGACCTCTTCTGAATTTAGATGCTCTCTTGGTTTTGTTACATTATTGTCATTTTTGAGATTTGTGCCATAGATGTATATTTCTCAGCAAGATAATGCTGTTGAACCACTTTGAGATGATGACTGTGCCTACAGAACAGATAAATGTAGGTTTAGCAATGGAGTCTATGTGAAGTTAGCCTGAGGAGTGCTTATCCTAAACTCTGTGTTGTTCCAGTGTGGCTGCAAAGATTGCTGACACTAACTTCTGGTGGTCAAATACTCCCCGCCAACATTGGGCCAGATCAACAATCAGGTCAAATGCAATCTGCAGTGAGGGACAAACAGAACCCAGTTACAGTGTGCTCAGACAAGAATACTGACCTCAAGGAGGCAGCGAAAAGCAAGATGGAGTCACTGGTGTCAAAAATAGAAATCACCAAGAAGTTATGAGGGAAGGGATCTTAACTAACACCAAAGACTGCGTGGATTGTAGAGACGGCTCCCATTTCAAAAGAAATGCTAACTGGATGTGATACTTAATTATTCTCATGCTTTGTCATGTAAGGCTGGTCGACATGCATGAGAATAACAGCTACTTTTGACATCTTGATAATTCTAGGAGTACATTTATGCCTATGTTTTTAGTCAAACAATGTGACACCTAAGTACAAACAAATCAGATTTGAAATGAAATTACATTTTCTCCTCTGCTTCAAATGATTCTGCTAATATCTATCCTCCTTGTCCTAACTCCTCGGGCTCCTCTTTTGAACAAACCAAAATCCCTTTCTCTCCACAGGATGCAGCAACTCCTACAACATCAAATTCCTTCAAATGAGGTCACCTACAGGTCTCTGAACAATGCAGGCAGACATTTCTGGACAAATCACTGCTTTCCACGAGACTCTAGCTCCTGTTGAGCTCTAAGCCAAGACTCCTGGAAGACAAATAAAATTAGCCAGGGTCAAGGCAATAACTTCATCCAGCACAAAGCAGTTATGTAACATGAGTTCTTCTCCAAAATGCCAAAGATTTGTCATTGCTGATCCTTGGGGATGTGAAGGGTGACCCCATAAGCATTTGGTGAAGTACATTAGATAATAGAGGATATAACATCCTCAGCTCCACCCAAAAATGAAATCACTTGCCTGGGAAAACTTTTGGGACAGTACAAAACTCTCTCAATGAGGAACTATTGCAGTTGAAAGCATACATCTGTGACTGCAATGCTCATTGTAACTGACAGGCTGTGACAGCTCTGCTCACTGCTCCTTGCAAGCATATAGCAACAGTGTCCTAAGAGGGGACTGTCCTGATAAGTGTGCTCCTCATACTATGGTCTGTGTTACAGCAGCAGAAGTCAGTCTCTACCTGACCTGCTTGCCCACTGTTTTCTTACAGTGTGTTCAATAAACCTAACTTGCAGTCTTGATATGCTCTGGTGAATTCTTTCACTGCAGGTGACACTGGCTTCAGCCAATTTCTTCCAGCAACATAGAATAAGCAAAGCATCTGTTCAGCTGTCACTCTTCTTATAAAATAAAGATACACTTCCTCCTCCAAGACAAGGCCTCACTCCTTATCATGGCATGTCAGGACCTTAGATCAGGATCTCTTTCTTTCAGTTTTATTTTTTACTGAACAACCTCCTTTCAAGCCATACCCCACCATCCTCTGTTCCCCCATGAGATCAAAGCCTGTCACACCCTGCCTTTCAATCTGCTGTGATGACTAACACTATAGTGCAAAGAATACCTCCTACCTTGGGCAGGAAACGACTGTGTGTGATGCTTTCCTTACAGTCAGCTGAGCACACCTCTCACACCATGATCATGTTACACTCCTGTGTCCCTGCCTCCTCCTACTGCTTTTCATGAATCAGAAATAACTCATTACTGGGTCTCATTACCAGCACTGTCCTGAGTTGAAGACAGAGCAGGACCAAGCAGGTAAAGTGAGCAGTCCAAGCTGAGGACAGGGACCGAGCAGCAGGCAGATGACTCTGACATCTCTACAGGTGCCCCATGTGAGTTCTGTTTGGGGGAACTACCCGTTAGCAGCAGTCCCTTTCCCTTCCCGTCCCAGCCACATGCTCTTCCACTTCTGCCATTCCAGTTGCCAAACTACTGAGACAACGTTCACCCAATCCAGATCCCATTGGGGCAGTCAAGAGAAAAGCTAAGGACTGAGTGTGTCAATGCAGGCCCTTATCCAGTCACTCCTTTTCCTTTCCCGAGGAAGAGAAGAAAACACCAAGTTCACTCAGGCTCTGGAGAATTGATGCAGGGAACAGAAATGTTCCTCACGATTTTGCTTGAACTCAACTAGTCACAGAAGTCATTATAGTAACAGATTGAAAACACAAAGCAGACTCAAAATACTAAATTACAAAAGAAAAAGTTCATCCTACAATCACTACGATGCCACTAGAGATATCAATAAAGTAGGCTTCCAGAACGGGATCTCACACTAGCTTACGATGTAACCTCCTCTGGCATCTGAGTTTCAATCCACAAAATGTGGACACTGGACCAGATGTCCTCTGAAGCTTCTCCCAGCCCTGGATACCATGAAAACACAACTTCTAACTTGGATATTTTGGATCATACTTTGTCAAAGCACACCAGGTTGATTTGCCCACACATATTGATTCTCTGTGGAGAGATACAGAAGATTTTCTTCTTCTTCAGCCTCTTCTGGGCATACACGATGCCCATGGTGAGAGCAGCTGGCAGCACAGGGGGCACAGTCACAGTGAGCAGGATCAAGGCCATGGTTGCAGTTTCTTTGGGAGAAACCTGGGAATGAGGGATATGTAGGCAGGTTAGCCCAGGCCTGGCACCTTTGTCCTGCCACCCTTGGGAAGCCCCCAGTCCCTCAGAAGGAATATCCCTAGTGAGTGAGTTCTCTGGCTCTCTTTCGGGTCTTGACCATCATCTGGCTGGGATGAAGGCATGGGCAACACTGTCTCATTGTGCGGAATAAAGGAGACTCTTGATCCCTATTCCAAGTCGCTCCGCCCTTTCCTGATCTTAGTCCTCTGCACTTGACAGGCCCTCTGCTTAGGATCCCATCGCTTTTCTGCTCTCCAAGCATTCTAGAGGCTCCAGGGTACAGCAGCTAACCTTGGCTGTGATATTTCACTCAGCATCTTAACCATTGTCATCTAAATCTCTCTCCTAGCTCAGCAGACAAGCACCTCGGGTGCAGCAGCTGTGGCTCATGCATCTTTTAATTTATCTTCAAATACACCGTATTCATCTCTAGAAACAAGGCCTGGAGAAAGTGATCAGACCACAGATTGAGCGAATGCTAACCAACTAAATCTAGAACTAACGTTTTACTGAACTCTCAGTGTGTATCATCAGCTCTTTGAAAGACAAACATCGAAGGAACTTGTTCTCCGTTGACTGCCATGGAAGCAGGTGCTGTTTTAGGCTGCATACTTCATTTTACTACTCCAACTGAGAAGCTGATGATGTAAATATTTGCTGCCTTTTCCACTTAACGGATGAGGAAACTGAGGCATGGAAACTTAAATTACTTCCTCAAGGTTACATGCTAGTATATATGAAGATCTGAACCCTCGTCTGCTAAGCACCAGGGCTCATCACGTGACCGCTATGTTAACCACAAGGTCAACTCTTGGGCAGTCAGGGACCATACCAGGTCTATAGAGGAGACCCACGAGGCTAGGCTAAAAGGCAAAGTCAAGTACCAGGCTCCTTGTTTGACTTCTCACTTGTTCTCCTCATTAACATTTCTAATTCTCTATAAACTTGCCTGCACTTTTATTAAACTAGCTACCATTGTAGCTGCAAAGTTATCTTTGGGGTATTGAGAAGACAGACCCAACATTAGCATCAGTCCCTGCCTGATACTTCTTTTTCTGATTGGGATCAAGAGAAAACTTTGCCCAGTCTGCTAAAGTCATGTCAAGCTTTTTGAGAAAATTATACTATTAAAAAGCCTTATCCTCGGTACTTACTTCATGGTACATATACACCCCTAGGGCATAGAAAAAGCCCACGACACCAAGGCAGGCGAGGAATACCATGAACTTGAAGGCATCACTGTATAGTTTGAAGTTCACAGGCCGAGGGTAGAGGATGGATCTCACCAAGTCTCCTTTGGCTGTGTTATAACCTACATGAAGATAACCACAAAGTGGCTGGAAGGCTAGTTAAGTATCATTCACGTGAGTCATCGGAGAAAGGAAAGAAAGCAGCATGTTGGGACTTCACAGGGATTTTGCATTCTTTCTTGCAGGTCACTGGAGCAAGCATTCCCTCTGCTCTGCTTCCTCTGGCTCTGCGCATCAGCACCTCTGTGGCTCACCCAGTGCAGCTTCTCACTCACAGGTGAAAGAAAGGAGGCCATAGAAGTTGGAGAATTCATAACCAAAGAAGACAAGATGCTGAGGAAAGGTTTTATGGCAAACGTGCATGGAAAACCACTATCTTCTAAAAAGATAATTTTTTAAAAATGCATAAGGCAAGTCAATTCTATAGAATCTGCAGGTTTAGGTCTCTGATTATGCTATTCTGATCATGCTGCAAGATCTTCCAAGATACTTTTCCTCTTAGAATAAAGTCCAAATGTATAGGCATGCTCTTGAGGTTCCCATCCTCTGATCTTCTCCTACCTTTCAGAATTGATCTCATAGATTCCCTCCCCTCATGACCTCCCAAGACCCCTGTATGTTCTTTCCTTTATGCTTTGAAAGCAAATGTTAGCATGTACTTCTAGCTTTGATCTAGTTGGCTAAAGCCACCTCATCCCAACAGGTGTGACTCAAAATGCCATCTGGACAACTAAGTGTTTTCAGAATGCTACCCCTGCATCGCACACCAAAAATAACACTTCTCACTCTTTGGGAGCTCTGTGACTCTGGGTCATATGACCTTCCTCTCCCCATGTTACAGTTAGCTATATAGCCATCTATCTCCTGCACCAAGTTATAACCTCCTTCAAGGGAAACATGTATTTCTCAAAGTTTTCTGGTAGTCATGCATGCATAGCACCTAGCAATTGCTTATTAATATGTCCAAATTACTGGTTAAAATCATTGACTATGTTCTAGAAGTGAGACAGTATTCGATCATAAGAAATGACTTATTCCCATTATGATGGATATCTGGTGTCCTCAAATGTGGCTTTGCTGCCCAAGGAAAAATAACTGGTTTCCTCTAACCCAGAAGATGAAAGGTTTTTTCCTCTATCTCTCTTCTCTGTAAATCTGCCTTTCAAAAAAATAAATGCGTGTTTTTAAACAACAAAAAGTTCAATGGGAGTGACATAGCAGGTAAAGACAGTCTGCACTGATGACATCCATATGATGCACATCATCCTGGCTGTTCAGCAGCATGGGAGAAAGCAGCAGGAGATGATCCAAAGATTTGGGCCCCTTGTACCCACAGGGGAGACCCAAACAAGCTCCTAGAGCTTATCTTTGACCTGGCCTACCTCTGACCATTGGGGGCATCTAGGGAAGTAAACCAGAGAAAAGATAATCTCTGTGGTCTTTCCCTCTCTCTTTGTAACTCTGAGTTTCAAATCAATCAATCAATCAATCAATCAATCAATACATCTTTTTAAAAAAACTTTCAGTAATTTAATTACAGTCCAAATTAAAGCACAGTAATATAAAGGTTCAGGTGAAGCTGTGACTTGTGTAAGTTTGTGAAGTGATGAAGACCAGAAGCCAGGACCAGGCCATGGATGGCCTTGGTGGAAAAACATGTGAAAGAGTGGAACTCTCACAGCTAGGTATAACAAATTTTGAGCATGATACGTATAAACTCTTTCGAACTTCATCTTGCAAATATGCTTACATGACAGATTGAGGGCAGATCAGAGAAAAGCTGGGGTCAAGTGGAAAGGAAACAGTCAAAAGACTATTTGTTCTGTGTCATTTAGATATGAAATGGTGATAACCTGTCTGAAACACCAATCTTGGGAGTGAGGAACAGGGGGTAGAATTCAGGAAGAAATTATAGAAACTTTGGGATTTGGTGCCCCTTTTGGTATGGGGGAAAATGAAGCCTTAAAGATGATGTAAACAGATGAGCCAGGAGATAATGTTATTGGCAGAAAGAGGCAATGAAGGACGATGGCTTCACTCTCATCTGCTTAGCTCTGATGCGTCTGTAGTGCACACAGGTGGAGCTGTCAGGCAGGGAGCTTGAAAGACAACGTACAGAGCAACTCTCCTAAAGGAGCATATCCTGGGTGTCACAGCAGGCATGTAGAGGAAGAGGAGAAAAAGCCTACATGTGCAACCAGAGACACAAGTATGAAATCTGCATCATCCCTGTTTATGCTTCATCACATACAAGGGTTTTTAACAATGAATCATGCAGTTTAAAATGGAGACAATTTACAATATGAATGATTGGAAGGGTGTGACTATTTTTTACCAGCAAGTGGTAAACTCTACAATCACAGGCAAAATTTCACTGCTCCAATCCTCTACACTTCCAAGCAAGAACCAAGCTTACAAAAGTGGGATGCACTGACCTGTTTGCAAAACGACTGCCCTTACAGGCCCCTGCCCGGAGGACTTGACCTGGATAACTTCGGTTCCACAGAAAAGGACATGTTTCCGGTAATCTTCCAAACTGTGTGATTTCCAGGGCATGGTGTTCTCCACGTGAGGCAGTGGTGTCTTGGTGACAGGTATACTTTCTCCTAAAGATGGTTGCATTTTGTTGATTTCATGTAAATGCAGCTAGTTACTGGGAAAGGAGCTTGCCAATTTCAAGAAGTAATACAAAGCGTAACCCATGCAGTCTTAATACCCATTCTGTGGTTCATCAGATTGTTCTTAGGGATGCTGGTGATGTGAACAGTGGTACACTTAACTCTACTTCAAATAGTAAAGATCAACTGGGACCTGAGAAGCACTGCTGTGATACAGCAGCAGGTGGCAGCATCCCGTATGGGCATCCATTCAAATCCAGCTGTCCCACTTCTGATCCAGCTCCCTGTTAATGTGCCTTGAAAAGCTGCAGAGAATGACCCAGGTGCTTGGGCACCAGGATGAAGTTCCTGGCTTCTGTTTTTGAACTACCCAGGATCTGACTATTTTGGCATTGAACAATCTCTCTCTCTCTCTCTCTCTCTCTCTCTCTCTCTCTCACACACACACACACACACACACACACAGACTCTGCATTTCAAATAAAAAGAAGAAAAAAAAGAAGAAAAATATAAGCTCATCTGTCCTACAGTTAGTTATAAAGCATACAGATTATCATTCTTCTTTGCCTTTTCCTCATCCGTTTATCCATTCACCTACTTATTCAGTCATCAAAGAATTTCAAACACTTATGTTGTGCAGAGTTTTGGGAATATAATGGTACATAAAAGCAACAGACATCCTGCCCTCCTAAGCTCAGTTAGCTGGGCTAGAAAAGCACGTTCAGTAGTCTTTCTCCAAGTGAATCCTAGTAAAGATTCCTTTGTTTTGTTTTAAAAAATTATAGATTTTCCCATTGCTTCATTGCTAAACAAAGCCCAATTGTCTTGCCAAGTTGTCCATGTCCTTGAGAACTTGAGTGTTGTTGCTGTTATTCTACTGCCCCAGCTCCAGCCAAAGCAGCACATATGCGTTTCCATGTACCGACCACTGTTCTTTCTCGACACCCATCTTCTCCCTTTCCCTGGTGGCTGCCAGGCAGGATATTTAAGGTGCAAGGAAAATGAGCTCTGACTTTTAAAAAGTAAATGAATTTCAGAGACACAATAAAAACGTTAATGATATATCTTGGCTTTTAGATTTAGAGAGCACTAGAATGAATGTAAATTTTTCATCAGTCTTTCGCTAACTGCGCAATTAGCATGCTAACACATCATCTTTCTAATTGAAAATAGTATTAGATTGATTATATTTATACAAATGTAGGTCTTATCTCTCCTTTGAGGCAATAGCTAAAAGCTGGGACTTTGACATATGTGATTTTTGTCTGCTCCTCATTTTCCCTAGTTTTATGAATAATAGGTTCTAAATACATGTTTCTGCAGAATGTATGGATGAATTAAGAGAAAGCAATTACCTAGGTTTTTCTATGATTGGTTTTTATAAACTAGGTTTTTTTACGATATGCATTTTTTATATCCTAAGGTGCAACAAACTGTAAAATTTTTATCAGTGGTCTTGCATATTCAATGCAAAATTTCATTAGCCAAGCATTGTCTCTGTACCATTTTCTTTAAGACAATTATGGTGTTTTTTTCACTCTGTGGATTTATTGGATGACTTTGCAAAAATCATCAAACCTTCACAAAAATCTCCAAATCACCATGCTACACTGTTTACGGAATTGTTTGTGAAATGTCAGCATTTACTGATGATTCAAAATATATTTCTCCCTGTAGATCACAGATCATCAGTCCATAATACATGCTTATGCTGAGGCAACATTAATACACAGTTCCCCTCCACCACAACACACACACACACACACACACACACACACACACCAATGAGAATGGAAGCAGGCAGATATTGATCCAAACAGGAAAGTGAATTAAAGATAATATTCCAGACATAACATTATAGTAAGATGAACTCGCACAAAAATGGTTTTCACATCTCTTTTACACTATTGACAATAATAATAAATCTTATGCTTTTGTCTTTTTTGGGATCCCAGGAAAGGATGAATTCATCTACAGAAGATTAAAGATCCTAAGATACTGGAGACAGTTCTAGGGACACCCTCACTATTTATTCTGAACTATTGAATTGACTGATGGCACATGCAGAACTCTGCTGCAAAACGAAGATTCTTGTTCATATACCCAAGGAGTCAAACACCTTCACATGGTGCCAGTGTTTCAAATACTGTGTCTTTGTTTATTTGTAGTTGTGGTACCTATAGACTGCAAACAATTTGAAAGCCGGGACTATTTCCCATTGACTTTGTGACCCCAGCATATTACACAATGCTTGGCACATAGAAGGTGTTTCTGGGCTTTCCTTAAAAGATGGAGACAAATCAGATAAAAGAAAGGAAGAAGAGAAGACGATGTGTAATCAATTACATGTAGATCCATCAACAATCTATACACTTGTCTGACTGGATGTCAATGTGAAAGAATATCCTGCAGACAGCCTTGCATCTCCACTTCAAGATTCTGAATGGGGTGTGTACATGCCTGTCAAATAAGTTGGTAATCTGATGCACAGACAGGGAGGAAGGGAATTGTAACAGAAGAAGTAAAGGGTACAACAGGCTCTGGGGACCTGAATGCCTGGATTTATGTGCTTTCTCTTTTTCACTAAACTCACAATTACCGTGCATTTCTGTCTTAAATATACTTCCCTGTCTTCATTCTAGACAGAAATCCTGTCTGCTTCATTTGCCATCTATATCTCCAGGAGAGTGGTTGCTAATTATCACCTCTGGAATAAATGAAAGAATGAACAAGTAAACAAATAAAAATCACATCCAACTTCACCACCACAGATTCGTTTTTGGCTCTTCCTCCTGGCTTTTGGGAGGAGCTAGATCCTGAAGAGTTTTATGGCCTTGGGAGGGAGGCAAAAAAAAAAAAGGCAGGGGAGGACACTGGCTTTGGAATTTCCAAAGTCATTCATCATTTTAGGGACATTCTGAGAGGCAGGGCAAATTTTTCTGCTTGCTATACTTTCTTTTTTTTTGATAATATTTTATTATTTATTTTTAAGGCAAAGTCACATATACAGCAAGAAGGAGAGACAGAGAGGAAGATCTTCTATCCACTGATTCACTCCGCAAGTGACCGCAATAGCTCTGCTAGAGTTTGCTTTATTTATATGGCACACATTACATTATTGGTACCATTTTGATATAATTTACCTTAGTAGTCATCCTTTTGTCACATTTTGAAACATTTTCAAATGTCTCCTAAAATAATATTTTTGTCTTGAAACCATTCTCTTAATCCCTCCCCAAGTCAAGATTAATCATCGCTCTCAGTTTCCTATGACAGCAACTTAGCTCTACTGACTTTTTGTGTTGACACCTGTTTAGACATTATTTGACTCCAGTTGTAGATTCAGTCTCTAGACTCACCTTTTCCTTTGGTATTTTTTTTTCAGTGTGCTTGTTTGCATACAAAAGAAAATCTGAGGACAACATTTGTAATTAGAGCACTGAAAAGTCTCAAGTCCTAGGCAATTTATTGTAGTCAAAATCAATAGGACCCCAGGAGTTTTTGCTTGCCATACTTTCTCTCCACTGCATCTCTAGTAGCTTGAAGATCCCTGCACTGGGAGGAGGCTCCTATGTTTTGGTCACTGAAAGGAGGACAAATGATAACATGTAACATCCCGGCCAATGGTCTCAGGCTTCCCAGGTCAAGTGGAGTGAGAGAAACAAAGATAAGAACTTCCCTTTCCGTATTGCCTCCCTCCTTGCCAATGCCTTACAGAACTCAGGGTACCCAACTGCGAGCCAGGAACTGGCAGACTGCTGATGATGCGGAGAACTTGTGTCAGCCCCTTCCCACTGAATCAGTCAAAGATTGGCGAACTTTGGAGCCAAAATATGCATATAGGTGCACAAATGAGTTTGTAGTGCTAGGTGGAGGCAAAGGCGATGGGAATGTAGAGGCTGCTCTCAATAGGCGACTGCTCTGGACAGCAATGTCAATGTAGAGCCAAGGCCACAAGGCACCAAAACAAACGCTGCAGCTTCACCTCCAGAGATTCACACTCCCCACTGTCAGGGTCCTTCATGCCTGAGAGCAAGTGCCACATCCAGTTCTGATTCTTTGACCTGCTGGCTAAGCATCCCTGAGTTCTTTGCATGTCAGTTCCCTTGTTTGCAAGCTGATATTATAATAACTCTTACTCTCAATTGCTTTATGCCAGAATGAAGTGAGATGTACAATCTATTCCTAAGAAGTAAGTTGCTATAGAGATACTCAGAGAACAGTATTTGCTATTTTTATTCTTCCATAAAGAAAGACTTCTATATGCTAAGAACCATTTTTGCACACAGGAGAGAAAATATCAGAGTCATATTTACAGATGCATGTCCAGGCAAGACATTTGCAGTTTCAAAATCAAATCCCAGTGTTCTAATTGTTCAATGAGGACCTTTTCCACAAGAGTGGAAGGACTCGTGTATGTAATGTATAATGTGTATGTGTGTGTATATATGTATATACTTATACATATATATTCCTGTTTAAAGTGTCACCCGGCAAAACTGATAACTGCAATCTCTCACACATAGCACACATCAGTAACACATACACTAGTGCCGCTGACTGTTTTTCCAGAGTCAGACAATGGGAAAGGCCACTTGCCATTTCAGGTCATTTTAGGGGAGTTCTGCACATTTTAAAGACAACAGTATGTACCATTTCTATTTCTCTGGAGCTCTCTGAGTTTTCCTGGAAATCTAACAAGTACTGCACAGCCTGGTCAGTGAGAGAGAAGGAGCAGAGGCAGGGCAGCAAGCCTTTCCTTCCTTTCCATTTCTCGCTGCAACACTCTCTGCTGCCAAGCACAGAAGCCATTCTTCATTGTCAGGCTGCTGCTGGGAGATGTGAGGCGGTTTCTGCATCTGAGCTGGGAGGACATTTTTTGAGCGTGAGGTTTGCACATTGGGTACTATGGCAACATTTCAGATAAGAGATATGATCAGTATGCAAATCGTCATCACCATCATTATAAGGCAGTTAGACTTCAAACACATTACAGGAGTATTTGTAATTATACTGAATCGAATATATTTGTGTTTACCACATTTTCTTGTCTCAATTTCAAATTAAGCAGACCCATTTTTAATGTGAAATCTGCTGTGTTGAACAATTTGGGGATGGATAATGAACTCTCATTACATTTAAGAAGATGTTAAAAAATTGTGTGTGCTTTTTTTTTCACTCCCATCTTTATAACATTTGGAAACAGAAAAAGTCAACAATTCATAAGCACAGAAAGACAGTTTTTATTTTTGTCTAGCTGTATGGGCTCTTCTCTCATTAGAATGTGCTACGCTTATTTTTGAATAAAGAATATTTTACAAATAGTACCTTACTAATTATGCAAACACAAGCAGACTTCCCAAGTTAAATATGAAAACTAGGGCTGCACGAGTTGCAATCAGAAGGACCAGTGTCCTGCTCTGTGAGCTCACCGGGAAATACAAACACACAGAGGATGGAAACTGTGGAATGGTCTCTGCCATAAGGTTCAGCTCCAACTCTCCCATCCAGTGAAATCTTTGCCTCTGTCGCCTTCCTTCCATAGAGTATTTGCTTAGACAAAAATCTCTGCGCCCTCCCAGTCATGGGAGGTGTTGGTGTTTCAAGCTGTATTTTGCTTGGATTATGAATAAACCCTTTCCATATCTATAAGCAAACTGTACTTCAAACTGTACAGGCCCGCCCCATCTGTTGAAATCAAAGCACCCTACTCACGCCACCCACAGGACAATTAAATACCTGCAGTATGAAATAACTCTTATTTTGCATTTACTTTGGCATAAAATGCAAATTATTCAATAATTGCTGGTTGTGCGTATCATGTCTATATTGACACAAGACTTTTGTAAGACATTTATTAAGTTTTAAAAAAATATTTGTTTGAAATGCAGAATGATGGAGAGGGAGATGCATATACAGAGGGAGAAAGAGAGAGAGAGAACTCTTTCATCACTTGGTTCACCGTGCCAAGTAGACACAAGACCAAGTCTGCACCAGGCTGAAGTCAGGAGCCATAAACATCCTGATCTCCCACACACACAGCAGGGGACCAAGCGTTTGATCCCTTACTTACTGCCTAAGGAGGGAGCTGGGTCAGAAGTAGAACAGGCAGGACTCTAATCACTACTCTGATACGGGATGCCTGTGTTTTGAGCCGCAACTTAAATCACTGTGCCACCACGCTGGTCCCCATCACTTATCTCTTAGAATCTTAGAAGGCAGGTATGGCTATCTAGATCTGATTTGTTAATATCTTTCCTGGATGTTGGACAAGAAGGGGGAAGTTCCAGAATAACTACATACCTGTGAGCATGCCTTCATTCACCACACAGCTCCCATCAATCAGAATAGCATCACATGGCAACGAAAACTTCCCTGGTAGAATAAGAATGTCTCCAGGAACCAGAAGACGGGATTCGAGCTGCTGTAAACCTGTACAAGAGCAAAGTTTCCATGAGGACCTGACTTTTTCCTGCCTCCACGTATTAACCAGCTTGTCAAGAACTACTCTGCCTGTTCACCTACTCAAGCTCCTTCCCACTCAACTGAAAATTGGAAGAGAACCAAGGTTAGGGAATGGGTCCCCAGGATATAATAAAAGCTTGGCTCCACAAAAGAACCTCATCTTGAGCTTAGTACCCAGCCAGTGCCCTGCCCACATTGGTCAATGGAAACGTGTTGTTTGGCCGCCATGTGCTTTCATTGGCAGGTGTCCTGGTTCCCTACAGCACATTGTGTCTCATTAGATTGGAGTCTGAGGTTAGTTGTTCAGAAAGCTCTTGCAGCCCTAGGGCATAGTTCCTCACTCCCTATGGAGAACCGTGGCCACCCCACCTCAGACTAGCTCAGAGCAAATAGCGAGTGCCCATCCAGCATACAAAAGTCCCATCCAGGCCCAGTTGCCAGATGGAAGTTCAAAATACACAATGCCAAGTTTTTTCAGATGATCTGTGGAGGCAGTCAGAGGCCCTTTAAAGAGTTTACCCATTCACATATACATGAATGAAATGTGAGGGCAGCGGGAAATGGAAGTGACCTAGGCACTGGGCAGGAATCACTCAATCTAAGCTGAAATGAGTGTGATGCAAGCTGGGGGCCTGGAGTATGGAATTTAAGGAGGCACTTACTGTGAGGCCAATGCAGATGCAGGGTTAGGATTTGTGTAATTATTTGCCACCTTAAATTTTGTGTCTTTGATACCTCCTTTGTGTCACCCAAGTCCAGGCCTATATTTGATTAGAAAAGCTTTTGTTTCCTTGGCTAATAATCAAGGACAAATAAGACTGAGTCCATCTCTGGAAGAGCAGAATGATGACGCCAGCAGAATATATCATTTACCTTTGTCTTTTACGATGATTTTAACTTGGACTTTGTTGTGTTCCTCCACAAGGTTGTGCAGCTTAACTGATTGCTATCAATTTAAAATCAAGGATTAAAGATCAGACAGTGCATAACCTGATAACCACATGACGTCAATGTAAAAAAAAAAAATGAGCACCCTGCTTGCAGTCAAACCTACTCTGGGCAAAGCACCCATGTTTTACTTTCGATAGAGTAGTTTCCCTGTCCCAAACCCTGCTCTACTGGACCCCTACTTGGAGCAGCCAATGTGTTTGTGAGTTTAATTCTACCTCAATCCCATGCACAGCCATTGCCTCAAGGATGTACACTCTGGGACTAAGTCTTCACTTCTCAAAGATTCATAATCAGAAATAAGAAAAACATTGGACAGGTTGCCTCACTCTTGTTTCTCCAGCTGTAGAACATAAATCTGGAAGAGGATATACTTGCAAGAGCCTGGGACTAACTGGGTTGTGCCTTGATGACCGGATATGCCTGCATATCCACACTAGATTCACACTGTTCTATTATAAATCCCAACGCTGCTGGTTAGATGTCATTAACCTTAATAGCTATTAGCCATTTTGATACTCCCCACACCCTTTTCTTATCTGACAAGGTATATCCTCACAGTATCAATTTCACTGGGCTGAGTTAGTAAATTAGTGCATTCTTATAAAGTCCTCCATATAGAAAACTGAGCTAAGAGTTCATAATGCTAGTTAATATGAGGCAGTTGTTCTGGAAAACCAGTTATGAGACTGTAACACCTGGAAAAGTTTGCCTGAGATGGAAACATTAGTCATTATTGAGATATGACTGAAAAGGGGGAGGAGATAGAAGGTGACCTGAAAATCGGAGGCAGCGTTTCCTAGGATAACACCCAGCAGGGAAATGCAGCAGTGAGAGCAGATTTCCTACACCCCCGTCTCAGTATCACGGGGACACCATTAGCCTGAAAGACCTTGGTACTAAGCCAACTGAGGCAGGACTGAGCTGCCCTGCAGGCACTTCTTTGTGTACACATGTCAGTGACTTAGATGCCTCTACATAGAAGACGGGTTGAGTCATCAGCAATACTTAAATACAGCTATCTAAACTTAAACATGTAACTTCTTTTTAAGTGCCAAGTATTGCGACCTGCTCTGCTGGTACATTTTAACATTAGAGATGTCAGTAGGCTAAAACAAACATCACTTGCAATTATAAAACTTTTCCCCTTAATAGAATATAATGAATGCAGTGTAAATATTCATAACAAAAAGCCCACATAATTTCATTTCCACTTTGCACAAAAGCTAAACATCATTAATTGGGGCCAACTGAAAGGTAGATGTGATACCGCTGTTGGCCACATATTCTTGGTCCTCATGTGACTCCTTGGGGCTTGACTGTTTGCTTTGCTGGGCATCATGTGTCCAGGATATTAATAGTGACAATCGTCAGTGCCATTCTATAGCAAGAACACTGGAGCCAGGCAGGACTCCTGAGATGCTGCCCAACCCCATATATGAAGCACTCATCCACACAGCTCTCCCTTAGGAAGATGAACATTCTTGGACCTAACTGTATTTGAGATTATTTTCTTGCCTAGCAAACTCCTTTGGTCACTGCTATTTTAACTTCTACCTAGCTAGGGAGGACATATTAGAGTTTAAAAATATATTTAAATTATTTTTATCTTCAAATAGTTTAAAATGGCAAGGAGCTGCTCTGTGCCAGGCAATTGAACTAGGTTGTCTGGATTTCTCTTCAGTCCTCAGAAGAATGCTACAATCTCTAGCAAACATGTAAGAAACAAAAACAAATACAGTGGGGTTGGAAATGTTGAAGAAAGTTTCGCACAATCCTTTACATAACACGAAGATTGACCACCAAATCCAGGAGCACTGATGCTAAAGCCTTTCTGTTGATGAATGAGTTCTTCTGGGATTTGAAAGCAGCACCTTCCCCTATGAGGAGATAAGCGTCTTTCCTTCTAAAATGCATCTGAAGTTGGTTTTTTGCATAGTGAACCCACTCAGTCAATGCCAGGACACTTTCATCTGAGTTTAAGGGTGGGGCAGGGGTGGAGTGAAAATCAGCACATTTGGATGTAGTGCAATAGGAGTTAATGATTCTTGACAGCAAGTCCCCAAACACATTATGCCCTAGGCCAGATTTGTTTGTCAACTTAGCATTCTGGGTAACCTCATGCTCCATTATTTAGCTCACACTCTCACCTGGAATGTCCAACTCTTTGCTTCTCGCAAACACTTTCGTAGCTTTCCTGTAAAACCTTGCTCAAACATTCCCTCCACTCCAGACATGGTCCCCTCCAGCCCCAGGGAAGCACTCCTCCTTCCACCCCCTGGGACTCATCCTGCGTTAGTGCACTAATGGGCAGCCAGGGCAGCTCTCTCTGTTGGTCCATCACGTCTGTCTTGCCAGGTAGTTTCATGGTTCCCTCAGAGTCCATCACGTAGTAGGCCTTAAGTAGATAGGCATTTCACCGAAGTGTGTTATTCCGCTTCTGCCAACAATGCTGCAGTGGGATCCTGTAAGCCTACTCTTTGAGCTGATACATGCTCAGAAATTCTACAAACACTGGTTTCTATGACAACTAATCAGCTGGGAGAAGGCAAGTACTACAACGCTTGCTATGATTGTGAAGCTCACTGCCTGATTTTCATTAGGCTCCCTCTGGTTTCTCTAGTTCCTGTTCAGTGGGATCAGAATCCATTTCCAAGACTAATTTGCACACTGTTATTATTCAGCATCTGTTGCTACAGGGTCTTGTGGCTGTGGCTCAATTTCCTCCACAGTCGAGTAATGAGAGCTGTAACTCTGGGGCCTCTTGAGCCCTACTCAGTCATGACTGAATGCAAAGCACTCAGAACCGTTTTCGGGTGCCACCCATAGCAGAGTCCAGCAATGCAGTATGACAGCATACTCAGGAACAGAGTGCCAAACTTGGCACACGTACCTGCCCCAAACGTACCTGCAGGAGTGATTCCAAGCTTGATTTAGGAAACCTTCTGAGTAGATGCAGGAAGATTGCTTATTCCACTCCTGCATATACCTCACTCCTTAAATTGTCAATAGCCTATGCTTGTTTAGCTAAATCTTTCATTCACTGAAATGATAAACTTCAGAATGGCTGAAGAGAACAATTTGTAGATGACAGTAAATGCCTTTCTTTCACTCTTGCCACTCATCCCCCAACCCACTCTGCCCCAAATCTGCTGGGGGAGTTCACCTGATCACTCTGAGATTTTGCTCATGGGACACTATATAGACTACATCAGGAAGCCTCACTATAAGGTGTGTGGCCACTGTGTTTCTCTTTGCATATGTGCAAGGTCGCTCATCTCTCTTATGTCCCTCTGCTTCATTCTCAGGTAACAATAGGACTGAATCATGGTAAGTATTTCTTTTTGCAATCTGCTATGGCTCACACAAACACACACATCATGAATGTGTGGGCCTATTACTAATTGTGTGATACCGAGCAGATATTGATCGTCAAGTACCGTGACCTGAACCAAACAGCAACTTCAGGAGCCTGGCCCATTGTGCACAGTATTACAAGATGCCTTTCAGGTTGCATCAGATAAGCTTTTATTAACAAATACCAGCTGCTAATGGGATTAGTTTGCCCTCTAATTCCTTTCCAGTTTTTCAAGGAAATACTTTGCAATGCTGCCATCAAATCTGTAACTCTCATGTCAGTCTGTTTCCAACAAAGGAATTTCAGGGTCTACTAAAGATGCAGAACCTAAATGTCTAAATTCCATTGAGGATTTTAAAGTAAACATTAAGCAAATTACAAATGGGAAAAGTAGGGACTACCTAACTCTGGGAGGAGAGAACTTCATAAACAAAACAGAAAATGCAAGATTTGTTAAAAAGAAAGAAAAAAACGTATTTGACTCTATACATAATTTTTAATGCAAGGCAAAAGCCAAAGTCCATTGGGGGAAAAAAAGTGAAAACTCCAACATTTGCACATACACGGTGGCTACAAAGAGGCCAATAACACAATGGAAAATGCTGAACTCTATTTGACAAGGGAAAATGTGCATACTTTCTCTATTAATCAGAGAAATGTAAATTAAAGCATCAATTTCTTAAAAGCATATTAGAAGCATTGTAAGTATCACTATATAATAGCCAATACTGGTCAGGACCTGGGGAAATTATTACTTTGCGTGTTACTGAGGGAAGAAATTATTTCCCATGAATAAAATAATATGAGTCATGAGGATACTTCAAAAATCTCATAAAAATGGAATTTAAAGAGAGGTATAATTTAGTGCAATTTTTAAAAAAATCCATGTGGTTTTTTTCCCAAATGTTTATTTTCCACAAACATTTTGAACATTCCTCTTATAAAAACATTTATTAAAACTCAAATTTATACATATCTTTTAATTCAATAACATGGCTTTTGAGTGCTATGCTAAAAAAAAAACTGCAAAGACTGGCAATGTGGTGCACGGAGTTAAGCTGTTGCTTACAATATTGGATTCCCACGTTTAGATTCTGGTTCAAGTCCTGGTTGCTCTACTTCCAGTCTAACCCTCTGCTACCAAGGAAAAGCAGCGGAAGATGGCACCTATGTGGGAAACACAGCTGGCTACCTGGCTTGTCACTTGAGCCTGGCCCAGCTGAGATCATGTGAGAGTAAATGAGTGGAGGGAGACATATCTCTCGTCTCTCCCTCTCTCTGTCACACTGTCTTTCAAATAAATAAGTAAAACTTTCAAAACTGCAAACACACGTATGCAAGTGCATGTGTATAATAATTCAATGTTATTTATGGCAGCAAAAATTCTGGGAAATTACCTTATTTCTCACAAATAATAGAAGGGCTGAATAAATTGCGATATGTCATGGATAATCGAATCTCCATTTTTAAGCATGATTTAGAATTTTTCATTCACTTGCTGGATTGCCATTATATAAAAAATAACATGGGAAATGGAAGTGCCAAATTAATGTGCACAGAAACATCCTATTTTAATTTTAAAAATAAGTAACATTTCTAGCAGTTTGAATGCGTATGTTCACGTAATAGAGTAAAAAGAATGAAAAGCTATATTCAACTGATAATGTATTAATAAATTTTAAAAAATGTATTTTGTATTGAAGCATTTGAATTACTTCTTGTGGATTCTCTCATAATATAGTAATTTTAAATATTTACAAAGTAAGAATCAACGGTAAAGAAAAAAAATTCAAAAGAGCATATTCTTGTTATTTTTATTTTATAGGCTGGAAGTTCACGAATGTCAGGTAACTCTCCTGCTGGAACATGGTCCTATGGAGTGTATAGAATGAAACCTGCTTTTGTTTGTTTGTTTGTTTGTTTCTAAATCAAGAATTCCTGTGTCTGTTTGTGGTTCCCTTAAATAAAAGTATACCTGATTGGAGATAGATAAAAATGATTAGTTCCTAGTACTATACAGCCCAATGTAGTAACTAGAACTTACAATAATTCATTAAAAAAAAAAGAGCAAGAGAGAAGGATAAACGCCAAGATTCTAATACTGAAGTAATGACTTACAGGAATAAACGTGAATTACCCTGATCTTATCAGTACACTTGTACAGTGTGTACAGAAACATTACACTGTGCTCCACAGATATGAACAGTTGCCATTATTTAAAAAAAATCTTCTAAAGCTTTTTTAAAACAAATTATAAAAAGAAAGGTATGTCTGAATTACAACTATGGAAATACACATTATGAAGGAATTTTATGAGAGAGATTGAAATTAGTTGTAAACACTGTAAGGAAAATGTGCAGTACAAATGCAATATAAATATGGTGAAGACACCATATTCAGGAACAGCCTCATAGTCCTTCTAACGTCAATGTCCATGACGGCCTTAGCCAATAATGAGAGTCGGTGAAGACAAATCCCACTTGGTCTTCTTCCACCCCTGTCTGGAGACTCTACACTGGTGAGTGTTTGCATTTGCTTTTTGATAACTTGGGTTTGACAAAGCAACTCCTTGCTCTCAATGGAGAACCCATGATAAGCTTTCCTTCCTCATCAAGAATCAAGAGGAGAAATAGGATCCCACTTGACACAACCCAGATGAGATTTATCACCTACCTGTCGCAAATCATAGACACTTAAGGCAATAGATATAATGGTTAAAATGATGATGGCCACAGAGTATTCAATGTAACCTTGACACAACCATAAAGTGAGGGTGAAGGCTTGGAACACATAGAATGGATTTAAAACCTGTAGAAGCAAAAACAGCCATTGGGTTATTTGCACGGAGCAACATAGAGTAACATCTAATGGGTAAGAATTCACATACAACTCTATTATTTAGGTAGAGATCATGTCAAGTGTGTAGATTAGAATATGGTAGAAGCAAAATTATCTTAATTACTAAAAAGCATGCTCAAAATTTGATAACATTTATTTAGGATTTTCAAGAATATTTTGCTAGTAAAAAATTCAACAACTTAATTTCTTAAAACAAATATAGACACGTGGAATAGATACATGGCTCAGTCTCTTTTAAAAATAAACTTTCATCTTGAACATTTTCATTGCAGATTTATTTTCCGTATTATTTCATACTCAGATTTAATAAAGCTGTTCAAAGAAAACAAAAGATTTTTACTTTTATCCAAGTCATTTAAAAAACAATAATTCACTAGGTCTCAGGTCCTCAAACAGTTGGCTATCATCTTTGACCTTTCCCTTGAACAGAGAGGGATCCTGAGCAGGATTTGCCCAAGGCTCTCAGGGAAAATCATGAACAGAAGGTGTCATGGGCTCCAAGACCAGTCATGACTGCACACTTTAGGTCTCCTGATACTAAACACCAAAGGCTTGGGTAACTTCATTTTATTTTTTTAATCCCTCAATTTTCCTGTTTTGGTCTGGCTGACTTTCCCATTAAAAAATGAACACAGAGGGGGGAAATCTGAGAATCTGGGTGGTCTACACTTGCAGCGAGCATAGGAGTCCCAGTGAAGCAAAGAAACATGTCTTCTGAGGAATGTCCCTTGATGGTCATGATGACTCAAAGGAAATATTGGCCCAAACAATGGTACTCTATCTTTCCTTTGTATAACTAAATTTTAGTTTAATCCTAAAAGTGAACTGACATCAATTCATACATTAATGGGTTGCATTTTAAGGGTTTCTTAAGCCCTTGAACATATCTTGCACACTAAAAAAGGTGTTTTTTTTCCTTAATGTTTGTTATTACTTCCATACAATGGGTTTTACTTGTAAATCAAAGCTCTTTTGTTTGCTAAGCACAGAATGATCTAATTGTGTAATGATTATAATACGATTTTGAGTTCATACAAATGCAGCATAAAATTGTTTAAATGCTTCTTGGAGATGAAACATCATCATAATTAATTCATCTCTCTTGTTTAGTATTCTTTTGAAACCGGATGTGAGGAAATCATTTTACTTGCTATTTTTCTACTAAATATCTAACCAATAGGTGCCAGAAAACACTAGCTCCTTTCAGGGAAGATCCAACTGACACCTGGGAGAGTCTTTGGAAGCAAGAAAATGCACTTGACTAACAAGTTTTAAAAGTAACTTGTTCTTTGATACTTCTGGAGGTTGTGCCCATGTGAGGTCACCAGTATGCGGTAAATCTGTGTTCCTCCTACTCAATTTTTCTGTAAGCCAAAAGTTACTTCAGAAAGTAAAATGTGAAGCGCTATCCTTTTTTTCTGATCCAACACAGGACAGTAATAGATGCCTTTTAATCTTTTTGATTGTAAAAATAGATATGGCCACATTTACAAACCAAATGACCACATTCATGAACTAGAAACAGGCCGCAGAAAATAGACTGTTTTCAGCTCCTGAGTGCCAGACAATAGTTAGACAGCTACAGCTGGGTAGCATCTTAGCTCTGGGGATAACAGTCTCAAAGCGCCCTACAGCAGCTAGAAATAAGCAGGGATAGGAGCAGGTTTCCTGTGCGGAGAAAAGTAGCCAGTGATGCTTGCTCACCAAGGATAAAACAGGACGAAACAGAGCTCATGGTAAATAAAATTGTACCAAACCCTCCGACTGGCTCAGGAGCTGCATCTGGTAAATTGCTCAGAAACAGGTAGCCAGCTCCAAGATAGAACTGGTTCTATAATCGAAACCCAAAGGATACCATTTGGCGGCGAAGTCAGAGCTATCAAAAAGGGACAACAAACACAGGGGGACAAGGGAAAATGGTCATGGAAAAATATCTCACTTAAGGTGAAAATAACTTCAAAGCACAAAAGAAAACTAATGTGAAAACAAACCAAACCACTAAAAAAAGAACAGTCATTCTCAAGAAATGGAAATAATAAAGCCATTTGAAAAACACCCAGGTAATATGCTACAAATCCTCAGAAACTATGAAAGGGATGCATTACCCTCTGTAAATGGAATGTATTTTATGTCCCACTTAATCTCCTACTTCAAAACCTGTCCCACAACATGTTACTCTTTCAAGGTGGGGCCTTCACTCACAGTAGATGTGAATTAACATGAGATGCACTCCTACAAGAGTAGAGCTCTAGTGATGGGATAAATGTCCCTCATTTGAAGACCGGGTGAGCAAGTGGTGATCTAAACCCCAGGACGAGAACCCTCGTTGGGAACTGATCTGAAACTTCCCAGCCTTCCAAACAGAAAGAGTAAATGTTTGTTGTTCAAAGAAACTAGTTTATGATATTGTGTCATCATAGCAGCACAAGCTAAGATACCACACCAGTGCCACCACCACAACCTCCATGAGAATCCCTGTAACAGCCTAACACCGCTCCCCCCCCACCACCAAAAAAAGGTGGAAGATTTCAGAAAGGAAGCCTGTCCCCACTACTAGGAAGAAATTTTAAGATGTATGTGGATTTTAAATAATTAGCTCTTAAAAAGCATCAGGTAGAAATCCTGGGACCATATATATATTTATTTACACACAGACACACATATATATAATTGGTTGTTTCATAGATTATCCTCAATAGCCAGAATAAGTACAGGTGAGTGAGCAATAATAAAAAGTTGCATGCAACACAAATTTGATTTTCATGAAAGCATTCACATGCTACTAAAATTTTCAAAGTGCAAGAAAGAAAAAAGTAATGGAAAGACAAAAACTCTTCAAAAGCGAAAATAAAAACATAGTCACCTGTTTAACAAGCAGCTTCCATATGGGTTGTATCTCAACCTCAATAGCGTTGGGTCCACACACCAATCTTCTGCAGAAAATCGACTGTCTCAGACCAGTTAGTTCAGAACAGAGTATTACCTACTTCTATGCTGTCTGCCAATTTTGTGGTTTCAAATAAAAAATTATGTTCAAGTACAGAATCCTAAAGTACGTACATATTTTTAAAATGAAAAGTAACAACATCATGGACAAAATGTTGCTGGTATAAACAAGTCTCTGTCACAACTCAAGGACTCAAAATGAAGTTAAAATATTTTGAGTCATATGTTTAAAAACAATGATTATATCTGAAGAACAGCTAACAAGAAGATATGAACATATTCTTAGACTTGTCGGACATTCTTGATCTCTCTGATGTTAAAACCATGTCAGTTTTACCCTGGTATCTACAGGACAGAGGCATAGCAATGAACTGAATGACTGTATGTATAGGAAACAAATATACACACATACATCCTCATACAATGGAGACCAGCATACTGGAAAGTAAAGATTCATCCAGCAGGATTCTCTACTCCAGAATGAAAGGGGGACTCCCAAACAGTTAAATATAACTTGACAGGACCTGGCACAGCAGCCTAGTAGCTAAAGTCCTCGCCTTATGTGACCCAGGATCCCATATAGGTGCCAGATCATGTACTGGCAGCTCTAGTTCCCATCCAGCTCCCTGCTTGTGGCCTCGGAAAGCAGTGGATGATGGCCCAAAGTCTTGGGACCCTGCACTTGTGTGAGACCTGAAGGAAGTTCCTGACTCCTGGCTTTGGATTGACTCAACCTTGGCCATTGTGACCACTTGGAGGATGAATCAACAAATGGAGGATCTTTCTGTCTCTCCTCTCTGTAAATATGACTTTCAATAAAATTTTTTAAAATCTTATATAGCTTTAAAAAGTTATATATATATGGATTATATATAGCTTTAAAAAGTTATATATATATGGATATATATATAGCTTTAAAAGTTATATGTACATATATAACTTGAAAATGACATACTAGATTTCCTACCCTTTTCTTTATGTATAATGCCGTGACACACTTAGCAGAATGTTAAAATTTGTAACTGTTATTAAAGGACTGTGCTACTAAATAATACAGGGGAAATGGTGGGAGGGGAGAACTGTATCTACTAAACTGTATCATAGAAAATAAGAAAAACTAAAAAACAAAACTGTAAAACTGTAAATCTTACTATTCGGAAAAAAAGTTGATATGTATCACCTTGGTTTCATGGTTAACACCTTGCAAATATAGCAAGGTGCTTCAAAAAGACTGTGGGAAATTACATTTTAGAAGAAGTTAATTTTGATACCCAGAAATTTCAAAATTCATGCATATTTTTAGTGAAATGTATTTCCATGAACATTTTGATGACCCCTGTATGCATCCACAAAGAGCAATACACACAAGAAATACAAGAAGTTCTCATATTTGCACAGCATATTACAATCGACAAAATGTTTCCAAAAACGTGTTAGCTCCTCAGAGCATTCCAAAAGGGATCATAGCCTGTTTTGCCAATGAACAAAAATGTCCCATTTCTACTTAACTCTCAATAGTCTCCAAATTGGCATGCCTAGGAATAAAATATTCCTAGGTTTATAAATATGATAAATACTCCTCTATTCCTCATTTTTGAGAAAGTATACTCTTTGTCTTGCTTATTAGATTGTCAAGTACTTCACTGCATGGACTAGAATTAAGTTTAATTATGTATGGTGTTTATTAAAGTTTGACAATTTGATAAATAAGGACAAATGTGAGGTAGCTATACAGATGGAAACGCTTGCCTGTGGAAGTATATCTGTAGCTAGTAATAAGAATTCTTGAGTAGTGCCCTAAATCAGTGCTTTCAACTTTTGGTGCTATTAGACCAGTATATTTCAATGACTGAAAATTTTGTGTTTCCATCTATTAAGCGCTGAATCTGAAATATTGTATAACTACACATTTCTATACCTTTTTTCTATATTTTCCAAGTTTAGGTGTCTTTCATTTTTCACAGTGTTGTGATAGATAAAAATTATAAAAACACCAGATTAGGAATTATTGTGTTAAATATGTGTAAAAATTATGGGAATTGCTTATTAAAAAGCAAAATTCTTGCCTTGTCCCCCAACACACACACACACACACACACACACACAAAACCACTTTGCTCCTATAGAATTTTCGTAATTACAAAAGCCAAACTCTATATATTCAATACCAGATATCTTCTTGATTTAGGAATGGTGTTTCTGGCTGACTTCAGATGCATGAGGCAGATAACATCTCAAAACATGCGTATGAGAACCAGCGGCCTCGTGGCTTAGTGAGAAAAGCCTCCTACTGCCACATCAGCATACTATACGGATGCTGGTTCAAGTCCTGGCTTCTCTACTTCCAATTCAATTTCCTGCTAGCATACTGGGAAAAGCAGAAGGTGGCCCAGGAGCCTGAGGCTCAGTCACCCATGTGAGATATGAAAGAAGCTCCCGGTTTCAGCTTGATCAAGCGCTGGCTATTGTGGCCATCTAGAGGGTAAACTAGTAACTTAAAAGATTTGTCTCTCATTCTCTCCTCTATCTCGCTAAGTCTGACTTTCAGATATAAATGCATCTTTAAAACTTATTGTGAGAAAAAATAGTGACTTAAGGTTTTACAGGAGGCACAATGATTTCCTTTCAGAAGCACAAGGCTCTTCTTCGTAAAGCAGCTGAAGTAAGCAGGGCCTGTGCACACCTGTGACTCCGTACGCAGTGCAAGCATCTCCTGCTCTGTGCGCATGTATGGGTACAGTCTGATAAATGCAACACTACTTTTGTTTCTCCCTCTGCTCAGAGTAAGTTTCCTGGACAATGACTAAATCTATATTTGGATTTCTACTTACTTACAAATTACCTGGCATATTACAGCCATTTAGCTAACAAATCTACAAGAGCCATTATTTATTCTGAAAATATATACTTATTTTCTACCATAAATTAAGACCTCCTCTTCATATCGTGTATATAATCCTGAATAAAACAACAATAATCATCATTGATATCATGATCATAATTGAACAATCATCATCATTTGTTCCACCCTAAGATGCGATCAGACTATTGCCTTTCTGACACTCAGCATTTAGGGTATTCAGTAGCAGATATTTGGTACTGGTACAATAGCTCAACAGGCTAATCCTCCACCTTCCAGTGCTAAAATCCCATAATGAGTGCCAGGTCTAGTCTCAGCTGCTCCACTTCTCATCTAGCTCCCTGCTTGTAGCCTGGAAAAGCAGCAGAAGATGGCTCAAGACTTTGATCCCCTCCAACCACATGGGAAACCTAGAAGAGGCTCCTGGCTCCTGGCTCCTGGCTTCAGATTAGCTCAGCTCCAACCACTGCAGCTATTGAGGGAATGAACTACCAGATGGAAGATCTCTCTGTCTCTCCTTCTATCTATAAATTTGCCTTTCAAATAAAAAAAAATCTTAATAAAAAAGAAGCTGATGCGAATGGAATATTAAAATTTAAAATGAAAAATAAAACCAAGAAGATTATTCTACAAGCCAAGGAGAATAGATCAAATTGTATTCAATTGCTTCATTTTCCAGTGTTTTCCCTGTTAGTAAGTTTGCCTAAGAAAATAATTCTGAATATCTTTCTGCTGCCAGTAATTGAACTGGGATTATGTCAAAATGATGAAACATTATGTCAACAATACACTGATGAGGACCCATTTCAGAGTCATTTTCTGCTGGCAGAGTTGACTCAGAGAGTACTGGATCTCCTACCTGACCTCTTGCTCTTCGCTGGTGAGACCCAATCCAAACGTGTGATGGATGTCATAGCAGGAGTTGCTGTCTTCCAGCAATCTAGAGAGTTGTCAAGGGAAGAACCACACTTGAATTCATGCACTCAGAAGAGAGGGCTCTTCCCTACATCTTGATGCAATAAGAGAAAGTCATACTCACCCAACTTTCTGAAACCTCCTCTCCAAGTTGACCCAAACATATCTGAGTTTCTGCACTTGAATGCATCGCAGCTGTAATCACAAACGCAACAGGTGTCATTTACAAGGTAAAACCCAACAAGGGAAGAGAGTGTGGCCCAATGCATATTGTCACCAGGCTCTCATTTTCTGCAATATTGAACTATCATTATTCCCACATTGGTATTGTTCATCCTTGAACGGTTATTTTCATTCTTTCTCCACAAACATACTGCAATGTCTTACTTTCAGTTCTGGCTTTATTACAGCTTGGTTTATGACAGAATGTCGGTCAGCCACAAGGGATTTTTCAGGATTCCTGTTTATAGGAAATGTCAGTGTGGATAAGTAGAGGCAGAAAACCTTCTTCCTCATATACTTTTGAAATTCATCCTGGAAAAGACAATCAGACCCATGAGATTCTCAGTTGTTAGTCAATAAAGTACTCAACCAACCAGCTACCTACCAGGTGCTAGAGCAAATAAATCTCAATGTTTGGGACAAAATTTTGTTACAAATAAGAGAATCAGCATATTCTCAACATTTACTAAACAGAAATTCTCTGCCCCATCTCATAGCTGCGGAGTCAGAAACTTGGGGTGAGGTGTGAGAGGGAGAGAACTGATAATTCCTATATTCTGACTTCTAACACTATCACTATTGCTTTGATCGCTCAGAGCTCTGCTCATTAGCCCAACATGGCAGGGATTTGCACCTGAAGTAGAGGAAGTACCTTGTCCCTGGGTCAAAATGAGACAACTGATAGACTGATAGCAGATTGCTTGGACATCTCCTATCTTGGCATAGGGAAGCTCTTTAGCCAGAGGAAAATCCACCTGCAGGAAAGCTGGTCAATCAATGGCTGTGCCCAAGAGGCAACTTAGAGGAAGGCATCATGACATTTGACAAAGATCAGTAGGGTACATACTGTTGTTCTCAGCAAAACAGTGTCTGCTTCTTGCAAAGGGCATGGGAGGCAGGTGGCCCACACTCCCCAGTGAGGCCTCCAGTAGAACACGAGCTGCAGAAGGCCGCAGGTCAGCACCGATGCGAGCAGGCAGAAGGCTCGCCGCAGACTCTGGGTGCGATAACCAAACACCTCCTAGGGAGTAAATAAAGCTCACTGATTTTCCTTCTTTACATATCATTTTATTTTAAGAAACACAAACATTTGTTTATTTTTTAATAGATTTTTTGAAGATGTAATTTTATTCTTATTTGAAAGACAGAGTTACTGAGAGAAGATGAGACAGAAAAAGACATTTTCCACCTGCTGGCTCATTTCCTAAATGGATGCGATGACTGGAGCTGGACCCATTCAAAGCCAGGACTAAGGAATCTCTTCTGCATCTCACTTGGGTGCAGGGACCCAAGGACATAAGCCATCCTCCATTATTTTCTCAGGTACATTAGCAAGAAGGTAGATTGAAGTGGAGCAGCCAGGACTTGAACTACCACACATAAGGGATTCTGGCATCCCAGGCAAGGCTTAGTATTATGCCATGGAAGCAGCCACAACAAGCACAAACTTTTAGATGCAGAGAAATTGGTTGGGAGAGAAATCTGCCTTCAGCTGCTGGCATCAAGTTGTTGCTTCAGCTGGTATTATGAAGAAGAAGAAAAAAAAAAGGTGGGGAGATTCCTTTCACTCGCTTGGCACATGGAACTAGAATATCACATAGAAGGCATGAGGAAGGGGTTGAATCTTTGCTTCTGTGTATTCATTGAGTCAGCTCAGGGAGCTGGTATGGATGGCTAGGCCGCAGCTTTCAACCAGCATGCCATATGAACTTCAGCCAGGGTACTAATGCCACCACTTCCAATCCATCTCCCTGTTAATGCTCCTGGGAAAGCAGCAGAAGATGGTCCAAATGCTTGCTTTTCTACAACCATGCATGAGATAAGATGGACTTCAGTCTCCTGCTTTGGCCAGACTCAGCCCTGCCCATTGTAGCCATTTGGGTAGTAAGCAGGCAGGAACTAGAAGAGAGTCTATCTTCTTCATCTTGCCTTGTCTCTGGGTCACTCTTTCCAATAGATTGATCTTACTAAAAATTCACAAAAAGTATTAAAATTGTAACAGAATTACATAGCTTTATCCACTTTCATTTGTGTTTTATAATAACATGATTGACAATGACCGAAAGTATAAATAATGTAGTTTCTCAAACCAACACGATGACATTAATTTAGATATTATGTCTGGACATAAAAGGCCTCATAAGAAAATTTCTATTTACTTGCCCTGCGAATAGCATGCAAAAATTTTTGTACTTCTAGGATCGATAGTTAATATTTTCTTAAGCTGAATAAAGATTTTTATGATTTTAGGGGAGATAAATAGTCTTCTCCCTAAAACGTTTTATTTGTTGGAAGCTAATCTTTAAGTACCAAGTTGTTTAAAGATTTATTTATTTTTATTTGAAAGGCAGATTTAGAGAGAAGGAAAGAAAGACAAATGTCTTCCATCCACTGGTTCAGTCTCCAAATCACAACAGCCAAAGCTTAGTCAATCTGAAGCCAGGAACCAGGAGCTTCCTCCCAGTCTCCCATGTGGATACAAGGACCCAAGGACATGAACCATGCTCTACTGCTTTCCCAAGTCATCAGGGAGCTAGATCAGAAGGGGAACAGCCGGCACTCAAATCAGCACCCATATGGAATGCCAGCACTGCAGATAGAAAAATTAGTTCACTAAGCCACTGCACAGGTCCCTAATTTTTGAATTTTAGCAATGAAATTTCATCACATCACTTTTATTTGAAAAATCAAATTTTAGAGGTGGGTGCTGTGGTGAAGCAAGTTAAGTTTATTGCTGTGCTATTGGCATCCCATATGGGCACTGAATCACATTTTAGCTGATCCACTTCCAATCCAGCTCCTTGCTAATGTGCCTGGGAAAGCAGCAGAGGATGGCCTAAGCACCTGAGTTCCTACACTGACATGGTGAGCCAGGAGGAAGCTCCTGACTCCTGGTTTCAGAATGGCTCAGCTCTAGCCATTGCCACCATTTAGGGAATGAACCAGCAGATGAAAAATCTCTTTCTCTCTGATTCTCTCTCTATCTCTGCTTCTCTCTCTAACTCTTCCTTTCAGAGAAAACTAAGTGAATCTTTAAACAAACAAACGAACAAACAAAAAGCAAAGCTGAATTTCACTGCATTTTGCAGAACCTGAGGGATGCTGACTATGAATCACATCTTCACTGTTATTTTGGATTCTGCTATTGCTGTGTTTTACTTTTTCTATGACTCTGGACTCCCATGTGTAGACCATATCCAAACTATAATATCGAGAAAGCAGATCTGGAGTGCACATAATCAATCCAGCACTTAAGATCTCAGTGGAGACACCTGTGCCTCATACCAGAGTACCTGGGCTCTATACCCAGTGCCAGCCTCTTGCCAATTTAAGCTCTGGGAAACAGCCACAGGGACTCAAGCTATAGGGTTCCTGTCACCCAGCCAGGAGATCTGGATTGAATTCTCAAATTCCCGGCTTCTATACCAGCCCAGTCCCAGGTTTGTGGGTATTAAGGGGTTAACCAGCAGATAGGAGCTTTCAGTACAGCTATCTGTTCCTCTTTCTTCTCTTTCAAATCAATAAAATCATACTGAGTTTTATGCCACTTTTGATGATGGGTCCATACAAGTTTAGCTCATGCAATTGCCTGACAATTCTCTTGGCCTAATGCTCTAGAAATTTTTTTTTTTTATTTCCTGGATAGTCACTTCCATTAGCTTTCTCCATGCCTCTGAGAGAGCAAGCTTATAACAGAACTATATTGTAAAAATATAATCATTATGAAATCAGTTATGTATAACATATTCTAATATAAAATTGAAAGTAAATCTTAAATGTAGGGGAGGATCACAGGTAAGTAGCAGAAGAGGCAGGCCTGAGAACCTGCTCTGTCCGCTATCAACCATGTGACTTTAGGTCAATCATCTCACCTCTACAGCAACCAAATTCCCTCTACAAAACAGGTAGTATCTTAAGAGTTTCCTCCTCTGATCCTCAAAGCAATCACCCACTGGGGAAAATGGTCTCTTAGCTCAGTGATGCAGCCACTCTGTTTTTAGATCACTCATGAAACTTTGAAACATACCACAGAAACATGGATGCACTTGATTTTTAAGCATAGCTTCCAATGGGCCCTCCTTTCTCCCCATGTTTTCTCTGACTGCATGAACCTGTTTCAATCCTTTCTGTGAGTTATAGCTTTAATAGACTGAAATATAATGGATATTCTCCTGAGCATATTGTGTCATAAATACATTCTTTCATGAAAGTCATTTATGACAGATTATTGCCAGAGCGCAAACGTGTGCAAAATAAAAGTATAGCAATTTGGAATTTCAGTTCAGCTTGCAGGTGAAATGAGTATTTTCATAAAAAAATTTTTTTCTTTATGTTTACTCACAGCAGTTGCACCAATTGATTGCAATTCTGGTAGAATCTTAGTTCATTTTTATACATCTTTTGTTGGTGCTAGAAGTGGTACTCATAATGCAAGCAAGACTGAAGTAGAGCCTCTACAGATACGTTCAGCTAACATACATACATTCAGCAAAAATTCATTGAGGAAGAGCAAGGTGTCATAGTACATCACAAATTTAAAAGATGTTTCTACACATTAAATAGTTAATCTCTTACTTGTAAATATACTCTAATCAACTAATACATATATATGGAGAAATTGATGCATATTAACTATTCAGTGTAGTAGTATCCGTAATAGCAAAATCATTGGGAGAACCAAACAATAGCTAATATCCAGTAAGCTGTGAAACATCAGAACAATTGTAGAGCTATTCAGGGCAAAGCATGTCACAAACATAGAGACCAGGGACATTGTATGAGTTAAGGTTAACTGGAAAAGCATACAAAATACAAACAGAATAAATAGAAAACAAGTATCAGCATCATTTAGGTTAAACACACTACATAAATGTAAATGTAAATGACCTTAATATTAATTAAAAGCAAAGATTGTGAGACTGGATAATAAAGGATAAAGGATAAAACAGAGACTCTATGATGGACTATGTCAATCAGTGGATTCTTCAAAGCCCTCATAGTGCTTGGAGTGGCAAGATTGGCAGCGATTCATAACTGTTGAAGTATCAAAACCATTTGAGCAAGAACCTCAGAGCATACCCTACATCTGGGACCTGGGGAGGGTGGGAAATTGGGTGGGCCTTCTCCCTTAATACCCCCCCCCTTTAAACATGAAGGAAACAATATGGAAAAAATAATAGTCTTACCCACTTTCCTGTAGCCCTTGAACCTTTTTACCCTAATTAACTATGTAAAGATTGTCAAAACATAATAAAAAATAAATAAAAATAAATAAAAAATAAAGGATAAAACACATGCTGTTTGCATCAGACACACTTTATTAAGAAGAAAATACACTAGAAGGGGGGAGACACACACAAGTAACACTAAAAAGAAGGTTGCTGGGCCAATAGTTGCAAGCAAAGTTGACAGCCTACATGGCACAAGTTTGCATTTTCACTGCTCAAGTTCTAATCCAGCTCCCTGTCAATGAACTGTGAAAAGCAGTGGAAGAAAGCCCAAACACTTGGACTCCTTCCATCTATGTGAGAGACCTGTATATAGCTCAAGTTCCTTATTTTGGCTAGGCCAGACCTGACCAATTGGGTCACATGGAGAGTAAATCAGCAGATGGGAGACCTCTCTGCATGTGTGCATCTCTCTGTGACTCTTTCAAATAAATAAACAAATCTGTTTTTAAAGAACAAATCTGCAATAGCTGCATGAATGTCATATAAAATATGATTTCAAAGTATATTTACAATGATAGAATGTCCAGCATCTTATTGTCAAGGTATATTTAACAGTTTCATTGGGAGTCCATGTTTTATTCAGGAGTAGAGTTGCATACTGTACTGCATTTTCACGTCTCCATTATACAGCTCCTCTAGATGCATAAATATATGTACCTGTTTCCCTATATGTTTTTTGATTTTGTATTTTGCATGAAGGTTGCCTTGTATCAGAGAGAACATATAGTATTTATCTTTTGGGATTGTTTTATTTCACTAAGCTTCATAGTTTCTACTTGGGACCATTTTA